TCAACCGTGCGCTTTTCACACTGCTGATAGGTATCGGATGGAAATAAGGCAACCATAGTGCAGAAGCGTTTTTAAAATAGATTAGTCCTGTAGGCGTATCAGTTTTCGAATGTATGTGTTAACTTCAAAATTTTACTTGCTACTCGATTTTGATTAATTTTTGTTAAAGTTAAAACAATCAAGATTGCTGTCGACTATAAGCAAAAGAAAAAAGGTAATTAAAAAAATTCTTTTATAAAAATTTCGGAGGAATGCCTTCAGAACATTAAGTGTGAATACATGTGACAGTGCATCAGTTTGTTACCTTTTATTCCCGAAAAAAGAAAATAGGGCGGATTTTGGTGAAATTTTTCAGATTGAGAGAGAATGTCTCGAAATTAACACTTTTCCGACCCTCAAATAGTGTACTTTCCTCCAAAGTTACCTCGAAATAGCCGGCGAGTCTAAACTATACTGCCAAGCCAATCAGAAGCTTTCGCGGGTTGTCAAGGTCACGGCGCTAAGTTCGGTACCTGATACTTACGTACGGTTGGTTTACAACGGATTTTAGAGAAGACGTGATAATTCAGCGTCTACAAAAGAAGTGATCAAAAGATTTCTTCGCAAAATTCGATTATCCAATTTGCATAAATAGAGTTTTGGCATTATAGCTGATGTCAGTTCGTGATGAAAACCCTAAGTATAATTCCTAACCTTAACCATGAACTGTAAATCATAATTTGAATTATTCACACGGGTTTATAACCCTCATTCAGTCTTAGTTATTACGTTGACACTCTCAGATTCACTCTAGCGTCGCTTAAATGTCGTCCATAATTCATAGTCTCATCTTTAACCCTAAACCTTAACCCTAATTTTAAACCCTAAACCATACCAACATACCGACAACACTGAAACTATGTGGTCGAGGCTGAAAGAATTTTCGGGACTTTATCATGGTTCCAGAGGTCGACTACTATGGAGCCACAGGGATGAGTTCCTGTATCAGATGCATTATGATTTTAGAACCTCTGAACCTATATTTGACCTTGATAAGTTTTTGATTCATGTAAAAGAACAGTATCCCCTTTAATTATTGAGTTTTATATAATATATTTTTACTGTATGCTAACTGTCTTCTGATTGGCTAATATTTCTCAAGGTCATTTAAGATTCGTTCAAAGGTCGTCCATGTTCTTTAGTCTCGCCGTTGACGCTCTCAGGGTCACTGTAGCGTCGCTCAAAGGTCGTCTATAAATTGTAGTCTCACCCCTAAACCTAAATTCTAACGCTAAACGTTAACTCTAACCCTAAACCGTAAAATATACCAACAATATTGAAGCTATGTGGTCGAGGCTAAAAGAAATTTTGAGACCTTATCAATGTTTCAGAGATCGACTACTATGGAGCCATATGGATGTGTTCCTGTACCGTATGCACTATGATTTTAGAACTCCTGAACCTATATCTGACGTTGAGAAGTTTTTGAGTCTTGTTAAAGAACAGTATCCCCTTTAATTATTGAGTTTTGTATAATATATTTTTACTGTATACTGACTGTATTCTGATTGGCTAATATTTCTCAAGGTCATTTAAGATTCGTTCAAAGGTCGGCAGTATAGTTTAGTCTCGTCGCACTGTCAGTGACAGCGTTTTCATCACTTGAACTCTGAAATTGAACGGTAGTTGATTGTTACAGATGTTTTTGGAAAATGCTTACCACAGATTTAACATAAAATACTCCATAACTTACGGTGATATCGCAAAAGCAGATGTCGGTATCTGGAAAATGGGAAAATAAGGTCTATAGCGTAAATTATCGCTTACATTATCGTTCCATCGATAGTAACGCTTGTTCACTCCCTCTCATATCATGAGAAAACCTTTAACTAGCAACATAGTACACTTTTGCAAAACCTTTTTTATTGACAAGGGGTGATGAAAATTGAGTTGCTAATGCCCCTTTTGAATAAAAGAGACAGTAATGTGGGCTTCTCATAGTGTTATTGAATCTGAACTTCATAATACTGTTTCGTACTAGTCCCCGTCAACGTGAAGTTTATGTCCGATTCCTGTCTTATCAGGTACGTAAAAATAGACGACGTATGTTTTCGGCTGGTTATCCTTTATCCTAGTAATCTTTGGCATATAAAGAGTAAAAAAACAAACTGCATCAGTTTGCTTACAGATTTATCGTTTGTTTCTCCTTCTAAAGATACATATCTAAAGCTTGCAGTTCATCTTCAGTTGACAAAGAGAATTGTAAGCTTGCCGACCTACCCCCGAATTTTTTAGACTTATGATCTAATATAGGTGTTTGGAAGTACTATTTAATATAGTACCACTAAGACGTGTGGCTAAATAGTAGATGTTTCATGAAAAATTGCCTCGAGATTAACTGAGAGTTCCAGAAGTAGTTGATACCCCCCCCTTAGAGTCTAGAAACAGGCTGATTACTCATTTAAACTTGGTGATAGTATCACAATTAGGGATAAGCGGTGTCAGCCTGTTCCAAATTAAAATATACTGTACTACAAAAAAAACTTAAAATCTATTGATTTTTTGGTGTTTTACAGTCAGTATTGTATATTCGTTGTTTATAAGTCTATAAGGAGGGTCCTGGATCATAATTGGGTGGGAAGTTAAAAGAAAGAGGTTATGTTTTATTTTGTAGAAAATATTAGGTTGCTCATTAGCTGACGGCTTCATAAAGGTTCTGAGGATAGATATTTACACCTAGTCGTACCCTGACAACGTATGAAGCTTCTTCACCCGTATCTTGTTCATGGTATTCATGTTTGAGAAGACGAATTAACTATTCAAGGAAAGGTTGTATACATATCTTGTAAAGGATAAGATTAACCCCAGTAAGCAAATTCTTTATTAGGAACCTCATACCCGTCTAAATCTAGAAATGGTAAGAGAGAGATGTTCTGCCAATTTTAGCTTCGAGTCTTCACAGAAATCTCTATGTAATTAATACGTAATTCACATGTTGAGTTGAGCGTCTGAGCTTTACATTTATTTGGGCAAAGTGATGTTTCTGATATAACGGAAGGTCCCAAGTGTTTTTCCTCTCAGATATATTACAATGATGAGACTAGTCACGTTATATCAGATACAGGATTCACGACCCGGAATAGAGAATCAGATTAACACTAGGTAATACTTTATTCGACGCATTTAAAAGCAGTCACACGGTAAGTCTGGAGTAGAAATCAATGACAGAAAAGGTAATGAAATATTTGATTGTCAGTAGGCTGAGTGCCTGTTTGTTCACACTCAGCGACCAATCATATTTGACTTTCACCACCATATATCTGTTCTCCATAACTCAGAATTCCACACTTTCTATGGTTAAATGGTAACTATCATTTTCTACTCCAAATGTCTTTGTTGTTTATTTAAACACATGGACATTGGTACAAGGAGGCATCAAATATGTATGCGCCACATATATCATTTGTGTGAGGGCTGGAATACTGGCCGGGCACCCTAACCGAATCAGGATAAATTGATGGGTTATCAACGTTATTTTGAATCTGGTGTACACCTTCACTTAAAGCTATGGGTATAAAATTATTAACCCCCTTGTAACTAAAATGTTTCTTGAATTGGTGAAAAGCCGCTCAAGGTTGTTACTGCAATATAGTTTCGCCCAATGGCACGTATACCCATGTTTGAGCATACAAATGTCCTCTTAAGTCTGAGATATATTGCGCACACTGTGAAAAGTGTATCATAAATGTGATGATGTCTATAGGGTTTAACCTTAGAAACTGCATGTATTCACTTATTTTGATTCCCTCACTCTTCTTTTTCAGTACGATCATTTTCATTGGTCGTGCTTACCCAATAGGTTTTAGAACTACCTCAAAATCAGGCCTTACTTGTGGATCTATTCTTGTCAAACTAGTGTAGTATCGTCTCATACTGAGTTAAATTCTCGTCCTTCTGTTTCACAAAAACTATATTTTCCTAGATTTTTGTGTTATGTGTGAGCCACCTGAAGATTTGTAAGGGGATAGGTGAACCTTAAATACTTTTATCTTTCAAAACAGCTTAAGCATAATCTTTAACTAAACAATTATAACTTCCGTTCAAGACAGGTAAATGATGAATACAAATAGTAAAAATTATTTGTACACACAGGTCACTCCTCGTGGGCTTTTCTAATAAAAGTCTTTTGTGTGAAAAAACGACTTAGACATATCGTATGTGATGCTTAATGTCTTTCCATTGAAAATCATCAGCTGGTATCCCACAAGATATCCGTGGGATTATTTCCAAAATTCAGTGTGTCATGGATCGTGCACAACTAATGATCATCAATAAATTATCAGTCACGCAAATTCTTATGAAAACTTCCTGGAAATTGATATTGACATCTGGCGTATAGCTAAATACGAGTATTCCAGTTTTCACAGGCAAAGATAAGAGTTCAAGTAACACATGAAGTACTGTGAAGATCCAATCTCACTTTGAACATGTCAATAAAAGTTGCTGATACTACGTATTATGGTGAAAAGTTCCTATAACTCTCGATTATATGTGTGAAACAAAAGTGCACACAAATGATTTTATCTCAGTTGCTTAAATTTCTGAGAGCTCTCTCTGATAGTCAAGTCTAAATGGTAGAAAAAAATAAGACATATAAATACTAAAATTTAACAATTAAACATGCATTACGCAAGATGGTAGTTTTACCTTGGTCTACAGTCTTTTTACTACCTGAATAGAAAAGCTTAGTCCTGTGACACAACCACACAGAAACCAAGAACCTTGGTGGACCAAAGAGAATTCTGCCCAACCTCGGATACATCGGGAAATTCGATCAGTTTTCACTGGTTTTATTTTCATCTAGAATGGATGTGTATTACGCTGTCGAAGTTTTAGAAATATGCGGATAATTCTAACTTATTTTTGGTTTCATTGTAGAGAAGCTGACAGTCAAATCTCCTTAGAATCCGGTTCCAGTTGTAAAGCTATTGTTGCTTGAAAATTTTTAAAAGCTTTCAATTATGAAAATTCGTAATGGACTGGTTTTGACAGCTTTAGCATCTCAAATATCATCGGGATTCAATGAATCATCAAAAAAACATAGGCCTCGTCAACATCAATATCATCGGCAGGATTCATCTTATATTACGAACTACATTAGTCGTGCACAAAAAATGGTGTACACGTTCAAGGTAAGTTAAACTTTACAATCTTCTGTACATCTCATACTTTAGGAAAAGATGGGTTGTCCTGGTATGTCTGTCTGTGTTTCGTTATCAGGGAAGATTATTTATCAAGAAGGTTAGTTATTAGTTAATGTTATCATAAGGAAGTATCACATACTTTTACTGTTTTGTGAAATCGTATTTTAAATATGATTTTAGATAATCTAATGTTTATGCACTTTCTGAAGGTGTTGGATATGCCAATGTTGAGCATATGGTACCAGTAAATGAAAATACAGTATTCCGAATAGCGAGTATTAGTAAGCCGTTTACATCATTATTGGTTGGAAGATTATTGGATCAACACAAGTTAGATCTTGACGAAGATATCCGGTCCTATTTACCTGAGTTTCCGGAGAAAATAGTCAATGAAACATATGTACGTAAATATAACTTAAATATTTTCATTATCTAAATGTAACTAACATATTTTTTAAAAACTTTATCACTTAAATCCTTCATATATTAGTCCATTTAAAACATATGTACCTTAAATGATGGTAATTTAACAAGCAATAGAAACAACATAGGAAGTGGCATAATGACATACATTTATTCAAGCTGCCACAATTCACAGCATTGAAATGAAGTTCTATTAATCTGAGGTAATAAAGAATACGATAATTCCAAATCAATTGTGTAAAAAACAAGTGATAAATATTGATAATTTATATAGCTTAATAATATCTTCAACATGTAGAGAATGTAGAATTGATACATACACATTGTTGGGACGAATTTTGAGCTAAACTTTTAGATGTCCACAACCATCATATTTATTCGCTTTAAATATTCCAATCAGGAAGTCTACGCCTCCACACACAATTCAGAAAAAGTATTTAAATTTCTGAATTGATTATATATATTAATGGTGTCAGCACTGTGAAAAGTTACTCCTTCACCGATGCTTTGTAGTTTGAAATGTTTAACATATATCTCAAAGACCATCATTAAAGCTTAACAACTTCATCATTTGGTTTCTTTAACCTATGTACTTACTTAAAACCTTAAACCAGGTCGAACTTTTATCACGCGGTAGTAGTTTTTCTACATCTATGGGAAGACACGTGTTTCTTCTGCTTTTGATAACCAGTTTCCACAACAATAATTAATACACAATGCATTGTTGCTAGGTCTATCCATTTTTTCGATAAATAAACAGATAATATAAGTTGCCTATTATTGAACGAACCTTGTTTCAGAATCCAAACTCATCAAAGCTGACAAAACTAAGTAATATGGTTGATACACTTGTAGATGGCGTCGAGTCGCGATTGACTATGATCGCCACTACAGGAAAATTACGTGCCAGATATCGAATTGGGTCCTTCGACATGCCAAAAGCCAAAAGGCTGTTAATGGTTGCAATATGGTTTATTTGTTGGCGATCTCGTTGTATCGAAAGAATACCGAGACGTGCCAAAGATTACAAGCGGAACTGCCGAGCGGAAGCGAGTTCGCGCAAGGTCACAGGCGACGGAAGGAAAAGTGTCTTTGGTACAGTTAAACAAACAAGTACAGTAAAACAATCACTGGTACAATTGGTTATAATAATAATTGTTTCCATTATACCAATCGCGTCCTCGTCATAAAAGTAGGTCACTACACACTCGTACATGTTACTCCTTAAACTGTGTGACTGTGCAGTTAGGGCATTATTTCAAATGTATTTTAGATAGTATTTTTTCACTTTAGGAAACTTTGCTGATTAACTGTCTAATCTACACTGAATGGAACAAATCTAGGCTAGACATTTGACTTTCTCGAGTCGACCGGTGATGTCTACTCAAATGGAGGAAAATTTATCTGAGTTAGCCTCCTCTATGTGCATTTACAAGTTCAGTTACTCCTGTGGAGATAGCTATATCGAGTGTACTAATAAGCAACTTAACCAACGAATAAGTGAACATCTACCTGCATGCTTTGGGAAGGGCCCAGATAAAAACAATACGCAGTTCTATCTTGACACATTTAATTGATAGTGGTCACAATATAGTTAAATCGAAATCATTTCGAGTGATCTATCGCATACCTCCATCATTTCCCAACGGAATTCGTTCCCATCTCCTTCATATAGCTAAAGTCATAGGAATTCGTACATTTCACTCCAATTCATGTGTACAGAAGAAATTTGTAACCCCCCTATCCCTTCCATGACCAGATAAAACTTAACAAATGATATTGTTATTACTTCTTAGATTTTATTTTTAATTTTGTTATCACTAGCATTATTTTCACATCCGTTATTTGTTTGTAATTTTCCACCTCTTTCCGTGTGTATTCTTCACCATCTAATTATTTATATACTTCTTATTACGTAATGGTTTTAATGTTTTGTGGTGATTATTTTAAGTCTATTTATCCACGTTTGTCCTACTATTCCCAATGTTGAACTATTGATAAGACTTTTGTAATCGTATTTTATTATTCTTACTACTATCAGTATACCTGTGTTCATACTATCAACTTGTATTTTGACCTATTGTGTGCGGTGACGTATTCTATTTCATTGTGATTGGTGACTCAAATTACCTTGATTGGTTTAACATTTTCGTATAAACATTCATGTATATTAGAGGAAAACCGGATGACGATCTAATTGAAGACGATTGTTCGCTTACACGCGTTTTTCTAATTTTCACAATGGGGATCTTTAATATTCTAGACAGCTGTACCGAAAATTACTGAAAGTATTTTTTCAGCTAACAGCTTAATATAAGCTATTTCACAAACTTAACGTGATCCAGGTCTATCACTTGTTCTCCCCTCCAAGTTTGAATTATTGATATTTGATTGTGGTTCAGAAGCTAAGGAACACTGGTATCACTCACCAATATATATTTTTCAAACTCCTCTCCAGCTATGGAATTTTAAATGTTTGAGTGTAATTATTGGCTTCTTCTAATGTCATGTAAATTATATACGATTTATCACTTATTATTGAGCTCTTATGAAAGATTATTATTTCTCAATCATCATTTAATTAGCGGATAGAAATAATCTGAAAATATCAAAGAATAATGACACCAAAAAGGCAATTTCATTTTGAACAACACCCTACATAAACTGTCTTACCATTTAACATCTTTTATAACCCCAGAAAGTGAGACTTAAGACAGATAAAGACTTCGATTTAAACAATAGACAAAACTCATAACAGAATTAAATTTTATCTACCTTCCAGAAAATAACTACAATATTTGTTTACAAAATTGAGAGGACGAAAAGCGAATGTCCGTCGCTTTAACCGGGTCGGTGGACACGGAGGGTTCACCTTGGGGGAGTTGGTAAACCCTGATTCCAAACCAATGGTGCATATGGACTCCAGGATCCTGATGGAACAAATGGCGTATGAATCAATCGTTGGTCACCGGCTACCACGGGACTGCATCTCCTTACGATGCTCCACTACTTTGTGGATCAGATCTTTAGGTCGAAGGCTCCGGATATGACCCCTAACAAACCCAAGTGCTTCAGTTTGGGCACCCGAGCAGTATCATAGCCTTCACACAAACCAAATGAGATTTGTTGGCGCATATATATCTGGTGCCCCTTTGTATCACATTAAAATAAAGTGATAGTTCTACCAAACAATTGTACAAAATTAAAATTTTAGGAATTAATACTAAACAAAAGAAAATCACACTTCATTTAAAATATGATTTAGTGTATTTTCAATGTTTTGTAAAGTTCTTATCATTAGTTAGTAAATTACTTTAAAATCTTAGTGTATTTTACATTAAGTGTTTGTAAGACTAAAGTTTTTGTTTCAGTGAATATTGACTAGAAAACTTCTGTATCATTCTCATTAAGTCTAAAGAAACATTAATTGGTTGCAATCGTTTTCGATCAAGTTTATCCAAATGTCTCATCGATAGAATTTATTACTTTTATTATTAACTTTTTTTAATCAACAATTCAAATGTATATTACTGGTCAAGTAATCACCGTTTCGCTAACTTGCACATATCTTGTTGAAGGATTTTATTTGTCAAATGTTTTTCGTGTAGATTTAATAATATGTTGCCTGATAGACTGATGGATTAAGATACGTCATAGGATATCTGAAGAGATTGATAAATCTTCAGAATACTTTATGACCAAAAGAATGTTAACCAACCTCTTATCATAAATACTAAAATCGAAGGTTAAAGACTGAGATGTATACGAAAGTTTATCAGTATAAAAAAAAGTCGATTTGTAATCAATTGGTAGTTAAACAGACCGTCTTGAATTTTGAATGTCGATGTTAAATGCTTTAGTAGATATAAGACACTCGTATTATCCCTTTTGTAAGGCATGTATATATCATATGATACTTGTGTTCAAAAATGAAATACTAAAACGAGGAAAGTATTGAACTTTCTTTATGGCTTTAGTTTTGAGTCCAGATGTTTGAATAAGGATAAAATCGTTAAAGTTGGTTAGTAGTATCAAACAAATCCATTGTCAATAATTTCTAAAATCAAGACGATATATAGAAAAAAAGTTACTGCTGTTATTAGGTAGAAGCGAATAAATCGATGAATATTACTTAATGGTTTATATACATAGATAATCAATTACATGTCGGGTAGATGCAAACATTATAATTATTTACGTATTTAAACAGTAATATAGCGAAATACAAGGAATAACGTAATGTAAATAATCCTAATGTGGAACACAAATATGAATAAATAAAACATTGTCTGGATCTCGTAGGATAGATGTATGTAAAATAATATAAATATATCAAAGCATCGATAAAAGTTTTTGATTTAGCAGAAATGTCAAATGTCGAATAAATTAACTTTATAGCATTAAAAGAAGAGTATAGTGAAAACTCCTTAGTACTAAGCTTTCATTTAAAACATACACGTACCCTGATTTGTTCGTTCCAGTCATCTTTTATTATGTAAGAAGAGTCTATGTAAGAAGACTCTATAAAATTACTAAAATCTCCACAAAACCCCTTCTGACAATTATTTGATTTCATTTTTTTTCTTACACTGACTGATGGAATGTACCTCAGAGGTATTGTGGTGTAATTTAGGAAGACAACGATTAGAGTCAGATCAGTCGCCAGTCAAGCTACCGAAAATGGAACTGGTATATTCATACATTGGACCGAACTTCTATAATCTGGATTTAAGTCATATATGAGTAGCGCGGTAAAAATATACTCTTTGATAAATAATATGTTAAACTTTTAACAATCAAGAAAAATATCTAATTACCTGTTTATTTCATAATTTTGAAATTAGGCAAAAATAACTGTTCGATCGTTGCTCAATCATACCAGTGGTATTCGTAGTTACAAAAAGATTTTGGATGAAAACAAAAAATCAGTAAGTATATTTGCAATTACAATTTATTCACAGGAAACAGTTTCATTGGAACCACGTTTTATAATTAAACACAACTCTATAAATACTTTAAGTGTTTGTATTTACAAACCAAAATCCTATTATTCTCGTTCTAAATTTATTCATCTTAATAAAAATATTTGGACAATTCGTAGTTTTATTTCAGTATTAAGTGTATAATTGAGTTTTTAACTAATGGAATTTACTCACATTCTTCACCGTTTGCTGAAATGAGAATCTGATACTTAACCTTTTTTTTAATTGTATAGGTCAGTAACTTGACAAATGAGACCAAAAATGTATTTTGAAGAGTCAATTTATTACTGTTAGTTTTAAAATGAACACGTTAGTGTTTTTGCAGTATCCATCAAAATATTCTTCTACGTCTAAACTCGAGTGAGCAATCATTCTAAAAACATGCAATTTATGAGTGTTTTTCATTATATGTGAAAAAAATTATATTTGAAATAGTCTCAGCGATTGAAATTTAAATAATTCCAACGTGAGTGTTTTTGACTGGTCTTAAAATCACATACTCATATGTGTCTATTGCCGTGCATATTTTCATATCTATCAAAGTCCGAGTTTAACACTTCATTTTTATCTATGAAAGGGATGATTGCATTTCATTTACTGTCATGTTTAGACACTTGAATTATTAGTAGAATGATCATGCAACTAGTTTGTCTTCTGTGTGATTAATCAATAAATGCGGTAAAAACGTGTCTGGATTTTATAAAATGTTTCAGTATGACATTAAGAACAAATCTCTTGTGTGCTAAAAATTCAATGATTTGTCAAATAACCTCGCAATAAAACAATTAAAGTGATTCGATTTCCAGTAAGTAGGATATGAGCTTTTAAATTATAACAAGTATCTCAAGAAATTATAAACACCTTATATATCTAGTTCTTTTTCTTTCAACTTAAGTTCCGAGAATGTATTTTTAATAATGGCCAACTGAGAAATAATTTTAATAGTTGAAAGCATGAGTTAACTGAAGCTAGGCCACCAAGGAAAACCTGAAAGCACTGACCGGCCGTTTCGTCCTATTATGGGACTCCTCAGCAGTGCGCATCCACGACCTCGCCTCGCAAGATTCGAACCCAGGACCTACCAGTCTCGCGCCAGAGCACTTAATCGATAGACCGCTGAGCCGGCATCCGATGGTGTTAATATCTAACTTCAACCAATCCACGAAGTTGAGCAACCGTTCACCAATTGTCTTCAGTGAGGACTTCCATAATAGGACGAAACGGCCGTCCAGTGCTTTCAGGTTTTCCTTGGTGGTCTAGCTTCAATTGACTCATGCTTTCATATGCATTACTAAATCTCCACGAAAAATCCCTTCCAAATAATTTTAAGACAACAAGTACACGTAACACACATAGTTAGCCATTAGTTGTGCTACTTTCATGCAAATGTTTATTTTTATTGTTATTTGATTATATTTAGGTGTATCCAGAAATGTTGAATACTGTTCGTTTTAACGATACATTAAATGCTTGTGATATGTTTAAAAATGATACATTAGTTCATTTACCTGGTATTGAATACACATATAGTACATTTGCATTCACTCTATTATCAGCAGTTATTGAGAAAATTTGTTTAAACAAAGGTAGCTTATTTGATCAACCATTAGCAACAGTTAAAGGTGAATCAAAATCATCTTGTGAAAAAGAAACAAAATCTACAAATAATTTACCGAAATGGGCAAGATTTGATACTAATCTGTTAAGACTTTTTCAATATCTCAATTTGAATAATACCTGTTTAGAGTATCCTGAGAAGATAATTTCTTCAAGAGCTGCGTAAGTTCTGTTTTTTTTTAGTTTATTTTTTATAAATGCGATTTGATAAATGCTTTTTTCATCTATATAAAGTGACGTAATATGATACACAATGTTTGTCAATTTGATATAACCGACAGAGGACAGAAACTAGTCAGATAACAAAGCATAAACCATATATGACTTTGGCATATATCTTCCGATCCGGTTCACCATACTTTACACTAGTACAACAAAAGTGATACTTAACACTATGAAAAACAGTGGAGTGGAAATAACGACATCAATTACAATAAAGGTTTGAAATCATTTTGCTGACTGAGCAATCAATTATGATGAATTAATACAGTCTAGGTAAATAACGCTGTGAAATGTTGAATTCACTGTCTATATGTAGGATTTTATTATTCGAAGCTCGCTGTGGCATCTAAATGGCGCGCTAAATACAAGCAAGTCAGTAATAAATTAGCATACATAACAAACACGGCGTGGAGAAATTTATAAAACTGACTTTCAGAAAAGGGTTAATTGGGAAATTTACCCTTATAAGCTCTAATGTGCGCCAGTAACTTCTCAGAAACCAGTAGTTTTAATGTCTATTTAAGTCTTTCGGCGATACCTAAGTGTTTAGTAGACTGAACTACATGGAAAATTTGTCAAGGTATCTGAACTGACATCTTCAAGTTAGAACTATTCATAAAAAGCTAAAAATTTTCCAACAAGTTCAACAATTCTTGAGGGATTTCACTCCAACTTTTGTTTAATAGGTATGTGGATAGCGATTGTGCTATGTTTGAAGAGATTACGAGAACCGGACGAAAGATCATCAACATAACAATGACTATTCCAGTGTGTTCCAGCCCTGTTAACTAGAGAGAGAAGACCAGGTTCAGATGAGGGAAAGTTATATTCCACAAGCAGTCAGAAGTTTTAACGAACCAAACACACAACCCAAGCGTATATGTACAGCACAAAAATGTCCTTGTGAAATGTCACAAAATAGCGCATTAAAAGGTGAAAAGATCAATGAGATTCAGGGCCCAAGTAAGTGGGAAACAATCTGAATGTAAAAATGAGCGCTTTTGGCGTGAACACGAAAAATTCAAATTTCCAAAATAGTTACAAAAATAAGCATTTACGAAATGAGTTCTAGGGATCTAGCGTCCATATCAGATTAAAATAGATTTTTCCACAAAGTTTCACAGACAGTATTGTATTCTAATTATTATCACTCAGTTGATAATCAATTTGTACTGATTTCTCTTTTAAATGAAATTATTTTATCTTTTCCAAGTCAGTATTGTCGTTCAGATAAAGGCATACTTACAAACACTCCCACAATTGATAATTCATATAAATGGGCTGGTGGAGGTATTCTTTCTACAGCTAGTGATCTAATTCGTTTAGCTGATCATCTAGCATTTATTTATATGGGTTGGCTTGAATCCTATGGAATTGTTAAACAATCTACTTTAAACCAATTATTATGGAAAGTTTCTTGTGTACCACCAGATCTAAATACATTACCTGGACTGGGTTGGTTTTTAGCTAGGTGAGTTTCACAACAATTTTTTATTTGGTCATTTCTATTAAGTCTATATACTATTTAAATGATGTTCGTGTTTATACAGTATCAATAAATATCCATCCACACATCTTTCCTCAATTGATAAAAAGTACAATTCATCTGTTTGACTAGTGAAGTTTTTTTGTTTTACATAAACTGATCAATATAGAGTATATCGTTAAAATACTTTTCTAATTTCATACTTATGAATTGTCATCTATTGAAATTTTAACTGGTTTAAAGAAGAAATTTACTTTGATAGGGAAATAGAACTAATAAACAAGCGATAAATAATATTATCTCAATGTATTATTATTTGAATGGAATAATTTTGTAACCAGGATACGAGATTTCATTATCTGTCAGTATAAAAGTACTGTATCGAATTGAAAAAAACAAACAACAACTCATTCATACTTAAATACCAAACACAGTTTACTAAGGAAACTACCTAACATAAATATAAAAAATCAAATTCCAATGAAATCGGAGTAGTCGAAACCAATAGTATGTGTAGATTTCAAACATAACATATCTAAACCCCGAATGCCATGTTACGGCCGAGAGTGGGAAGAGTCCACTCTCCCTCTCGAAATGCTCTCACATGGCCACGCGTATATAGCCTCTGCCAGGGAAGTCATACTCATTGCCTTCTCGTAGCGGGGGTGTTGTTTACGAAATTGAGAGGACGAAAAGCGAATGTCCGGCGCTTTAACCGGGTTGGTGGATGTGGAGTGTCCACCTAGGGGAGTCGGAAAACCCTAACCAGTGGTGCACATGGTCTCCAGTATGCTGAGGGAACAAATGGCGTATGAATCAATCGTTGGTCACCGGTTACCATGGGACTGCATCTCCTTACAATGCTCCACTACTTTGTGAATCAGATCTTTAGGTCGAAGGTTCCGGGTGTGGCCCCCTAAAAAAACCCACCTGCTTCAGTTTGGGAACCCGAGCAGTATCACAGCCTCCACACAAATCGAATTAGATTCGTTGGCGCACATGTATCTGGTGCCCCTTTGTACCAACATTTATGTGTTTAAATAAATAAAATAATAAATTTACTATATGCTTTAGGTAATAGAATTAACTGATTACCTAAATCTTGAAAGGTTGTGTCAGAGTTCAAACAAATGATCTAATAGATAAACATTTATTCACTCATTCATAGCTCTACACACTGCTAGTACTAATGTGTGTTATATTCTTTGTTATTCTTATAAGCTTTATATGCGTGAACATTTTTTCTTTCAGACGTTCAGGTGATCCAGCAACTGAAGAAAATGGCTACCCTGACCGATTATATGCATTGCATACAGGTGGTGCAGTCGGCGGTACAACTGTTCTTCTTCTTAGTCTCCCTTTGTTATGTAATAATGATAACATTCCTAATATGACAAATGAGATAAACGCTATTGCTTCTAAGGATAATAATCATAATTTCATTTCATCTATACAGAATAACACTATGATAATATTTCCAGTGAATAAGATGTATCCAGTAGATGTTCGAATAAAAGCAGCCAATATACCTCCAATTAATGTAGCTATCTTAACTAATTTAGAAAATGTTTCTGGTATATCAGAACTAGCTATAAATTTATCTGAATTATTTTTGGATTATGCTATAAAACTGGAAGACTTAGATGATGAATAAATAGAGAGATGTTGATTCAAGAATTATTGATCAGTTTGAATATTTTCTTTTTGATCTTTTTGTTTGTTATCTTGTAATTTCGCTTATATTTTTCTTTCCCATTGGATCTTTATTTAGAATCAATTAGTGACTTTGAAAGGTTTAATGGATTAGAAAATTATCATAATAACAATATCTATACGTGATTTAATAATAAGAAATATTTTCTTTACAACTAAGTAAAATTGAAAAAGAGAAGACATTTATCAACATCTTATTAAGCTATTTGTTTCTGTACATGAGGGAATGAGACAGTTGACCTGATGTCAATTTTCGAATTTTGTTTGTACTTCGGGAGTTCTTTTTTTGTAATAATCAATGTTTATTGTCATATTAACATTCGAAATTTCTTTTAATTTACATTTTTTTAAAATAATTGCATATATTGTAAAAAAAAGTTAATCGTTTCTGTATAATAAAAGGATACTCATGAAATACAAGTATTTGATCACAGATGTCTTCGAAATATTGCTTGCATCTGCTGGGATCACCGAGTAAGTAATAGTTAGGGTAGACACAGGGTATTAGGGAATGATAGTAAATAAGTTGATAACGTTGTAAATATTCATCGACTGAGATGATTGGGCCACGTATTATCCATGTCTAACCACGGATTACAACATCGCGCAATGCTGATTAGTGTTGGAGACGGATGGAATAAAGTTATCGGGGCCAAACGAAAACGTGGTATCAGACCATAAAGTAACTAACTTTTGATCTGAGCCATGTTAGTAGATGCAGACTACTTGGTTGGGGGCCACACAACTATCGTAACCAGTTATTGGAAACACTAGATGACAAGGCTCCGAGTCGATCGCAATCGAGTAGGTGTATACGCTCTTTGTCTTCTTTTAAACCGTGAGATTAAAATAGCTTTATATCTTTCTTCTTACGAACCAATTGTTTCTCTGTGTATCATGTCCTTACATGCAATCTTTTTTCTGTACATATTACTACCATTAACGTAGCTGTTTCTATGAATTTGGATTTCATCTTGTTGTGCTAGTGAGGTATGGCAAATTGGACCGATGCATATGCGTACCTTGTCTTATGTGGGAGATGTCTGACTGACTGAAATAATATCTAAATAATGTATGTTTAAATGTACAAACTGCATCAAGTCTAGTAAATATAGAAGCTATGAAGATGATAAATACGTACGTACATATTTTGAAGATCTAATTAATTAACAAATGATTATTATCATTGAAAATAAAATGGCATTGAACATTTTACCACTCACTGAGTTCCAGTTTTAAATTCTCTCTGAATTTTTAATTAAGAACAAACAGTTATCTATAACTTCTTGGTTAATGTCAACTTAAAGTAGTAACTTCTTTAAAAATTAGTTTGTCACAGATCTCTTGATTGAATTAATGAATTTTAAGCCAAACAGAGTGCAGTGAATTATTGTTCACAATTTTGTTTTTACATAAGAACTACTTTCTTGTTAACAAGATTCCAACGGTTGACAATCTGCAGTGAGCTCTTTCAGACTTCATCTTCATAATGGTTACCATCTCAAAAATGATACATAAATAAATTGCTGTCAAGTAGTAGTAATTAGGTAGCTTTACTTTCTGATAATTTCTCTATAGTATCACATAAAAACTTGTTCGAGTAGAATTTTACATGTGGTTGCTTTTTTAAAGTGTCTTATTGATAGCATTATGCTATAATTTCATTTTCGAACTCAAATTACCCTTCTATTAATGGGTCCATTCATATTTTAATGTGCTGTCCAGTTACTATGTTTACATTTTATCTAAATTTACGCCAAAATTTTCAAGTGTTTTGAAATCGTTTGAAACAGTCTATTAGTGATCAATTCTATTTCGTTTTCAAGATACTTGAATTTACTGGAGAAAGACAAAGTTATCAATTTTATTTATTTAGAATATTTGACGCTTCGGATATTATCTCTGACTGGTTATACAGATCAGTGGCAAGCGTTTTCTAAATGATTTTTCATAGTTACAAAAAAAATTATTTTAAGAAATATTGGTTATTGAAGTTATTTAGTAGTCCATCGTAAGATAATTGTATGATGTCAATTTTCGTAAACTCTAACCTCAGATAGTTAATTTGATTGTTTATTTCGTAATAAAATAATGACTTTTTGTAATTGTCGTTCAACATATGCAATTTTTTTTACCTACTGCAATCGTTCAAATAAACTCAGTCACAACGTAGAACTTCGTACGTACATACATCAGTTCGAGTTGCCGTACCACATTAGCACAAAGATGCAGTTGTCGATATATATTTATGTACTCCTCTATAGTTGAATAAAACTTAATGTAGTTATATCCAATACTAAATTAATGCTATTTGCTAATTTGAAAGAAATTATCTGAAGTAAAAAGTAAAACAATTCGTAAAAAATTTTTTATTCATATTCACAGGTACAAAGATACTTAACTGTAATAACCATTACTATTACGTAATTACATCAAGTAATAACGGATTCATTTTGACGGAAATGCTATCAACAACAACAAAGAAAAAAAACATTTATTTGTAAGTGAATGAAAATGGTACTAGTTAGTGAAATGATCACGTTAAATGAATGTAACTCAAAATAGAACTTTTTGAATAGATTACGATTTTATCTTATTTAACATGTGGTGTACACTTTAAAACAACAATTATAAGTTGAAATTAGCTACGAATATTTTGCGAATTTTATGTACAGTAATTGCATATCATTAGAAAAAAAAGTGACTGCACAATGTATGTTACGAAAAGAGAATGAACATTACTAAGCGAAAGCTATTGTTACATTAATTTTTTAACTGAAATCTATCAATCATACTTCTCTTTTTGAATGTATATATGGCTAAATACCTTAGTTTATTGAATAACAGTGATGTCACTTTCTGCTGCAAGTTCAATGGAAATTCAAGAGCATCGGTCATTTGGAGCAGTGGTTCAATAACATTATCAGGTTCAATATAAACTCCATTTACTATAATTCAGGTAGTCGCATAATAACACTAGACATCGTAGTAACATAAAAAAATCAGTACAAATCCGAGGTCTTTTTATCTACATTAGACTTTTGTTTATCTCTCTAAGATTATTTCCCATTGAGGGATATAACCAGAAAATGTTTGAGTATCAAATAAAATTCTAAAAATGTTTTAACTTACTTGAGAATTTTTAAATTCCAAATATAAAGAAAATAATAAATGTAACGAATGTATTCGATTATTGTAAACTGGAATGTCTAGAAGGGCTTTTAAAAGATGGAAGATTAATAGGAAAAGAAAGAGATAATCGTTTAGACAATAAATGAATCTAATTCAACTGTTAGACTATTATAGTAGATTATCAAATGAGACAGTAAGGAAACACTGATGTTATCTAAATTTGTTAATGAGTCCAGTTGGGATGGATTTTTAAATGTCTGTCCCAATCAAACCTCCACGCATATAAACTGTAGAAATTGCTAGTTGATACAGATAGCTAGAATTTTGTGAATAAAGGCTGTGAAAATTTATATAGCTTAAAATAAACTTACAAAGCTTATGCAACTTCACGGTTGGTAACTAAACTTATAAATTTGTTTCAGAATTAATCCGTTAATTTTAACAGTTATATAGTCTACGTGCAAATAGGAAGTTCAGCAGAACGTCGAACACATAAACTTTTACCAATCTATAACATTTTATGATCTCTTCCTTAGAATCCTTCCATAATGGGTAATGACTATTGATTCTTGTGCCTGTAATTATCGCAGGCATTTTTTCACATTATCTAGGGAAGTTTTTTAATTTTCCTAAGAAAAAGTCTGTTATATCCAGTAATAAGTGCAACACGTATATTTTTATTGACATTATATCTTCAGATGTTTCCCGGAAAAAATCAATTGTTTTTATAATCTGAATTGAATTGTAGTTTACATCATAAAATGAATTCAGTGGAAACCTAGGAAAGACTACACAGATGTTTAAGTTCTAGTATTGGACTTTTCAGAAATGCACATTCACAACGTCATCATGAATCGAATTCAGGACTTTCAAACCTCACGGTGAGTGCTTGACCTTTACCCAATATCGTCCGTAACAATTAGTGATGGTTGACTATTACCACGAACAGACTAGCATTAGAAGTGTAAATCACTGAATGTCAAATGAGGTTAAGCATTATTCGTGAGGCCTGACTGTTCTGGATTCGGTTCATGGTTGAAGGTCCTTGAAAGTGTGGCTCTGAAGAATCCCATACTAAGATGAAACAGCCGTCTATTACTTCTGTGCCTGGTTATCTAACTAGTATCGGTCCGTCACGTAAAATTAGTTGAGCAATCATCACAAACTGACAAGATAAATTATTTCATTCGTAAAACTGATCACAATAATGAGTAAATACGTTCAACAAACAATTTATTGTGCAGATGGATACATTATGACTGTAACACATTTGATTGGTTGGGATTAAAACGCAGTTACTATCGAAGTTTACTAGTTAGTGGTATTGATAAGTTAACTATTATGGATTGACACTCAATATCTTGACATGTTATAATCTTCGTACTTGAGAGTGTGAACCTACAGTGACAGCAGTTTGATATATATACTTTACGCATACCGTGGTAGCGCCTATCTTGATATGCAACACTATCCGTATTTGGTGAGAAGAATAAATTTCAAAATGATTACAGCCAAATATAGTACTCATTTGTGAAATCTTTTTATAAGCTTTGTAAGACAGTGTGTACAGATTAACTGTAACTCATGATCTATTAAATACTAAACAGCTCAGATGAAATAACGTAAAATCAAACCATTCGATAATAATACATTCTTCTTCTTCATCTTTCCTTAAACTCTTCAAGATTTTGTTTCTCTATGCATATTCGTTCGTTTAATACTTAGGATCCTTATATATTTGCTTATATATTTCACCTTTTATTGATTTTCACTTTTACTTTTTTGTACTGATCAGAAATGTTGCATATCTTGAACTGATACAATTGTATCATACATTCTACAATATTCTGTTCGTTTGTTGATCGGTGTCAATGGATTTTAGATATAGTATTACGACAGCATGAAAATCCTTAAGTGTTATCAATGCAATATTTTTCTTTTGTAATAACAGGTTAGAGAAATTTCATAGGAAATGTATAATATAAGTTCATTATTCATAATTTTGTTACACATACCACAGATAATATCTACATAATCTTTTAGACTACAATCCAACTGAGAAAGTGATAGTTGCATATTATTTATGGTATCTTCAAAAGATGTCGGCCATACGGCCATAAGTTCAGATATTTCTGGCATGTTTCTGTAAAAGTAGGAATAAATCAAACTTTTAAAAATAATGAAATAATAATGGATTTGATTTAAACGAATCAATCAATATTATGGTGTGAGCAGATCTATTATATATGTCTGAGAATTATACCAATATAACATCTGTCAATCAGTTAATGAGAGATTAGCTCCTGATAAGCCTAAAAATAATATGATTTCAACGTCATCTCATTATTGTAAGAACTTATTGCTGAAACTAAACAGAATTATGGAAAGATAAGTCAGTCAGCTACAACGTAGGACCAGGCACTTATATGCATCAGTCCAAATTGCCAAACGTCGTTAGCACAACAAGATCAACGCCGAATTCATAGAAGCAGTTAATTCAGTGGTGTTGATATATAAACGAAAGGTATAAAAGGATATAGTGCAGGAAGGAAGACATAAATGATTGTTCAACGGAATCCTAATTAAGCTCATTACTAGTTTACCTCTTATCGACTAGAACTAATTAATAAATGCAATATTTTACCAACAGTAATCTTGTCCTCAGTAGTGACTGATTTCAGAAGGTAATTTCAGGAGACCTACTGATAAACCGCAATCACCAGAGTTGAACTACGTTAGATATCATGCAGTTACCTGACAATGGGATTGAATGACAGTTGCATAAGAGAGTTAATTGACTGAACCTTTAAATACAAATCACTGAATGCTAACTCATTAGTCTTAAGACCAAGCCCTTGACACGAGACTTGGTGATCCTAGCGTCAACCCCTTCTGGGGTCGTGGATATGCATTGCTGAAGAGCTTCATACAAGAAAGAAACATCTATCCAATGTTTCCTGATTTTCAATGGTAACTTACCTCCAGTGACTCAATGATATGAACTAGTTATATAAATCTCCTCAGCATAAAACGGGGAATTGAATTTAATATGGTTTTCTATCTATCGACTAAGAAGTGGCAACATTGACTAATTAAAATAATCAGACAGCTTGTGATAATCATTTATGCAAAATTATACCAAATTGCGACACTACGGACCATCGTGGAACAATCAGTTGAGTAGAACTCGTCACTTTACATCAATTCCATTGACTATGAAAAGGCGTTTGACAGTGTGAACCGGAGAACATTATGGAAACTTCTTCGACACTATGGGGTACCTGAGACGATTGTCAACATTATCCAGAACTCAAAAGACGGACTACAATGCAAATTCGTGCATGGAGAACAGCTGACAGATGCATTTTCAGTAAGGACCGGAGTCAGACAAAGCTGTCTACTCTTCCTCTTTCTTCTGGTGATTCACTGGATTATGAAGACTTCGACATCTGAGAGGAAGCACGGAATACAATGGAAATCTCAGAATCAATCAGGAGATTTGGACTTCGCAGGTGACCTAGCCATCCTATCGCATACACACGAACAAATACAGACGAAGACAACAAATGTAGCAGGACATACGTTGAGGTAATCACCAAACTGCACCACGAGGCAAGCCCTGACTTGGAATCCTGAAGGGAAGCTTAAAAGTGGGAGGCCAAAGGACACATTAAGCTGGTAAATAGAAGCAGATATGAAAATGATGAATAACAACTGGAAAGGATTGTCCAGAACAGGGTTGGATACAGTGCTGATGGGCGGACTATGCCCCTCCGGAAGGGATAACAGGCGTAAGTATATATATATATATATATATATATATATATATATATAGTCTACTCACCTTGTATAGTGTACAGTTGGTGCAGGTTTAGCTCTATACAAATCTGTTATACTTTTGATCCAATTTTCTATAACTTTTGTTTGTTTTTCAGCGTTTTCAAGACTTTTAACTATCTAGAATTTGTAATATTTAAAAAAAACAAGCAAAATAAACTAAACCTATGTCTTATGGTTTTTTGATATCTAAAAGCAAACTGAAAAAAGACTAATTCTTCTTATTACTCTTCCAATTTTAAATGTTGTTAGCTGAGATTTTGATATTAATCAAAACGTTGATTTCAGCACTACCTCACAAAAACATTCATTAACCCCATAAGGTGATTGAAGACTACAAAAAACAAAAGTATAAGAATATCTATCGATCCAATTGTTTGTTCTTTTCATACTGTATGCCCGTTGTTTTTATAATCATTAAAAATACAACTTATTGCTTTTTCTTGATATGCTGATTTCTTGATCTGTATTTTTATGGATGTTATGAACATATTCATATTAAGTAATATCACAATATAATAATATTTCTGAGTAGTATACAATGCCTTTGTTTTTTCTTCAGCATATGATATTGATTCTATAATGAAGTGTAATAACCAGGTTTCTTTTATATTGCATTGGAATACAACTTAAGACATTTGTATATTGGCCAGCCCAAGTAGTTTTCTTGTTTAAGTTTCTTCCTAGTGACCTATCCATTCTCTTAGTACGTAGTACATCTAGAAAAGCTATTCTACCTCTGTTTCCTTCTTCATATGTGAATTCAATAGACGGATGAATTTCATCAAATCGCTTGAGTATCTTTATCCGGCCAGTATAGTCGTTAGAAAGGATGAACTCATCGTCTATATACCAGCAGTAAAATGAAGACTTTTCAGTATCTCGTGCCAATAGAATGTTTGCTAGTTTAATGAGAAAAATGTCACCTAACATGCGACCTAGTGGTGAGCCCCTCGCGACACTATCTATTTGGCTATATATTTCACCATCGAATTTAAAGTTAATGTTCGTAGCACATTTCAGTAATAATTTTTTAATGATATCCACATAAATTGTAGCCTCTATTCCCTATTCTCTAAGTCGTTCACAGATACATTCGACAGTCTCCCTGAGTGGAGCATTTGCAAACAATGATGTTAAGTTCATGGTCATAAATCATTATAATAACTTCAGTGAATTAGTCTTGAAACTGCCATATTTATTTATAATGAAAATCAGAAGCTTCGTTACTGATAGTGTGAAAGGAATTATTAGAAGTTGAGAAACGTAAGTTATTAAGTTCTCAATTCTTAGCTGAAGACCTCATGGTCTCTGAAGATTCAAAGGTATTGGGTATGAATTAATATGGTATTGTACTAGGATGAGGCAGTCGTTCGGTGCTTCCGGGTTTTCAATGACTTTCTAGCTTAAATCAACATATGATCTCAATACAATTCGAAAATTCCCACTACCCTCGTATTGATATTTCAATTTACTTCAAAAACTATCTTCAAACCAGTAAAATCCTCCAAAAAGTCCTTAAGTAAAGGATGAATTAAATATTAAGCAACAGCTCTATGGGTAATTGGTTTAAAATTTGAATACCAAAAAATAATCAAATAATTTGTTATAACTTGTGTCTTATTAATATATGACGTAAGGATACCGCCAATTAGAGAACAGTGACAGTTCGACCGAACCAATGACGCATAAACCCGTACTAGCAATCTTGAGTCCTTATCAGTTTTTCTTCCTGTCTAGCCTTGCCTGTTGAGTCCAGAACACAAATCGCAGCCTCCACGTTATGAATCATGTGTTTCAAACATAACTGGTTTATTTAAAAACCAAACAGACCACATCATACCATAAACAGAAAATAATATTTGTACAAGATCAAGCCCAAAAGTGGCTGTGATTGTGGTTGACTGTAATGAATAAACTGGGCATAAATTAAGAATGGTAAATCGTATAACAATAGTTTATAGGTCAAAATAAAGCTTATAATAAGAGAAATGTGAATGTACGTAGTTCAGTAACTTAACAATTATGCAATAAAAATATATGTATAGTCTTAGTCCATAAATAGATCCCAACAGTTACCATTCATTATTCTCGTCGGGATATATCATAATTTAATGACATTATTTGATTAAAAGAATACGCACAGAACTTACTACTTGTTTTGTTGCAGTTTGTTTTGACAAAGCTCTCAATTGTAAATTAAGTACTGTTGGATCTGACTGATTAGCACATGGTTCATCCAAGACCAATAAACCTAAATAATCTGGTTTACCATCTGGTCTGGGCACCTATTTCAGTAGAATTAAAGTGTGTGTTTAAAAACATCAGTTATGGTGTTAAAAAAATATTTCATAGTTGATAGACATTTATTAAAACCATGGTGAATTATCCGCTAATAGATTGTCAAAAAGATCTAAATAGAGACGAAATCAAAATATAGACTGTTTCTGCAATGTATTCATACATTTCTAAACAAGCTATTTAAAAACATAGAATCCTGAATCTGATTATATATGCAATAAAAACAAATAAAGCTGAAATATTTGCCGTATGGAGTTTACTTCTCAATGCATATATAGAGCTTTAAAGATATAATGAACATTGCACAATAACACAATGAGTCATATTTATACGCTTAATGGTAGTCCTAGTGATGAAAACCAATAAAGAAGTATAACACCTTAGATAGCTATAATTAATCCGTAGGGAAACAAGATTTTATTCTGGCTGATATTCATTACCAAGTCACTTCTGTATTCTTTAAGAAGTTGGTTGTTCTACACTCACTCCTTAAAAGTAAAATAAATACAAAGCAATAATTTGTTTAACAATTATTATCTTCAGATATTCATTCATTAGGAGATCTTATATCATCAGTTCGATTTTTGGAAGTAATCATCATTTAGTCATTGTATTCACTGGGGTACTTACTGATTAAAATAGCCAAATCTTGCTGTATTTACACACAATCTACTTACGCATTATTATAAGATAATTAGTCTGAATAAAAAAAACATTTCGGTTAGAATTATACAATTGGTTTAAGCGATACACTTATCTGCTATAAGAATTCCAAACTATTTAAGTAACAAGATTTATCTGAAATATTGTTTGAAAACAACAACTAACTTTTAAAAATGCATCAATATCTCCAACAGCTGGTATATAATCAGGAATAAATGGTTTCAATTTTGTTTCTAACTCGATTGTTTGCGGTGTATATCTAAGATGAAGATAAAAACAAAAAAAAAACGATTGAGGTTTTTAGGTATCAATGCTAAGGTTGGACTTGATAGTTTCAAATAAATTGAGCATTGAGTAGAAAGTTCATAATAAATATATTTTTTTTGTTCCATCTCATTGAATAGAAAAATTGTATTTTGTACGTTTCGTGACTTAATTTAAGCCAATTCTTCAGAGTATATACAATTTTTCTACTGATTGGGATATAACAGAAAACATACTTATTATTAAAAGATACAGTAAAAAATAAAATATACATTTAGATTAATGTAATTTTATATATTTATAAAGGAATATTTATTGATAATATTTATGTGTTTGAAGTTACCTTTGAATATATTCAAAGATTTCTTTAATTTCAGATGATACAGTCAAATGTTCATAATCGGCCGGATTGTAGATACTAAAAAGAACAATGAAACAGTTTCGTCAGGAGAAAATTATTGTCAACTTTAGTTATTTCTATCATATACTCATAACTATTTATTAAGTAGTAATATACAATTTATTTTCTCTTTTATGCAAATAACTATAAAGGTTCTAGAATGAAATTTAATTTGTCGTTTAAAATTCTGTTTATTTTAATTGATGTCTAAAATTATGAAGTCATAGATTGGTTAAATGTCACGTTTAGAAGAATGAAACAAATATTATTATTTGTACTCAATAACTTAGTTGATGAGATATTGGAGTTAAAAGAGAAAGGTACTAGGTTCAAGTCCCAATGTGAACATTAATATCGGGATCCAAATGCACGTAATCTTATAATTTTTATGAATGTTATTTCAGTGTCTATATTTTTTCTAATCATTGACCTATTTTCCTATTATGTAACACTGATTCAAGCCTTTATTATTCTTATCACAACTAGTACACCTGTCATTACACTATCAATTTGTACTTTTCACCTATTATTATTTTTAGTTATGTAATCTATTCCACTGTTATCATCGCCTCATAAACTGCCTTGATTGGTCTAATAATTTCGTATATGCATATAAATATTACTGTATATTAGAGTAAAGCCTGATGAGGATCTAATCGAAAACAATATTGTTCGCTTATATATGTTGTTCCAAATGCACCAGCCGACAAGTCCGATGTAATACGAAACGCACACCCTGGATTCAACTGTATGCAGTTATCGAACTTGTGATTAAATAACATTATCTAGGGAATCCGCTCAGAATAAATGCATGCCAATGGAGACTGGTCCGTTGTAGTCAGTAACACCAAGAACGCGAAAATACAAATCTGTACAAAGAAATATGACTTATTTTGGAAATATTTCGAAAATTTCATTTTATGTATGAAAATACGAAATCACTGGGAAGATCTTTCTTCTTACAATCTTTTTCTTATTTTCATAACAAAAATATAAAATCCTTTGAGTTCTTGATATTTCCAATTTATTTTTTATTATTATGTAACAGAAAATTAGCGTCCAGCGAGTAGTTTTTGTCTATAAACAAAATTTTACATAGTTTTGCCGTTAAAACTAACCAAATGTTCGCTAGCATTTCATTCTAATAAAGGATGATAACCTCTTTTTTTTCTTAAATAGAGTAGATTTAATCGGTTATCATATTTTATCCAACGCAGGTTGGATGGTTGACTAACAAACCGCTGATTGGTTGACTTATTCAGTCAGCGAATGGGTAGATGAGTGTAACAACGTAGAACCTTGTATGATAGTGAATGGATCCAACGTTCCCGAGTTTTTATAAGAACAGAAAATAACAGTAAATATATGAATGCTAATAAACAAGTGTCACATTCAACTAGGTTGATAACAATGCAACTTACGAAGTATAGATTCGTGCATTTGGCTTTGAATCACTAATCTTGTGAAGGTTAGCGATACTGTCCAGGTATCTAAATCGAAGTAGGTGGAATGTGACTCAAACTATCGACTTAATGGTTTTAATTTGAAGGTCTTAACCACTATGTCATCTATCACATATAATCGGTTTTCGCTTAAATAAATTATAATCTTCATCCATCTATTTTGTTTCCTATTTGAAGTGATATCTAGCGAATGGAAACTAATAATCAGTTATCTTTATAATATAATATTGGACTTTGATTTATTTTATTTGTTGCTTTTTAAAAGTTTTCTATTATTTCAGTAAACAAAAGAAACCTACAGACTATCGATAATTTCATAAAATAAATAAATCCCTGTATAGGATGTTCTCTTTTTTTTGTAAATTTGACATACCCTTCAATCACATCAGGTATATTAGAGTTCTCATCATCGTCATTATCATCTTCATCATCATCATCCTCATCATAGTCATCATCATCGTCGGAACTATCTAAGAACGATAAAAATAAAATTAAGATTACGATGAAAAAATGTTTATTTCAATAATTGGATTACGCTTTATTTTATAAATCTAAGTTTACTACAAAGACTTACCCATACTTATTTATCAGCGAATGACTTAACTGCTCATCTTGTATTAACTTTACTAATAATCATATGAAGTTAGTGTAAAGATTAAAAATGTACATTTATTTCTTCTTCCTTTACATGTTGCATACACAAATGACTTAATTCAGATCTAAACCAAACTATAAAAATTGAGTGCTTAACTAATTAGCCCTCATCTTTCTACATTCTACAAGCAAAACTGAAAGGTGGAAATAATTCAATGAATACTTAACCTAAAGTAATGTTCCCAGTTAAATGTGTTTTATTTATATATCAGTCATATAAGCAACCAACCTCCATCACTTAATTTTTCATTGTTTGATTTCTTTTCAATGTTTGATTTTGGTGCAGTCTAATAATGTTAGAAAAAAAGAGGAATCAAATATTACACTTTCATGCTAACAAGAATGACTTGAAATAAGTATACATCATAGAATAATATGAGATGCAGAACCTTCAAAAATGAAGCATTACTTAATTGGTATTTGGTTTTAGTTCTGAACTTTTGGGAATTATGTGCTCATGATCCTCTATGAGGTAGAACCAAGAACCACCAGGTGTCGTTGTACGCGTTATGTCAGTAGACACTTGAGTTGGAATTAGGAGCTAATGGTGGTATCTAGAACAAAAGTGGTTAAACTATTTAGCCTAGAGAAATAAACACAATTGGTATCATTAACTTGAGCTACTGATCTTTTCGGTATTCTATATTTTTGGTTTCACTCAATTTGTAATAAGAAGTGATTCTCACCTAAATATATCTGTAGAATACTGTTTTATTCCTGATTTGTTGCTTACAACAGGTCACATTTCCTTGTCAGAACTTGCTACCAAGCCCACGAAACGATTGTACGATACTCCCTTTTTTACCAGTTTTCCAACCGAGTAGGTGGAAATTGACTAGAAACTACAAGAAATCTCTACAATAACGTTATGGCCTATAAACAAATATGACTAAATAATATGAGTAAAGGTTTCACTTGTAGAGTAAAAACTAAAACCTGCTGCGTAATGCAGTTAATGTCTACTTAAATGTCATATCTTTTCGTTAAAGATAAGTGAACGACGAAACAAAAAAGGAAAGCGACATGACTTACTTTGATTGATTTATTTATTAATTCGTTATTGATTTTTCTGAATGATTTGTTGTTATCTTCATGAGAATTTAAATGAGCAATTAGATAAAAAGAGTAATAAAACAAATTAAGCGAATATATTGTAGTCAGTAAAGATATCATTTATGAAGTGCTTAAAAACGCTTAGGACCGAGAAGAAAGTTTATTATATTACGATATAGTGTAAAATGAAAATTATGTTTGTTTCATACTTCATATGATGGGTGAATGGAAAATAAGACAAGGGGAGGGAAAAGGAAGAGCAATCAAAATAACAACAGGATTGGGTGAATAATAAAGTGTATAAAAGAACGAATGAAGGAAAATATGCAAATAGTGTATTTAATATATGATTTTCATATTTTACAAGGTCACTGTATGATTTTGTTTCATGGTGTCGTTTCGTTTACCTCTCAGGAATTCTGTCCAAGATTACTTAGCAAATATGAGAAAACGTTTAAGAGACTATTTATGATATGAAGGAGGACTTAAAGATATACTAATTTCGTGAAATCTCGAATATCTCAGCAAAATTATTCTTCTCCAAGATACAGAAAACCGATTGTAAGCCTTTAAGAAGCTCATATGTCATATAAGGCTACCACATACATTCAGATTCTATCGTATTTTAGCTATGGATTCTTTATTTTTACGGCGATCATGGGGCATAAAGTTCTGTAGGTCACTTTTACCATCTTCCATGGTGGTTAGCATGATATAGTTCCATCATAAATATCAACTTTGTGTTTATTATTTTATTTCATGTGATAAAACAATTAGGTAAATAAGAGAAATATTTTTGTTCAGGCAAATTTGTGAGAATTCATCATAATGGGAAGATAATTTTCACACTAAACCGTTGTTGAAGAATAGATAGAGACCATAGAGTGTTGAACGGCTGGCTCGTTCTAATATAAAACCTTCCAAAAAATATGTGTCCACAATGTTAGTCAGTTAATCACAAGCAAAGTGGGATTTAGCACAAACATCCATCAGTTCACGCCACTACACTTACCAGTACGAGTCAAAATTGTCAAAATGCATGCCAACATAGTAAAAATAGCAGTAGTGTTGATGTGATATTAAAAAACGACATAAGGCGTAAAATATATGATTAAAGAAAAGTTAAAAACTCCAAAGTATAACGGACAAAATATTTTTGGAACTTATGATCTGAGGAAAGACAAAAACATTATTCATTTGTACCGCTGACACTAGTTTTAAGTCATGTTACTTATTATCTTCGACCCCTAGTTACGATAATCGCATAAATTCCAAACAGATGGTCTGAGTCTGCCAACATGGCTTAGTTCAGTAGTCAGTGACTTCATGGACTGATACCATAATACCACGTGAGATCAAATCCAGGGCTGACGTTGTAGATGCTCATTTTTCAGACGTCTCACGCAAAAACGGATTAACTATTTAGTCTACCTTCGTTTATAACGGTTTTCTAGCATTCTTCTTATATAACAAATAAAATCGTTTATTTCATAAAGGTTACACTATCACTATTAACTTCACCAGAAAATAAATTTCTCAAAACCATTAATAAACACCAAGTATTATGAGAATGAGTTCTTCATTTATGTTTCCTGTAAGTGTGTAAAAATAACAACAATCTATTTAAAGATATATATATATATATATATATATATATAAAGACGATATTGTTTTACTGGATCAGAAATGATTACATAGGATGTTATTTTCCATTCTATATTTTTATCAAAGTACCTGATGAAAATGGTCGTATTTCTCAGAATCTCCATGCAAAACTTACTGGTATTAGCTTTTGGCAGTTTTGAACTGAAGTAGGCTTTTTTTAATATTCTGACTATGATCTCTTTCTTTTTATTACTGCTTAGGCCTACTTTCTCTGACAGGTTTCTTGGGGCTTTAAATTTCTAAAACAATTTATATTCCCAAGGACATCTTAAGTAACCGATATTTATTTACCTTATAAACTTTTCATGGCAAGTCCAATAAATTTTTTTAGACAAGGAATGAGTTTTAACTCTGATATAGCCTTGCCTAAGGATGAAAACAAGATATTCTTAGTATGTGGTTCTATAAATATTTCATTTTATTACCGAAACATATTGTAAGTATATTTTCACATAGAAAGACTAAAATATCCATCCTGGTCCTAAATCAGCAAACAATAAAACAAAACTCAAGAATCGACTGATGATTAATTCACTCTACTTTCTATATATTAGAACTTTTCTAGGGTGAAACTAAGTGCTTTTAAGGCTTTATTTGTTTATTTAAGAAAATATGGCCACAGAAAATTTATTTTATCAAAGTGAGGACTTAAAGGCCTATTCTTTATCAAAATAATATCAATTCGTGTTATTACGCCTGCCCTATATTCAGTTTCACTGATTAAAACATCCTTGGAAGCACCGAGAAGTTAGGAGTTCTATCTGTCCTGTTGGTTCACTCAGTTTTCCCGAATTTGTTTCATCATTAATCATTTTAACAGTGAACCGGTGATCGACAAGCAAAACAGGCCTCATGTTCTTAATATTTCCAGAAAAACGTCGACGTAACAGTTGCCCTATGATTACATTACTCAGAGAGTCTGCACAGTTTTCGATTGAGGTCCTGGTCAACTTACAAAGAGTTACCTTTCAGCTAGCTATATCCCTGAACATTCCTCAACGTTTCATCGAATTTTCCAAGTTCTACCGAAATCCTATCAACTCAGTTCATGTATTAACTGGATAAGCCAAGTAACAACAGGTAATTTATCCCAAAAAATATTATGAATCGTCAAAAGTTACCTCGAAATTTATCGAAATTTTCAGCAAGAGACTGTTGCAGTCGTGGCGTTGCTATATCTTCGGAATCTGGCACATCAACTGTTTCGTCATATGGTTTGTCCATTTATCTGCATATTTAAAAACGTGGGACATCTAAGCAGTGCTGTTTTACTATATATATATATATATATATATATATATATATATATATATATATATATATATATATATATATATATATACAGGTTGTATGAAGAAAGTATAATTTTTACTTTAAAATAAAAATGGCTATCTCTAACACTAAATACCAGTAAACAAGTCTTGGAACTTGACATTATAAAAAGTAGTTATAGCACAAGTAAGTTGCTGACTAAACAACGGAAATTCTTTTTTCGAAAAAGATCCACCTAACATTATGATGAGAGAAAAAAATTGGTGTTTAATAGCTTGTCATAAAAACCTCTCGATTTTGAGAAAATTTCTGGGTTCTCCTCAAAGTTAAGTGACAATTGGCAGTTCCTCCCAAGTTTAAACAAATTTCCTCAGACCTGAGGAAATCTCGGCGTTTTTGTTCCATTGCCCCGAAACGGATAGAATTTTCCCCCTAATGGGAAGATTGGAATCTTTTGGATTTATTCCATACATACTTCATAAACTCATTTTAAACTCCCATTCATGAAATTTACTTAACTGTTAGAAATAGTAATATGGTGTGTCAGAGATTTCCAAAAACAAGGTCAAACAGATGATTAAATATTTGAATTAGGGTTATGACAATTATATAAATTGACATGAAGCCATGTTATAATAGAAGGAAAACCAGCCGAATACGCTCTTGTCAGTTGTTTTCAATTTTAGTGGTTAAGAACGATTTATAAGTCGCCAAATTATGTTCAGTGGAAGGTATTTCAACACGCCCACGTCAACGTAGTTATGACTTCAGTATTCAAACTTCAAACATCTTTAGGTAGACTGCACAAGTACTTTGTCTTCTGTAGCCTGGATCTTGGTAGTATGCAAGGGTGTTAGGTCGCGAAGGCGTATAATTTATATTTTACTCTAGCGAAAACTTAGAAGATACTACGTAACGATTAGTTGAATGTTAGTAAACAGTTTGGAAGTGACAGGATGCTAGACAGCCAGTGTTAGTGTTGACAGTGATGTTTTCTCAATTAATTCAACTTTCACCTAAATCTTTCAGCAGATGGAGCTTCAGTGACTTGTCAAGGTGATGAATTCCACTAGCAGATGATTCGATGGGACAGTCGATATTCAGCTGATAAGTAATTTGTTCTGGCTCGTGAAACTGTCCTCGCAAACTCTGTTTTGGAAGACAAGAAAACTGAGGTAATATCAGACGCGAAATTATCACAAAGGAATTTTAAAACTGTAATCAAGTTACCTGTAGTCCACTGATATGACAATGGTGTAGCGGTAAATAAATCCCAAACGTCAATAGCTCTGTATGTGTTCGACATTGGATGATGACCACATTAGTTTTAATGGACTTACCTTGCTGAAGGTTCTCTGTCATGCGTCCGAACCAGATAACGAGCGGGAACGCCATGCTCAACTTCTCCTGCGATCACTAGTCAGTTTAGATCAGTCACTTCTCGATATATCGATGACCTATCAAATATATCTTCCAAACTCCTCGCTTCTCACTTTTGATTTCATTGGATGGGCATGATTCAATTACAGAAGATGTTGCTGGTAAAGTATTTTGAAGCTACAATACCTGCGGCATCCTTAATGGGAATATGTTCAGTTAAGCCAGTCGTGCATCATACGGGAGCTTTGCTTTCCCCGGAGGCAGCTTTGCCGATATTCTTTGAACATTTTCCAAAAACTTTCTATCATTTTTTGCACGGACCAGCCGCTTATTTTCAGTACTCAAGTTTTGGACTCACATATACTGTATAAACTCAAAAACATTTTAGCGTCATCATGACTAAAGGCTCTACGTATTGATCATAGGGTTCTAAAACCTTTGGCGGCTATTGTACTGCAGTGTGCAATCGTTTTTAAGTCTGGGATAAGGATTACTCCCAAGTTATGGTGCATCTGGACAACATGTGACCAGCGTTATTGAACTGTAACTAGGTGACCAATACGCATCACAATGCTTTTGAAGCATTTATCAGCAACTGCCAAATTTTAGACCAGTTCCATATTTCCATCAAGTCATTTTGAAGCACCAAACTACCACTTTTACATTTTGTCGCTCTCCATATCTTGGTATTATCAGAATATAGCAATACCGATGATAATAGGAGACGAGGAAGCTCACTTACATACAAGAGGAATAACACTAGCTCCAAAGCTTCACATTCAAACGCTTCTCTAAGCACAGTTCCCCAGCTAGATAAATTTGAGTTCACTCGTACACTTTGTTGGAGCTCAACTAGGTGGTTTTTTATCCACATTATTAAATTACCTCAAATCCTGATATTTATTGACTTGTAAAGCAGCTGATTGTCAGGAAATTTTTTAAAAGCTTTGCTGAAGTCGATTCAAGCTACGTATATAGATAACTTTTGTTCGTTAAGAGCGCAACAGCCTTCACGCGCCACCAATACGGTAGTGAGATGGGAACAACCTAGTCTAAAGCCATAGTGCTTTTCTTAAGGATCCGGTTTTCATTGAGATACGTAAATATCTCCTTCAGTATAATATTTTCGGTATTCCTCAGGTTTATGTTTCGTACTTGTTTTGAAGACAGGGCTTAATATGGCGTTTTTACAGTCTTTTGGTAATCAACTCTTGTTTACGAATAGAATAAAACATATGCTTATGGAATTTGCAACGAAATTAGACAGTTCCTTTAGTAGCCATGGATGCATTTTATCAGGTCCCGTGGATTTACATATATCAAGCTTATTTAGCAGACCAAAGACATCGAGTTATTTAATGGTCACATTGCCCAGTGTATGTGAGGGTGCATGTATGAACTTAAAAAGAAGGGTGTCTGTGCGGTAAGTATGTAGAATTATGATATTTTTCGTTATTAGTTTTGCTCTAATAATAGACCCAATCTCAAAATTTTAGATATGTTATGACTGCCTAATCTATAAGATTTCGCTTGCAAGTCACATCATATTCTATTGTGACTCGTCGTATTGTGACAATCCGCCAGATAACGCGTGGCTTTTGTAAAGAACACATTTAAGCAGAAGATAGAATAATATGAGTAAAGACAAATTATACGGAACGATCACGTCGGCGAGGCTGAGTCATGTCGTTCAATTGAATTGAAGAGTGTTACCGCGTTTTCCATGGGTAACATTCTCTTCGTGTCAATTGTTGAATATAAATCTCTTCAATTATCATATGATCAGCTTCGAAGGTTTTGTGGTTAGGGTTCAATTTCACAACATATACACTGCTAAAGTGGTTTGAGAGTAACTGTAGATCTACCACAGTCGTCCTCATAATGATCAAGCATTACTGTCTCTCTATAGTGATGGAATATTTCCTCTTATTCCGGTCCTTTGTTTTATATACTAATACTGGCGTTTAGGGTATTCTATAGATTCCCTAACAATTTCTTCTTCGTACAAACTTCCAGACTTACGGAGGATCGAGGCAGAAGTATTTTGAGCTGTTGTTGTACTGTGTATCATTACTATTTTATTCACAGTTTACTTCATCCAAAAGCTTTATTGGTCCGTTGGCGTATAATTGTGATTTTTTACTTTATGTGAGATGCGGTCCAGTACGTTTGTGCACGAACACATATATGTTTGGAATACAATAATAATAAAAATCGGGCCACAGAATTCCTAGACTCAGATTAGGACACAGAGAGAAGGTATCGGGTATGTGACGGAATTGTACAAATCCATATCAGTTAAAGGCTAACGGTGTTGCTCGGGATTAGAGTTGATCAAATCAGAGACCTAAGGGTAATAAAAACATCTAAAGTGTAGAGTTGTCCAAATAAGAGTTTCAACTCAGGTGGTTTAATTTTGCACGTAATGTTGGTCAGAGTCATAGAGCGCAATAGCTTAGTTGACTATTTTCATATTCACTAAGCCTAAGTGTTTTTCCATACAATTGAAGTGTGACCCGTGTTACTGCTGTATTTAAAGAAGGACAACGGAATTATCCTTAAAACGTATGACCGGCTACACACCTTCCAGTTGTGAATTTGCCTGCTTATGATGATCTTAAAGAATTATCTGTTTTCTGATAACTTCATGATCCGATAGCACAAAAGTGATAAGGCCCACTTTTGTATATCCAATCAGACAACTTCTATAAATAAATGGAAAACCATCCTCGACAACAAGATGGTGAATGTGATCTGCCCTAATATCTCTAAAGTTGCTAAGAGGATAGATCATGAACATCTCACTGTCAAGCTGAAGCTGATTGATATCAGGCCACCATTGGTAAACTGGTTGAATTCATATCCAAATAATCGATTCTTTAAAGACAGAGCGAACTTCTCATCTTCTCTTGCTGTGGAACTGAAGGTGTTAAGCTGTAGAGAAGAAATTGCAACCAGAAAGACAGGCGAGCACTACTCGAATAGAAAAATATTATGATTCCTTCTATACTAAAGAACGCGAATATCTAAGAGCATACCCATGACTGAGCCACCAAATCAGTTCATGAACTCAGACTTTATGACAAACGCCTTTAATCACTAAGTATTCACCCTTGGGAATGTAGGCTAATCAGAGACATTATTATCACGACATAAGATATCACAAGTACTTCTGGGCACTCTCTAAAATACCTGGATTGGCTCGATACTAGCATACATACTTAGGAATACCTATAAATTATAATAACAACACTCAAAGTTGGGAACATCTACTCGTCAAAAGTAGACAAGTTATAAAATTTATCACTGCACTAGGTGGTCAAACTAACTTTCGAAGGGTTTTTCAAGAAGATACTCGGTACATTCTTAAGAAACCAGGACTATTTCATATCAGTCTATTTCCATTTCTTTTCCGATAGTTTCATATACTTTCAGATACTTTAGTAGAGAAATCGGCTATCCATAACTGCTAGAGACGTAAGCTTGTAGGCCGGAAGCTTTTCCTAATTGTTATTTTAGTGATTCACTAAGAACGACCACGTTTCTTCTGCGCTTCTGAGTGACGAATTAACTTACTTCTAATCGGAGTGAGTTGTTGTCCTAATGTTAGATTTTCCATTGAAATGAGAGTAGTTGTCAGAGGACTTGCCATATCAACCAGACCTGCTAATATTTTCAAATAATGCATGAAGTCTTTGGATCAGACCGTAGATAGCCATTCGGAAATGACTGTTAGCATCTTGAGGAGGAAACATGGATTATCGACCACACATTTACTGTAGTTTGTTCAGTTTAACTTTCTAGGACTAATAATAAAAGTAAGGAGTGAATTTTATCACAGTATAATTTGATTGGTTGGATTCATTCGTTTGTTAGCTGTCTGACCAGCTGCTAGAATGACTGACCTGAGACTTGGTCACAGGTTTGAGAGATGACATGTTGTATTTCTTGATAGTTTGACAGCTTGTTAGAATAACAAACATCAGTGTCATAAATGGACTGAAAGATTTCAGTTGGCTTTCCATGAATGATTGTCTCATAAAAAGGGTAACCATTCCATGTATATGTAATTACTTCAATATCATGCAAGTATGTTTCATGTAGACAAATTGTTACTTGAAGCTTAATCTAATCAAGGTCGCTTGTCCTGCTTTAGCCTCTTGGCGGGTTTTCGAGTTTACTGTAGTGAGATGGTATTAGTGTGTTGACAGCGTCCATTTAGTTAATAAACTAAATATGTCTGTACTGAGTGACACTTTGCATGCTGCAAATGGGAACGAAGAAACAGTTTCGAAAGCAGACATGTGTCCTCGCAGACTTTCAAGAGTTTCGCGCTTGAGGGATATGTTCCAAACTGGCGTTGTAAAGCCAATCGACGATACTGAAGATGGATTTGATATAGAAAGCCCCGTATTTTCAGCATACGCCTGTCCTGATTTCGAAAGGTTTTCAAGGTTAGTTTCGTGATTTTTCATACTAATTAATGCGTGCTTTTATGAGATGATTTGTTATGCGTAATACCACACTTGGAGTACTGTATCCAAGCAGCTAGCCCATGTCTGACAAAGGATACTAACTCAATTGAGCTTTTACAGCGTGTGGGGGTGGTATTAGTGAATGGTCTTACTAAACTCCCTTACGATAAGCGTTTAAAACGCCTTACCTGAACAAGTAGTATCAGCTCCATTAGTGAACATTTTCAAGGAGAAGCTAGTCCTCCACTGAAAGGCAGTCTGTCAGGATTAAAACAGATTCACCAGCAAACTATCCTTATCACTGAAGACTAAAGGCGCTTGATAAGGTTCACTTTATCACTTGTCAGTATAGCCGGTGGGCTAGCCCTAAATTATTCATTCGTGGGATCCTGCTCATTTGTGTGGGTCGTATGTAACTAAATAATTATGCTGGATTATAAGTGTAGGTTTCCATTCACCAAGGCAACCGAGCGAAAAAGTAGAAAGGTTTAATTATTACATTAACTTCCTTCTCCACTGTTGTGGACGCTGCATTTCTTTACCGACAATCTGGGTTTATTATCTATGTCCCTACTGGAAGTTTATATCTGATATCAACTCACACTTTTGTATTATGTTTCCGTAGTGTGGTGTATACTGTGGATAAACTGCTCTGACTGTTGCAAGGACTGCATTAGCTTTCCAAACATTCACTATTGTGCAAATGCTGGAATGGCGTCAAACTCCTCAGTTAAAATGCATTCTACATAATGAGTCAAAAAGACTAAGCGTGAAGGTCAAATGCTGTTGACCAACAGAGTGGAAGACACTATATTTTTTATTATTTGTTTGAACACATATTGGTAGAAGGGGGCACCAGATATATATGCGCCACACAAAACAATGAGAATGGGAAGAGAAAAACGTGAGGTGCCTATAAGAAAAAAGAAGAACAATAACAACCATAGATTGGTGTGTTAGTGTAATAATGTTATAATAATGGGGGAAACGGAAAGGTACAACCAGAAGAATTCTCTCATTTTAGAAAGTTACAACCACTTTTTATGAAGAAAGTAAAAGAAGGTTACAGCTGGATCGCCACTGGTTTCTACTCTGAGCCATATCTGATAACGTCTCTAGCCACTGTGTTGCACCATCTCTCGGACCCCAGCCAGGGAGTCGTGAAGGACCAACAGAAGCTAGCCCTTTGCAGCTTTCATATCACGACACCATGTCATACGCTGACTACCTCCGCTTTTTCCAATTAGTCCCAGCGTCGGCAAATAATGCACGATGTCGAATCCGCTGGAACGACATTCGGAAGACATATCTAAGTCACCGAAGTCGATGTTTGAAAATAATGACACTAATTGAATTATCGTCGCTGTGTCTGGATACACGATGCCGAAACTCTGCATTATTAACATGGTGTTGCCACTGGGTATCATCAATCCATCAGAGACAACGATGATCAAGCACAGAGAGTTGTCTAACATCATTTATTTTATATTTTTATTTAAACACATACATATTGGTACAAAAAGCACCAGATAAATATGCGCCTCACAAATCTCATTTGATTTGTGTGAGGGCTGTGATAATGCCCAGGTGCCCAGACTGAAGCAGGCGGTTTTATTAGGGGGCCACACCCCGAGCCTTTGACCTAAAGGTCTGATCCACAAGGCAGTGGAGCATCGTAAGGAGATGCAGTCCCGTGGTAGCCGGTGATCAACGATTGATTCATACGCCATTCGTTCCATCAGGATGCTGGAGCCCATGTGCACCATTGGTTTGGAATGAGGGTTTTCCATCTCCCCTAGGTGGACCCTCCGTGTCCACCAACCCGGTTAAAGCAACGGACATTCGCTTTTCATTCTCTCACTTTCGTAAACAACACCCCCGCCACGAGAAGGCAGTGAGTAGGACTTCCCTGACAGAGGCTATATATTTGCTGGCCATATGAGAGTATTTCGAGAGGGAGAGGTGACTCTCCCCACTCTCGATCTCGTCGTTCACGCTACCACCAGCACTTATGCAGTTACCTAGATACACGAACTTCTCGATTACTTATATCTGCTCACCACCCAGGATGAGTACAGGATCAGAATCCTGCCAGTCTTGTGGGAGTACTTTGCACTTTGAAGGTGCAAAACACATACCGTACCTGTGGACACTGATTAAGTGCGGATTGCATGCCTTGGGCATAATCGCACATTAAGACAATATCATACACATACTCAAGGTCGTGAAATCTTTCTCCAGGCAACAGATCCACATCGCCATCAGGGCTGTTTCCGGAATGTCATTGATGGCAACCCTGTCTAGCCCCACTGCTTGAATGAAACAATGGAAGTCGACTTATCCCCCGGTAGTTGTTACAGAAACAATGTGAACCCTTTTTAAAGATGGGAACAACTATCAACTCATTCCATGATTGAACACTCTCTAACTCCCAGACCTTTGTAAAGAACGTTGTCAGTTCCTTAGCCAAAAAGTCATTACCATCTTTAAAGAGAACCGAAGGTAAGTCATCTGGGCTCGATTACTTGTAGCGTCTCAAGAGTTGGAGTTCCTTGCGGACTACTGCCTCATTCGGTGGACTAGCCGTCACAGACCATGGAAGTCAGGACAGTCTGATCGATGTTGCCGAAGTAGCAGACCAGTTGGACTGCTCATCGAAAAATTTCGCCTAACGTCCATGACGTCGATAGATGTTAGTGTTTAGCATCCCGTCATCCTCACAGATTGTTTAGCTCACACCAGACTTCTTGCTGCCAGTGGCTCGGATGAGTTTGAAGATCTCCCGGTAGTTACCAGATGCAGATGCTTCTTCCATCTCATTGGCACGCTCCAACCACCAGGCTTCTCGGTTCTTACGCAAGTTTTGCCCAGTTTCATTGCATAAAAGCCTTCGTTTGTGGTCAAATTCACGGTCACTCCGAGTGGACCGACAGGCTTCGATGAGTTGTAAGGAGCCAGAAGAAACCCAGTGCTTACAAGCGGGACGTTTCGCGAAGCCGCAAGCGACTTTACTCGCCATTCTCATGGCGTCATGGAGTTGCAACCAATGCTCATCTATACTTTTCGGTGGGATGGTAGCTAGCCTAGAAGCTAGCTCCGCTCGATACTTACTTGCAACAGATGTTGCAGCCAGTTTACTAACATCAATCCATTGATGACGGTCAATTCGGCGGCCACTGCAAAGTAAGGTAAGATTGGCGCAGACCAGGGCATGATCAGAGTCCAGATAGGTACTCCAAAAGTAGCGGCAGTCTTGTACGCAATCACGCCGGCGGTAGGTAATCGCAATGTGATCAATCTGAGTCCATGCTTGAGATACAGAAGGAGGACACCAGTTGGCACATCGGCGGTGACTGTACCTTAGATTAGTGCTAGCCAGAAACAGACACTATAATACTCTTTAGTCTTATCTGTATTGGAATTCTTAGACTGTCACTAAAGTTAATTTAGTTGTAACGGTTGAAAATTTCACACACGTTTCATAATTAATCTCAATTATGTAAATTCACTCTCCTGACTTCATTTTATACTCTTGATGTATGGGGCACATGATTTCTTTACTTAGTCTTCACGGAATATCATATAAAGTTGGAAATTATCTGAGTTAATAGTGATTTTTCTTACCTTATTTGCTTACACAGGGCCTTTCCGGGGTCTCCACCTATGAAAACTCTGCGCAATCATCGAACAACTCTAAATAAAAATGAATCGACCCAACATAGGTAAGTTCTTCATCCTCTCCATTTCACGAGTTTAACGCAAGAGTATATCTATTCATAATGTTTATAGGTTTTTTTACTTTATCATGGGTTGCTACATATGGTAGCTGAAAAGTGGCATTATAGGTTATGTATTGACCATTTCAATATTTTAGCTATATTATCTTGAATGAATATTTAGCTTTAGTCTTGTAGTGTATCCATTAGTAGATCAGTGATTCTATCTTCTGGAATCAATTTGTTTGAGATACGAAAGTATCTTCCGTGAGAAGGTGGCCAGTTTGGTCACCTCAGTAGTTATCGGTCACTACTCGTTTTTTCAGTCAACAAAAAAGTTAACAATTGGAAATCGTCTGAAACTCAGGCTTAAATTTCTTCTAGTAAACGAGTGCTTGATTCCTTAATACCTTAAGCATCTTAGTGCTCCTTTGAAATTCCACCAAAAACGGTGGCCATCCTAATTTAGTGTTTACCAATTGTGATCTGCCCCCAAATACCCTGGTACGGCCAAGAGTGGGGAAAGTCAGTTCTCTCGAAATGCTCTCATATGGCCACGCTTATACAGCCACTGCTAGGGAAGTCCTACTCACTGCCTTCTCGCGGCGGTGTTGTTTACGAAATTGAGAGGGCAAAAAGCGAATATCCGGCGCTTTAACCGGGTCAGTGGATATGGAGGATCCATCCATGGTAGTTTGAAAACCCTGATTCCAAGTCAGTGGTACACATGGGTCCCAGGATCCTGAGGAAATAAAAGACGTGCGAACCTTTTGTTGGTGATCGACTACTATGGGACTGCATCACCTGACGTTGCTCCACTGCCTTGTGGTTTAAACGTTTAGGTCGAAGGCTCGGGATGTTACCTCGTAAGAAAACCATCTTCGGTTTGGGCGCCCTGGAAGTGCCCCAACCATTACACAGATCGAATGAAGTGTGGCGCATGTATATTTGGTGCCTCCTTGTACGAATGTTTGTGTTCGAGTAAGTAAATAAATAAAATTGTGGTCTGCTCACTGAAATTCACCTGTCATTATCACCTAATTTTTCTTTCGAAGTCGAGTGCCGTAGTGTCCTTTGAATACTTCCTTTTTTCCCAGTAGAACAGATTTTTCTGACCATATTCACAAATTGTCATAATACTCACAAGTCTCAAATAGTTTTACGATAAATTACCATTGAATTGTTTTGGTTTACTTTTGCTTTGACAGTACTACGTCATCCAGATCAGTTGATGGAAGTTTTTCTATACCTGAATCACTTTCTCCTCTTAAATCTCCACCCACAAGACCTCCTAAGCCTCGTAATATATCTTTGTCGAAATCTGCTGTTCTTGAAGAGGTAAGAGCGCCATATCGTTTGTTTTTTAACAAACAGTCAATATTTTTACCTGTGTATTGAATATAAATATCAATAACGTTCTAACCAAAATATCAAGTGATTTTAATCTCTGCAGATTACTTACAGGTTCAGATGAAAAATATCTGGGCTGCTGGAGTAAATTTCATCTAACCTCAGTCTATATGTCCAACTATAACTTAAAAGCAAAGGATATGTACAGCTTAAACTAGCTTTTATTCATATGGTGCAGTTTGACAGGTGTGAAATTATTTACTTTCTTTTTAGATGGTTTCCTAATAAGAACGTACTTATTGTTGTCGCCATGAGCCAACATTTGAAAGTTGCTTTTATCTAAACATAGTAACAAAAGGAACTGTTGTGAATCTTTTTCAGTAGTACTTTCTGCAAAAAATATCTCCAGTTCACGGGTTTGTAATGTCTAATATAAGGGGCTACAAAAACAAATGGATTTCAATGGTCATTTAAGAGCACAGGATAAACAAACAACTTCCACCATTACGAAAAATTTAATAGGGACGGGCTGTAGGGTTGACATGAAATTAACATTTTTTAATGTTGTATAAGTGTTCTGTGGTATACGCGACTGCTTGAGGCCCTTAACCACATGAAAATCCAAACATTTATTTGATAAAAAGAAGTTTGCTTTCACCTTGCACATATGGTAAGATTGATTCACTGTCCATTGCGGTGTGTTTCACACTGTTTCTTATTATCCTTGCTTCCCCTTGCCTTTCAGTTTTTCTAGTTGACCTTTTATTTTCATATACGTTTTAACAAGTGTATGTGATTAGATAGTTCGAAATTTATTACGCTAACATATTGCATAGTTCTAGAAAACCTCTTTTCATCACCTTATCCAAATTTATACAAGGGACTATTTGTTTCAAGTTTCATACAACGCTAGAGAATTTCATTAATCAGGGTTATATTGTTTCATAGATATCATTTATAAGTGTTACTACATTAATGACGGTTGACGCTTAATTTAGCCATTCCTTTCATTACCTTTTTGACCCAAACTTTCATTCATAATGCCGTTTTCAAAGGTGAAACTAAAACCAATTTCTTCGAAAATCGCTGCTGAAAATACATCTTGTAATGGCGTTACAGAACCGGTGAAAATTTCCAAGTATGTTTTCAATTAAATTGTTTGTAGATTTAACACCAACCATGTTTGCGCCCAATCTATGTTTACAAATCTTATTGTAGATCATAAAATCAAATGTGTGTATACCTAACCGTTCCCTGTTTTATTGGTTCAATTGTTTACATATTCATGTGTGCCCCGAGCGTTTTTAAATATGAAAACAGTCGTCAAATGTAGTTTGGTGTTTGCCAAACTAATTTATCATCAATGTAGGTCGTTAGTACAACAGGATTTACAACCAACTTGTTTCTTTTGAAACTTCTATTTATTCTGGATTGGTTTCATGATAGATACATGTGATACATGAATATATATTTCTTACCATTCCTAATTTTATTGAATATCTAGTAAATGTGTGATGATAGAGTTACTTCTAAACGGAGACGGAGTAACGTTCTTGTCACAATTCATATTCGGATTCTTATCGAGCTCTATAGCATTTAATTTTCCCGTAGGCTTAATGATTAGAAAGTGTAATATGCTACGGCTTATTAACATTGTTGACTTATGTAAAGGGTGAGTGAGTCAAAACTTTAATAAGTAGTTAATAAAAACAATCACTTGTTTCCACTTAACTAAATTATGACAACTTATACCACATTATTAGACCACTTTTTAATATCATTAAACAACACAAAAGGTATAGTGCTATAAAAGTGGCTTATAATGTAATCTACACCCATTAAAGTGTTACTAACATAAATAATAATATTGACCAAACACAGCAGATAAAATCTCATAAAAAGACACCCAAAAAAATTTCACTACTCTCAATTTGTTTTTAGCTTTTCACTCACTGTTTTCTTTGAAGATGATGAATAGAAATAGAAATCGCTAAAAAATAACTGATTGCAGCATTGGAGTTAAATTCCGCTTCATATTTTTGTTTGGTGTTATATTCGCTCACTGTTATGTTCTGTGACACTAATGTTCATATACATTGATACTTACATTCTCCCCAAAAGTGTATACTGATATCTGCATTCTGAAATAGTGTGGACTTTAGCATCACTGTCTGACACATTCTCTATCAACAGAATTAATGAATATGTAGATGGTCCTCAATGACCACCACCTAGCTCGACAGCCGATGTTTAGTGGTTTAGAAGTATGTTGTAAGAAAGTTAGGGGCTGCCAAACCAAAACACCAGTCCATAAAATCATTGACCATGATTCCGAGCCATGTTGTTAGATGCAGACTGTCTGGTCGGGATCCGCGTGGTGACTGCGATCTATGATTGAAAACTTTGGATGACATGGCTCAATATTGTTCAAAATGAGGCAAACGCATTCATTTTTCATCTTCCTCTGGATATTCATTATCAATATTCCTTCAAACATACCTTCTAACTGTCTTTCGGTACCATATTCACTATGTCCATTCTTTCTCATTATCATTGTTACTAAATTATTTCAATCTCTTTTGCCATTTGTTATTTTCATCTCGTTGTGCTAATGTAGTGTGGCATCTTGAGTCAACCCATATTAGTGTCAGGCTCTATGTTAACTGGAGTGACTGACAAGAATTTATTATTCACTTCGATCACAGTTTGAAGTCTTCCCATTTTTACCATTAAATTACTAATGTTATATCTGTTGCCTAGACATTTTATCAGTTTGTATTTTGCTTATATTCGTTCGGTAAATCAACCTATTATTTTAGTGGTTCCATAAATGATCGACCAATCACAATTCTCACTCGTTTCGTTTTTTGTGGAATACATTCTTCCCTAATGTGTAGCACTCGGGTAATTATTTTTAAACCTAATATTCCTTACCTCCTTTTTATTTTTCTTAAGCTATTCGATTACTAACGTTGGTAATAGCACAGATAATCAACCGTCGACAGTCAAAGTAAATGGAAGTTCGTTAAACTCAACTACCACTCGAAATTCAACTCCTGTAACTATTATCAAAGCAGGGCCGCAACAAAAATTCAAAGATCCCGTTGAATGTTTGTCATATGCTTCCATAACTCCTTTATACTCGTCTAACAAGAATGGGAAGACAACTGAAAATGATGTAAATAATGCTATTAATAATGACGGTATGTATTAGTATATACTCATATTTTTGAGCGATACTTTACATTATGAACTGGGATTAGTTGAACAACCATCGAAAACCACTAAGTATCTGATAGATGTTTCGCACAGACATAGGCCTCAACAGTGCACACCCATGACCTCTCCAGGTGTTTAACCGACAACCATTGGGGTTTCCAGTATATGCATTACTGTTAGATCATAAAGTTGATATCTGTAACCGGCTTGCATTTTCAACTTCAATGAATTCACTATGTTACAAAGTGTTTGCCAGTTTCTTTAAGCAGGTTATGTTACTAGTTGAAATGAATGATGTTACCAATCAATCTTTTGTAGCAATCAGTTGTAAATAAGTGTTAGTAAAGTTCATCAATGTACTTGGATTTATTCAAATCAGATAATGAGTTTTCCTTACTGTCGTATTAGATTTTCCTGCTAAAGTAGTCTTTCTTCAACTTCACTAAAAACATAACTATGAAAAATGGGATAAATTAAAAATGAATAGTTTAAAAGTCTTTTAAATTATACTATCCACTAAATGATTGTATATAATCAATCATAAATGAATATAAATGTAACCAAATCAATCGGCGGAAGTAATACTAGTATTAACTGTTACATCTAATTAAATCAATGAGCCTTAATCTCCCCACTGTTCCTGCCTTTAGGTATGCAGGGAAAAGTACTTTGGAGCTAGTTAATGGGGTTAATACTGTAGGTTAGTTAGCATAATATTGAGGCTGCAAATGCATGAGTTCAACGTGTGACTAATCAGCCTTGAGGGCAGTGAAACTATCCTATTCACTGTCTGATGACCTGTTATGAAAATCCTGATTGACTGGGAAAAGAAGAAAAGACATTTACGGTAGACTTCTATATCCGATTATTATTTAACACATGCGAGTACATGGCTAAATATGATTCCTTAAATCACAATGCACAATAAATAAAATAATACATTAAATGTCAAAATATGGTATTTACGGTACAAAAATAGGATCCAAAGCTCGTGTTTAAAGTACTATAACTTTGTGATAAAAACAGATATGATGTCTACTTCAGTGCAATAATGTTTAATAGCCTTTACAATTTTATGATGTATTAATAAGCTAATTACCATTCAATAAATTGACTGATGGAAATCATCCTTGAATATTTTATTCCAAACATGTACTTGATTCAATCAAATTTTCTAGGGTTAGTTTATTCTAAATTTTTTTTAGTTCATAGCCAGTCCTTCGAAACAACCATTCAACCCTCCGAAGACTTAAATTCACAATCAACTCATTCGTAAGTGACCCCTTAAACAAATGATTCTTATTTATTTGACAGATTATTATTCTAACGATGCTATGTTGTATTTTCAAATATCAAGACATCATTGAATCTTCATTTTTTTGGATTTATGTTTTTTCCTACTTGTGTAGTGTTCTGTTTCTCATTTATCTTTCAAATGTACTCCGGTTTGGTCATATCCATTCTAAACTAGACAATAAATTACCATTTATTTATGCTTATGTGGATACAAAAATCTTAAATCAACCTTCCAACTGTTTGTAATTTCTTGTCATTATCGTCTTATGTAAATACTATTTGTTTTGTCCAGCATTCGAAATTCGGTTATCCATACTAGTACACTTCTTACTGAACCTCGAAAGTGTTATGTTTGAAGCGGTTACGAGTTCACTTAGTCTGCGAACGGAACAAAGACTTGTGACCAGAAACCAATAAGCTATCTATTCTGAAGCGTCCCAGACCCGCTAACTAGAGTGAAAATCCCAAGTTGGAAGTAGGGAAGATATATTCCGTAAGCAGCCAGAAGCACAAACAATCGCAACAGGAAGAAATTAAACGTATATATACAGCATAAAATTGTTCTGGAAAGTGTTACAAAATAGCACACTAAAAGATACAACGCATCAATAGCGTTTACGGTTTTCCCAAGAAGGAAATACGACCCGAAGGTGAAAAGAGCGCTTTTGGCGCGAAAGCAAAAAAATCAAATTACAAAAATAAGTCATTTACCAAGTGAATTCTGGGGATTTAACAGAAAGATTTACCTTTTCAATTTAGTGTATTTGAAAAAGTATCTGCTTGCTTCTTATATATACTTTTAATTAAATCATGCTTGTAAATGTTTATTTATCTACACTTTGTCTTACTTTAAATTACTACTCATCATCTTTATAATTTTACATACTATTAATATGCTCTGGCAATGTGCATTGATATTTATTGAATATTTTTAAAATAAATGCGGAGTAGTGGTTTAGTCGTCATGCTTTTGACTTCCAGCCATTAATTTCCGGGTTCGAACCACACTCCACCTACTTCCGTTTGGGCAGCGGGGTAGTAGCATTAGCTCTCATGCTCATATTCAATTGCTTGATGAATGAGTTAATTTACTCACCTATTATTCTATTATCTCTCAGTCACCGACCAGGAAGTTTATACTCCCTAACATAACTTAGTCGAACAGTCACTGCTCTCATGTTCACTGATTCCATATCTTCGTTTAAACTGTCCCGTATTACATAATATTTATCATCTATTTCAAAAAATTCCTTTGATGTAATGATTCCTTATTAATTTGTTACTGTTGTTTTAGCACATGCAATTCTTCTATTGATCATCAATGTACATTACCAAATTCTTCGGATATCCAGGTATGGGATTAAATGATTCTATTTTTTGTTCTCACTTTAAACAATATCTTCGCATATATTTGTGTATAGATGAAGTTTTTCTTGAATGTTCTGTTGATAGCGTTCCAAATAGCACATTAGAAATCAAGTGTTATTTTACTGAACCAAACATAACAGCTGAATTCTAAGATTAATCGATTCTTGTACTGTTAAAAAATCATTGTAGAAATTCTCTTTTAATGATTTGTTGGAGCTGTCAAAATTCACAATCAGTAGTGATAACGTTTTAATCATAAAGAAATAGAATCTATATAATGCAATTTTCCTATGAAACGTTGTGATACTATTTTGAGATTTTTATAAAATTACAAAACAGCTAGTCTTTGGGATTCGATAGTTGGATGTAGTTGTACCCTCTGTTCCTTCAGAACTTTTTCTAATTGACAAAATTGTATTATGACCTATACTTACGTAGCTGTTTCAATATTATTTGACTGAATCATTAATCAAAGAGGAATTCATTCTGGTGACCTGTGTCGTCGACCTAGCCACTTTACTGTTTGAGCTTCAATAAGCACCTCAACCGTGTATACATCTGTTTCTTCATAAGTCAGTCGGTTAATGAGAAGCATCTCAGACGATCTAAATTAAATACGTTTTATTTCACGTAACTCAAGACGACTTTCTGTATGTGAATGTTTGAAATGTATTGTTTCCCCATACCTACCGTCAACAAAATAGGTTACTCCTTTTTTAATTTTTATGATTTTCCATATTCCCACTCTGGTATACGGATTTAGTTAGTTTATTTCAGCTTTGTAGATTACAACTGTTTTGTGCATTATTAATTTATTCGCTTTATTGAACCAACAATGAGTTCTTATATCAGGGATTTTTGTTAATTCTTACTTCTAACAAATAATCAATTACATAACCCAGGTTTCTCGGTAATGTGCTAAGTGACTTCTTTATTGTACTAAACTTCATTCCGACTTATGTTTTAATTTCTGTATTCTTTTTGTTTTCATTTATTTCGTTATCGATTTATTAATTGTGTTTTGTAGGATTTTGTTCTTCGACCTGAAGCATTTCACAAGTCTCCATTTCCTGAAATTGTATGTAAAGATAAGATTGATGATCTTCCTGTACTTCAACATGCTGAACCTGTTGCAGTAAATGCCGAAGATGATGACGATGGTTTGGATGAAAAAATTGAGAATACTGAAAACTCTTTTGAAATTGTTATTAGTTCATCTCAATGTAATGCATCGTTTAGTCCATTGATCACCTTACCTGTTCCGAAGGGATTAAATGTTGTGGCAGGTAAGTTGAGATCTTATACAAAATTCTGTTACCTAATTAAAAAATATATTCCACTCCCCTTTTTAATCTCATATCAAATGGAATATAGGCACTCATATAAGTTGGTTTCATTCTATACTTATTTATTTGTTTATTTAAACACATAACTATTAGTAGAAAGGGGCACCAGATACATATGCGCCACAAAAATCAAATGAGATTTGTGTGAAGGTTGTGATAATGCCCGGGTGCTCAAACCGAAACAGGTGGTTTTTTACGGGGCCACACCCGGAGCCTTCGACCTAAAGGTCTGATCCACAAGGCAGTGGAGCATCGTAAGGAGATGCAGTCCCGTGGTAGCCGGTGATCAACGATTGATTCATACGCCATTTGTTCCTTCAGGATACTGGAGCCCATGTGCACCATTGGTTTGGAATGAGGGTTTCCCATTTCCCTAGGTGGACCCTCCGTGTCCAACGACACAGTTAAAGGGAAAGACATTCGCTTTTGGTCATCTCAATTTCGTAAAAATCACCCCCGTCACAAGAAGGCAGTGAGTAAGACTTCCCTGGCAGAGGCTATATACGCGTGGCCATGTGAGAGCATTTGGAGAGGGAGAGCGGACTCTCCGCACTCTCGGCCGTACCAAGGCATTCAGGGGCGCATTCTTTACTGCATTTGAATAATCCCAGATACCTTAATAATACTTAGTAGTACTAATTAATCTTCACTTCATGTTAAATACTTTGGATTAAATTTACCATCTCTCTCTGTTGTACCATCAATTTAACATCATACAAATGGATATTAACATGTACAATTAGTTCTATAGATGAATAAATGAATATTCGGTTAATGTATTTATGTTCTAATACATTTTACATATTATGAATAGTGTTTGCACAGTGTAATATTTAATTTTAATTAAGCATTCATGTTTATTTTGTATATTTTTTTCATTATTTATTTAATTATTTAATTGATTCATTTATAATTAAAATAATATTGTGCACTGAGATGATAAGAATAGCAGCCAACTTTTAATCTTTTTATTTTTGTTATTTGTTTGTACTTAAGTACTTTTCTAATATTCGTTTATTTTCATTTAAATGTTACTTTTCTTTTGTTAAAAATGAACTGTATTTACTTTTTTTTTGAAATCTGATCCTTAATAAAATGCTTTATTTTCATCTAATTGGAGTTCTTTTTCTTCACTCTATTCTATTGCCTTCTCTTTACTGAGGTCATTTATCCTTTACATTGTTTAACACTTTCTTCTTTTAGTAGATCATTTTATATATTTATCAAGATGTGTTCCATAAAGTCATTTATTGTCCTTATCTTTTGTGTGTGTGTGTGTCTGATAATTTTCCAGATATAATGCTTATTTGATTATCGTCAAGATATATTTATTTATTCAATTCGTTTTATGTCAGCCTATGCTTGAAATCAATCCTTTTTTTATTTCAATTACAAAAAAACAACAACCCTGAAATGTCATGCAATCGTAATGTATTATGCATAAGTTCACATAATCATATATTGTTATATGTTTAATATTAATGTAAGTCATAAAAATATCATTGATGTAAGTTAATGTTTTATCTTGAAAGCAAATAACTGTATATACATAGGGTTTTTTTGTTAACTCCCAACATTCTTGTCACAATAGTCATTTTGATGCTCTTTAATATATTCACTGATAGTAATAATAATGATAATAGTAATACATTGATTAAGTAATGTGAACTTCTGAGGATTTCTCTTCGTTTTTAATCGTCTTTGTTAGGGGAAAAGGATATTCGCTGACAAAGCACTGGTTGTTCATTATTTTTATTAAGCTATATACTAATTCTGATTTGTGATAAGTTTGGTCTATGCACGTTAGTACCATATTGTACGTTGTTTATAACTGATTGGGTGAATTTAAACGTTGTACACTACAAGATGAGTAAGATGATATATTATGAACAAAATATGTGTTTGAATATTCGGTATATTTTTAATGATTTACTACTCTGATTTCGACTCTCTGTATGTTGCAAATCTTCAATCTTTCCCCCCCCCCCAAATATTTCACTTGTGATTTCGGTAGTTTACTTTATAGATTTTAATTTCATATTTATTGCTGGAAATCTCAGCAGAAATCATCCTCCTTTTTGTACCGCGATCAAAGATGCTTTTTCTTATTAGTCACCAGCTCTTCCAGTACACCATATTTTCAATGTCGTTACGCATATATATTTGTTCGTATGCGCTCCCTCTTTTATCTCTACTTAACAACTTTTTATCATACGACCTGTCTTTCAAGAGTATCCGGGTTTAGAGAAAAATAAGAAATTGTGATGTCTGCTTAACAAAATCGAAACTGGGAGTTTTTTCATCCAGTTCACAATGCATTAGCATGTTTTAACATGAAATTGTTCCCTTTTAAATAATACAGTTATATTTTGTGATTGAGGTTTCCACACTTTAGAAATAAATCCCCAGCGTTGTAGCAGTAAAAATTACAAATAAGGATTTCTGGTATAATTTTTATTTATCCAGGTTTAACATACTACTTTCTGTTTATCAATGTTTTGTTTAATGTGTTACGATTAGTTCTCTTATTTATAGATAAATCTTAGTTTTTCTTTAATATGTATTTGGATTATTCAAACATTTCCTCCATCAGATGTTTAAAAAATTTCCCCGTTTCTTCTATTCTTTCTTCAAATGATAGGTTTTTGTATGATATATTTTAAGTACCTTAACGAATAAACGATGTACTTATACGTTTATAGTGTGATGAATAGTTCAACATTCCTGTTTGAATTTTTTTTAAATATTCAACAAACAAACAATGATTACTTAGCACGACTATCTTTTTTGGTTAATTATAAGCAAAAAGTATCCATGGTTTCTGTTCCCCATAAATCGACTGATTCGTTAAAATACAATATAAACACTAGTTTATGGATTCCATTGAACTGGAAATATTGATTAGCCGATTGTGATATTTATCATCAGTCATTTTTCACTGTCAAATATCTAAGTATATGTAGTGTTTCGTTGTGATTACTGCAATATAGTGTGTAGGGAAAAACTCGTTAGTTCAACCCAAACCATTTCTATTCTTTTTTATATTACATATTACTTTTGTAGTTTAATTAAGTTTTCTCTAATTTACCATATTTTAATAGATAATCTTTAATTTTATAATACTTTTCTAACAGTTGATGACGATGGTGTTCATATTTTTGAAGACGGTAATTTCCTGTACGCTCTTCCTGGATTAACTGATAAGTATTCAGATGATTCAGATTTTTATGACTCACGTGAAGATATTACCAATATTTCCGACCTAATATCTCCTTCATATACCGCCGAAAAAGTAAACGATGAAGAAAATGCTAAAACAAATATAGAAAAAGTCCTTTCAGTATCTTCATCTAATTCACCAAAATCAATAACTACAAGGAAATTAGTCAATAAACGTTCAGGTAGCAGTGATAGTCTAGTCAAACAACCAAGAGTTCGATTTAGTTCTGAACCAATCTTGGTAAGAATTTTCATGGGTTCTATAATTTATATTTTCCTGTTAACATAAATTGCTTTCTGTATACTAAAAAATTACCACTCTTCAGAAACGATTTAAAATTATTTATTTTCAACTTCATTAGTCTCATCAAAACTGCAAAATATTACTTCAAACTATGTCTACTTCGATGACTAGTATAATCATAAGCAGTAAAATGGTTAGGTACGCTTTGCATTTCATGTTTATGTAGCTCTTCACTGTTGTGGAATATGAATATCGCAATCTTGAGACAATCTTGATTTCAAATGTAATTTAACTACTCCATTTTTAAACCTCTCAAATGAAGTGGTTTCAAATCTGAACTATATAGGTAAGTTCAAGCTTTCTGATTAAGGCTAGTGGTACAAGAATTGTCGACTATTTGATACTTGACGAGTTATAACTCAAAATAGTTTACATTATGGGAGATACTGTCAGTCGTTGTCTTCCTCTAGATCTTCAATCTTATAATATTTCGTGTATGTTACATCCCCTCTTTTCGTAATTTGTTAAATATTATTTTTTTGTTTCGTTTCCTACTACTATTGGGACCACTGAATTTACTTTACAAATTTTTACTTGATATCTCCCAAAATATCAGAACCCTGAACCATTACGAATCTCCATAAATCTTCAATTCTGTCTGTTGTAAGCCAACTCCGATAATTACAACAAATGAAGAGCTAAGATAATTGTTGGTATTTTGAAAAGTGTTAGTTTGATGCCATCTCGTGTGACAGTAGGATAAATATAGACCAAATTTACTGTAGTTGCTTCGGTCCACTTTTTATTTATAAAATAAAATGTGGTTGACTTCGTTGCCACCAATCAATAAATGGTTATCCTCAACTTTAGGGAAACTGATGCTCCTTGAAGGATTAAAACCCGTCACCAATTGTCATATTCAAAGACGTTGCCACTAGTTTATTCTTTACACAACTGACTTCATGTAGCATTTAGATGTTTACACTAAAATTTATCCTTATTTTAAGCTCACTGGTCCCTTGTGGTAAATCGAATCCTATCGACCAAGTTTCAACACGACTACCAATCCATAGGTTCCTCAGCTATTCTTCTTCAATCACATAACATCTTACATAGAACATACCATTTTACTTAGGTTAAACATAGTTCAAGTTGATCGTTGTAACGTCAACGTCACCATAGAGTAGATAATACAACATTGGTCACTAGTAGGTGAACAATTAATACATAAACTAGATATCATTGTTCAGCGAATGCTTCATGCTGTCGAAATATTAATTATCAGTTTTTGTTTTATGCGTAAAATATTTTCCAAAAAAGTTACTTGTACACGTGCATTCTAATTGAACAATCAGATGTATCTAGTTCTATTTATCCATACTCTGGATAGGTTTTTGTTTATCGATCATCTAATGAAAAGAGCTGTGTAGCCTATATTTGTAACATTTTATAGAATAAATGTTTAAAAAATCGATTGAAATAGGTTGTGCAACCAAAACAATAGTTTCAATGTAACCTATTCTTTATGGTATTCTGAAAACAAATTGGTTAGGGTTTTATATATTATGACCAGTCTTAACAATCTAATCTTTATGTTTATTTTCTATCTACTTATAACGTATGATAGGAATAATATATTTCATATTTTTTTTTTATTTTTTTTTAAAGCATGAGTCAATTGAAGCTAGACCACCATGGAAAACCTGGAAACACTGGACGGCCGTTTCGTCCTATTATGGGACTCCTCAGCAGTGCGCATCCACGAACCCGCTCGCGCGAGATTCGAACCCAGGACCTACCAGCTTCGAGCCGAAGCCCTTAACCGATAGACCACTGAGCTGGCATCCAACGGTGTTAATGTCTAACTTCAACTGATCCACGAAGTTGAGCAACCATTCACCAATTGTCTTCAGTGAGTTCCTATCTCACAACAGACGTGGTTTTGAACTCCACTGGTCACTGCTTCTCACTAGAGCTCCTCGTTATACTTCTCGAAGTCACTGGTGACTTCACGCTTTCAACAATGATAAATACTAAATCTCCACAAAACCCCTTCTATAATTAATATAATCATATGCTCACCAGTGACTTCGAGAAGTATAACGAGGAGCTCTAGTGAGAAGCAGTGACCAGTGGAGTTCAAAACCACGTCTGTTGTGAGATAGGAACTCACTGAAGACAATTGGTGAATGGTTGCTCAACTTCGTGGATCAGTTGAAGTTAGACATTAACACCGTTGGATGCCAGCTCAGTGGTCTATCGGTTAAGGGCTTCGGCTCGAAGCTGGTAGGTCCTGGGTTCGAATCTCGCGCGAGCGGGTTCGTGGATGCGCACTGCTGAGGAGTCCCATAATAGGACGAAACGGCCGTCCAGTGTTTCCAGGTTTTCCATGGTGGTCTAGCTTCAATTGACTCATGCTTTAAAAAAAAAATATTAAAAATACTAAATCTCCACAAAACCCCCTCTGATAATTAATAATATATTTGTAAAATCTCAGCGAACGAATTTTTTTATAACGTATGATTTAATGAAATTACTATGTTTGATCTAACTAGCACATTGTTTTCAGCCCTAGTTATTTCTTCGCTGAATTCTTTATTTGTCTCAGTCTACAGATTCTATTGTCATGATCAAGAAAACTTTACACATTATTTAGATCGAAAAATTTAGTATTTGTAACATATTTTATATGATATCGTTAAACATTGACATTGTATCAATTAACTTTACGTTATGTATACAATTTGCACTCTCATGAACCCACTTGTATTCACTAGGGAATTACAATCCATGGTTAAGGGATTAAATATCTAGTTATATTTAGTGAAATGCATGAACATAACGTTTTCGACTATTGACTTCGTTTCATCACTAGAAAAGGTCAATTCTGTTTGTGTGATATAAAAAAGAACAACAGTGCCATTAAGAAATATCATATTGTATTTCTGGCTTTCATTAAACAGAAATTTATATCAGGAGGGGGTTTTGTGGAGATTTTAGTGATTTTATATAGTTGAAATCATGAGTCATTTGAAGCTAGACCACCATGGAAAACCTGGAAGCACTGGACGGCCGTCCCACAATAGGACGAAACGGCCTTCCAGTGCTTCCAGGTTTTCCGTGGTGGTCTAGCTTCAAATGACTCATGATTTCAACTATATAAAATCACTAAAATCTCCACAAAACCCCCTCCTGATATAAATTTCTGTTGTTAAACACATCATAAATAACGTTAATAATTGTTTTCACATGTCTGCGTAATTGATAACTACATTGAAAACTGACGTTGCAGTAACCAATAGTGTTATTTTTTGATTTCTTAAATCAACTTGTTTCATTAAGAGAATTATTTAAAAAGTAGTACAAAAATTATACTGAAAAATTAGTACCTTTGAAGGTAAATTTGCTCATATGATTAGTGCTAGAAGTGTATGAATAGTAATAAAATGAAGCACTGAAAATTTCAATGTTTTATATGCCTCAATATATTAGGTTATATTCTAGGAGATTGTGTTGTACACAATTAAAACTAATGTCAGTCTCGTTCCAAAATACATTTGATGCTCAATGTATCTTTGCTTTAGATTGAATTGACAAAATTTCATTGGTATATATATTCTATTTCATTGGCCATTGATGCAGTATTCGCTTAAGTGGGTCACTTAGTTGTACAACCAATATACGCCATATTTGATAAATATTAGTCTTATATCATTAAGAAAAATCTTTCGACTGTTAAACCTGGCTTTTATCACCACCTTTTCTAGATTGTAATTTAACGCTAATAAAATAATTATTCTGTCATATAGTTCGACATAGCCGACAGGAAGTCTAAAATTTTGAACATAAGACATGTGATGTCGATATACTTTCAGTGGTGACCACATTACAACTTGATTGTTAGTAATTCAGTCAGCAGAATTAAGAACTAGACAATCATTGTATTAAATAGCCAGTGTTTGAATAGTATTTTTGTATGGTGATTCATAGGTGAAAATTTTTTGCCTAAAACATTTCATTTTTAGTGTAAGTCAGATTCAATGTAAATTTATTGATTGTTCATCTAAATTCCGTTTGTGAAAGTACGGTTACAGTTCGGCATATTGCACTACTAATGTTTAACTTTTTCATTTGTTACATTATACATTTCAGACCTATCTATTTGACTGGAAATCAATGCTTTTATATACAGTTTTTTATTAGAACACTACTACAAATTAAAATGTTTGTTATGCATTTGATGATTATGGATAACTTATCATAGTTACTAGTTTAAAGTTGAATACCCTTCGTATGTTCATCTTAGTTAGTTTAAGCTGAACTTTCATATGTATTGAAGTAACTTGATTGAAGTTTTTAGTTTTGTGCACAATCGGCTTTCCAACATTAGGTGAATAATTAAAATGCCATACCGGTGACTTAGCATATCACCCATCTATCAGTTGCTTGGTCATCCCTTATAATATTACTCCATCTTGTTTTGAGCAACCGATTTAGTATCACTCATTCGTCAAAATCAGTAGACATATCTTCCTAAAAATAAGTGTTGATGATAGTTGTCATAGTGTTATGGTAACTCTAGATTCGTTCATATGCTAATATTGATAGCAATTGATAGTCTCATTATATTTAGATATAAGGATTATAATTTGTAGGATGAATTAATTACACTCTGTTATGGATACCATTAACATGCAAATATTCATGTGAACTTGTTATATTACTCGAAGTAATGTATGTATATTTTCTAGCTTTTATTGATTTGTACTTACAAGTTTCACTTTTTTGTTATTGTTCCAAATAACCTTTGTAGTAATAATGACTTCTCTGCCCCTTTTGTTCGTAATAATTTCACTCCTTTCGAACATTAGCTTCAAAATGATACATCAATAACGTTTACTTCTCGTAAAAGTGTGAGCTAGAGCGACATGTTCTAATGACCTTATTTATAATTGGTTGTCCCCGTAGGTTATCTTATTCTCATTTAATCGTGTATTCAATTTAACTGTTTCGTTCTACTAACCCCCGGCCGTAGCTGCTACCTTGACATGGTGGTCGGGCTTACCTATCGTGATGACCTAACCGAGCTATATTGGCTGGAACATAGGTTTCTGTAGGTTCTACCACGTCAGGCAGGTCGATTGGAACACGGTAAGACTGAATACAGTAACTGAGGATCTGAGGGCTATGTCGTACTGCTGACTGTATAGGCGTGTGACAGTAGTAAGGTGTTTCCCTCGGACAAACAGCATCTGCAGCAATGCTGCATTCTCACGAGGAAGGAAGAGGTAATAAAAAGTCGACCATGATAATGTCACGCCTCATCGTACCTCATGAATTTCCGTCTCCGGCGGTAAGTCTCTTTGAAGAATGGAGATAACACGTCAAAAATCCACCTCAAAAAGGCCGTGCGTGGTAACATTCAAATCCTCCCTATACCTAATAACTCTCAAATCTCCACGACTAACCTTTATCACGTCGCAACTACATCTCTGTGCTAATGTGGTATGGCAACTCGAACTGATGTATGAAGTTGTGACTGACTGATTATCACCTCGCACCGCTAGGGCAAACGATTCAAGTACACGGAACGTTATTCCTGAAACCACGCTCTAAACTACATGTAGGAACTTTTAATGTCTGAACATTGTGCCAAATAGGACAACAGGCTTCCTTAGCTAGGACTCTAGAATCTTACACCATCAATGTGTGCTGCGTCTCCGAAACGCGCATACAAGATCCGAGTAGTGTCATTCATTTGACCGCACCTAATCAAAATAAAGTTTCATCTCGATACACGCTTCGTGTATCTGGAAGCCCTGATGCTGCTTCCCGTGGCCTCGCTGGAGTAGGTATAGCATTAAGTCGTAGGGCAGAACTAGCTCTTTTAGACTGGATCCCAGTAGACAGTCGTCTATGCGCTGTCCAACTAAACGGATCAGTAAGGACTCGGAAAGATAAGGAAACTTGTCGTTGCCTCTTCGTCGTCTCTGCCTACTCTCCCACTGACTGCAGCTCAGACGATATAAAAGATGAGTTCTACAGGAAACTTTCTGACCTCCGAAAAGCTAGGCGTTCTGATGTAGTAATAGTGGCAGGTGACTTTAATGCTCAAGTAGGAAAACTAAGCGAAAGAGAGACACCTGGGTGTATCTTATGGTGTTATGGCTCAAAGAACAGATAATGGCAACCGTCTGTTGCAGCTGTGCTCAGATAACCGCCTATTTCTTGCAAATACTAACTTTAAGCATAAGGAAAAACATCTTTTGACCTGGCGACCCCCGAATTCGTCCCAACGTTGGACCCAATTAGATCACATCGCTATCAGCCACCGATGGAGGGGCTCGATAGAAGACTGTCGCTCATTCTGGGGCACATGCTTAGATTCAGATCATGCTCTAGTGCGAGCACGTATTTGTCTGCGTCTTACTGGACGTAGGAAAGACACTGCAGGGAAGCCTCTAAGGGTTCTACTTAATGGTAGGCAAGCTAAGAATATATTTCAGGAACAACTAGAAAAACAGTTAGGCAGCCATGTAAGTTGTGTCCACCCCGAGGCAGCGTGGAATGACATCCGTAAAGCTGTGGAATCAGCAGTGATATCCGCTAGTACGGTAAACCATAACGTTAGGGAGAAACAATGGATCTCGGCAGCATCTACCGCACTGATAGATACTCGAAAACTCATCCCATCTGGCTCTGAACATAACAAAGAGCGGAGTCAAATTAAGTGCAGGCTAGCAAGAAGCCTACGTAATGATCGCGAACAGTGGTGGGTAGCGAAAGCAAGAGAGATGGAAAATGTAGCGACAGTAGGTAACAGCAGACAACTATTCAGACTTGTTAAAGAAACCGGTATTAGGAACCCAAGTATCAGCGAAACTATCTCGGATAAAGATGGGCATATCATCCATTCTCAATCCAGGAGATTGGATCAATGGGCAGAACACTTTAGGGATCAGTTCAACTGGCCTTCAGCCACACTTCAGTTACCCACGATCCCCAGTCGTCCTGAGTGGCAAATTGATGTAAGTCCTCCAACCCTCTGTGAGGTTGAAAAAGCTATAGGAAATCTGAAGCGAGGGAGAGCAGCAGGACCTGATAGGTTTACCCCTGAGATTTTTAAGGATGGTGGTCCAGTACCAGCAACGAGATTGACTGAGGTCTTTGGTAAAATCTGGGAACTGGACGTATTTCCATCTGACTGGTCCCAATCACTGATTGTGCCAACCTATAAGAAAGGACAAGAGCCCTCCTGTGACAATCACAGACGAATCAGTCTGACTAATATAGTGTCTAAAATGTTAGCTTCAATAATACTTAGGCGCCTAACCAAAGCTCGTGAAGAGCAGACTAGAGAAAACCAGGCTGGTTTTCAACCTGGACGTGGTTGCATAGACCAGATATCCACTCTACGTCAGGTCCTAGAACATAGACATACATTCAGACGTCCCACAATCGTAGTATTTCTTGACCTTAAGGCGGCATTTGACTCCGTTGATCGTGAGGTTCTGTGGCAGTGTTTGTCACTGAAAGGAGTACCAAAGAAGTACATTAACCTTATAAAGGTTCTCTACTCGAACACAACTGGTCGAGTTAGAGCTTATGGCGAACTATCATCAGAATTGATTACCTCAAGTGGTGTTCGTCAGGGCTATCCACTCTCTCCATTTTTGTTCAACTTTATCGTAGATTTGCTTTTATAAATTACATTTTCCTCATCTAAATTTATAGGGGTTGAACTTCTACCATGAGATGCATTTGTTGACTTCGAATACGCCGATGATATAGTTTTATTTGGTGAAGACTCTGACAAAATGCAGTCTTCTGACCACTATAAGCAACAATGCAGGCATGTTCGGGATGCGATTATTCCCGTCGAAATGCAATATGTTAGTTCAGAATTGATTGCGTTGCATCGGCACTTGAACTAATGATAGGGAGTGAAGTAGTTGAGCGTGTTGACAGCTTCACTTATCTTGGAAGTCTCATCATCACGTTTATAAACAGATAATACTTTCTAAAAGTACATTGGTGCGCTGATTTTCATGTAGGCATGTGATCCCAGAGTGAACTCTGAGATGCAGGTACATCCAGCTGACGAGTCCCAAATAGGACGAAACGCGCGTCCTGGATTCCACTGCTAGCCACTATCCATCTCTGCTTACCATGCTTGTGAATTAAGGTATATCGAGGCAATACGCACAGTATGCACATATGCCAATTAGAGACTGACCAGTTGCAGTCCTAAACACATCGATGGGAAGATCCAAACAAACAATACTATGTGATTATTAAAGTTGTGAATTTAATGTTTATTCTTCGAAAGTCTTTTTGGTTTTTACTAATTCCCAAAAATATTATTGCTACATGTGTATCCCAGTAATGTTCTCCCTTTTTTGTGTACTTCTCTTGTAGGTGTTCAGTACTCATTCCACTACAGATTATAATCGTAGAAATGAAGAAATAGATCCATTGTCTGCTTCAGCAGAATATGAATTAGAAAAACATCTTGAAGATATGGATATGTTTGAAATCGATTTCCGTAAAGGTTTGTTTTTTCTACATCATGTACATATAAAACCAAAAGTATATGTTGTGTATTTTTGTTCACTTGTTTTACTTCTATTTTCTTCTCTCATGCCTTGTGTGTGAGGATTTTGTACTCTGTTAGACATTTTTTATTTTTCAAAGTTACCACTGCATGTGTTTACGGCAACATAAATGACCAGTCCTAGACATTATATTAATGTTTACATATAAATCACACGGTAAATTTAAAGGATATGAAAGCTTATGTAAGGCCAAATTATTTGTGATTGATAAGATCACGTGATTTTACGAATGACCTTTGTTCCTTTTTCACTTTTATTTGAGTTTTATGTTGAAGAACATTTCACCAGTAGCAGCTTTTATCGTAACTCATACATCACTTCATTGTTTGATGAAGCATAAACAGAAATCAGTTTTTCCTAAAGCATTTTGTATTAGAGTATTCATTGTTTACTGCCCAGTCTCCATTTGTTTAGAGCCTAGTAGTGTACTTGGATTTTATACTTACCATATGACAAATCGATTCATTTTCATTTCTTCGACAATAATTTGCTATCTGTTTATTTGTTCAGTAATATTATGTCACATTATTTGTTGTCAATATCTACTTTATTGTGGTTTAAGGAATATCTTTAAAAGCTAACACAATTATCCTGCAAAGCGCTATTATTTTTTTATTGTCGTGGCGAATTTACTCTCAATGCTGTACGGTCCCAAATGTATACTGTTTTCCAAAGTAATGATCAATAGTATGGTTGTTGATAATGATGATAATAAAGTTTACTGGACATGTTGACAGAGATTAAGAATAAACAGGAGCGTGAAAATGTTATTCTTGTCACAAAATCCCAACTAAATATACAGTGAATAGGAGCTTGATTACTTATCACTAAGATAGATAAAGGGTTGCGTAAAATGATACAGTGAAACGTTGGAATGAAGTGTAATCAGAATGAACAAGGGAATAAAAATAGATTCGTTAAGGTTAAAAACAATCAGTAAGGAAAGAGAAATGGCATGGTAGTGACTTAAGTAAACTAAAGTTTAAGGCCACGGTAGTAGTTGAATAACCTTCCTTTGAATATACAGTTCTGGCATCTCTAAGATTGTGATAATGACTCCATCAATGCTAAAGTGAAGGAAGCTTAATGTATTTGGTAAGTTTCCATTTACCCTTGTAGATGAATTTGATCTCTTAGTGTTTTGTTTAAATAATTCATGTTTACCATGTGTTAGATAATTAGGCTTCTTATCGATCCAGACCTGTCTCTATTCAAACATGTCAAAAAAGGATACTTTTCATTCAATCATATTTTCTTGTTCTATCTGTCAATGGGTTTTTTTCGAATTATTTAGCCAACAAGAATCTAACATCATATGTTGTGGTTTAAGATTCGTATACAGTTACGTACGCCCAATACTTTTACTTTATGGTATTTTGTGAAATTGTAAGTATAAAAAAATAATTCAATGGTTTGATGTACGTTGAATTTGAAACTACTTTTTGTACATGAAGGCTAGTGATACTGGTCAATTGTACAAATAGTTTTAAATGGATAGTTTATCGGTTGAATCCATAGTTTAGTTATTGAAATCTAAATACTTTATTCATTAAAATCTTATTCTACATGAAGTTTGAACGATACAATTAAAGGATTCAATCTTTGAAATGAATTGCAATACCTTTGAAGCTGTTCAGAGTATATTCACGAGTACTCTATACTACAAAGTGGTATCCTACTGATATCATTTTTATTTAGTAGTCAAACGTACTACATTTTATCAATATATACTGCAAGAAATTGTAGCTGTAAATAATTCCCCAAAATCTATAGCCTTGTAAGTGTTCGACATTGGATGCTGACCACATTAGCTTAAGTGAACTTGTTTAGCTGAAGGCGCTCGGTCATGCATCCGCACCAGATCACGTTACAGCACAGTGTGGGAAACATCTCCTACGACCATTAGCCAGATTATATCAATCGCTTCTCGATATATTAGTAACGCATCAAATATATCTTCCAACCTCTTCGCTTCTGACTTTTGATTTTAACTGGGTGGGCACGATTCGATTATAGAAGGTGTTACTGGTAAAGAGTTGTCAAACTACAATACTGGTGGTATATTCAAAATAAAACATCATTTAATTATCCTTTTACTGTTTAAGTTCCACTCAATAAAAACTCACTATTGGATAAACACCTAATTGTAAATTACTCTTTTTCTCTCTCTCTGTACATAGGTTAAAACATAGATGAATTCATCTAATCACTAATAATGAGCTTGTCTCATGATCACCTAACTTTAAGAAATGTGATCCAATGTCACGTATTGTGTTGTTTATGCTACTCATATTCAATTAGGCTTAATATTTAATAGTTTTAGTGAATGTCACTGGAAATGTGTCAGAATAAGTAGAGATATGCACATTAGTTGGTTTTCTACGTATCTCTCAATCTTTATCAGTAATTCTTAGCATTATTTAGAGCTTGTTATTTGTATCGAATCTTCTTGTTCCATTAGTAATCAGTATGTAAAGCATTCAGTAATCTTAATAGGCGTAAATGTGACAGTTGTAATGCTTGCGTATATTCATGTTTACGTATACGGATTAAAGTATTTACTCTGTATACTGTCAAAATGGCATGATATAAGTCATTAATAATTCGTATATTTATCATATGATTATTAGTATAATATTCATTGATAGATAAATAAAAAAATTTCAGCTTTACTATTGTATTTTTTTTCTACATAATGAGTAAAATTGAAAGATTGTGACCTTCATTATTATTTCTGATTAGTCTCTTGTATTTGTTAGGTCCTATAAGCTTGATTAACAAGTTTGTATGTACATGATAGTTTGTATTATCGAATATCCACATATATATCCAGTAGATACCTTAGTGATTCTGTCTTCTGATTAACCATTCCATTGCGATTTAAAGATATGTCCTGTGAGTGTATGATCGAATCGTTCAGCTAAGTCACTATATCAACCAGTTTCCCTTTTGTAACGTCCTATAGTCTAATAGTAGTCATTATTGTTATATTGAGAATCGTCCAATACTTTATTATTCAGTTCTTTGTTGAAAACGTCCGTCAGTGCTTCATGAAGGCATAGGCTAAAACTAATTTGTCTAGTAAACCATTTAATGTACTATGCATTTTAATCATTCTGTATAAATTATGCACTGATAAGCCGTTTCGTTCCAGTATGCGACTCCTCAGCACTGCGATTTTATTTACTTATCATAACTTTCCTGTTTAATGTGTATATTTCTTTGCGTAATTTGTTTCTATTTAGGTGTAAATGGTCTCGGTATTAGCATAGTTGGTTCCGGTGTTGATACTTCATCTGGTGAACAGAAATTAAGCATATTCATTAAATCACTTACTCCTGGAGGTGCTGCAGAGGCTGATGGTCGGTAAGTCATCCACTTTTTCTTTTTCACCGCATTGTGATTGTTTCTTTTTTGAGGATGCAAACCGTTTTTCAAGTGTAACATTGGTTATTTTATTGAATGTATTTGTCATGAGTTTTTACATCATTGATATTGGTAAGATTAGTAACATTTACAATAGTTGGTAGAGTATATATATATATATATATATATATATATATATATATATAGTGACGTATACTTTGTTGACGTTTGTTTTTACTTGACAATTCGCGACTAGAACTGAACTTAATCATTGAAGGGCTCGATTTCTCATCATTTGAATGACTACAGTTATCAACTTTACTGTTGCTTATCTTGTTTTCTTCACTTATGCCGAATCATTTGCTGTCATGTAACTAAAGTGGATCCTAAAGCCAAATACACAAAATATATATTTCGAGTATTTGTGTTGGTTTTTATTTGAAATACACATCATAAAAGCAGTTAAATGGAAACAAAATAGATTTATGGCAAAGCGTTTAGAGAAGTGTTGAATAATTTCAGAAACATTATTGATTATCCTCTAGTGAGCTTTACGCATGTCGTTTCATTAATTAGAATGCCACCATCTTTTATGATGTTTTGTAGTCGGCGATTCGCTTATTCATATAACAATAACTAAATAATACTTTTAATACCATTTTTAAGACAGTTGGTGATGTTATTGTGTTTTCAAATAGTCATTCATACTTCACGTTAATCTCTTTTTTTACATGTAGCATAATGTGATAATCTTAACATGTTTACATTTTTGAGCTTATTATGCATGTTAAACTCATCTTACAATATACACATACCGTTTATAATTTTCAAGTTACTTATTTAGGCGGTAATACAACATGAAAGCTAATATTTCACTTGAAAATTTATATTCCGATTTCTTGTTGTTACCATCTATCTAATCTTTCGGATGTTTCCTTTCTTTCTCTTTCTCTCTCTCTCTGTTTCACGCACCTACACACATTTTATCAGCCATTATCTAGATGACATTTATCGATATATGTTTCAGTTAATAATTCCGTTTAACTATTTAAAAATTGAATTTCGTCATTTTGTGTGTTCGTTTGTTTTACTCTCTTTGCATCAGTACAAAATTTTCACTGTTTATTTTTATTCAAATCATCCATTGTTCTACTAATAATACCAGTAGTAGTAGTGACCCTTTTTTTAACACATACACATTTTGGCTATGCTACTGATTTATTCAACTGTATTTTCTTTCTATTAAAACTAGTGATGATTCAATCATAGATTTGAAAGTGGACAGTTTTCATTTTACAATTCGTATTTAAATCGCTTTGTATATACCATCATGGCACCCAGACACAAACACGAACAGTATACATATGGACAAATTATTCATGTGTTCACGTGTCTTACACACTCACTAAACTAAAACCTTTCTTTTAAAATGGTCATTTCTGTTATTGTGTAAATGTTATTCGTTTGGATGTAGCATAAATCATTTACAAGCATATCACTTATTGATAATTTAGCTAAGTAGGACTGTCAATTTACACAGAAATCGCATCAGTGTGTTATACATGTGTCTATCATTTCCACCTATTTCAATGAAGTCATGTATGAAGGTAGATTAACTGACACTTAGTAATTACTTTAAAATTTTGGTAGATTCTCGCCCCTATATATTTGTAAATATAGTGCATATCGATACGCTAGTAATTAATTTACCATTAGAGTATTACGGGTATTGGTAGTGATCACTGTAATCGTCCAGATTTCTTCATTGACAGACACACTCAGTTTATTATGTGTCAGTCTTAATATAAATATTTTTACAGGAATAAATGAAGTGGTCATTTCTAATCTCTGCAGTTAATATTTATTTACGTAGATCCAATTTTTATCGAGTCTCCAAACTAAGTATTATCCATAGCATTTTGATGAAAAAAATCCAAAACATTAGCCACTGGTTAGAAGTAAATACACTGATGTCGATCAGCTCTTTATTTTTTCAACTATTCTTTTCTTGAAAAGTTGATTATAAAAATGTGATGTCTGCATCAGGACCAAGGTAAAGCTCGCTCATCGAATAGATCATTGATTTGGTAGTTGAACCCCTCAATTCGGACACCTGTGCTGAATTTTCTTGAATTGAAAACTTTTGTGCCATCATTTTCAATCGTGATGCTTGAAATTATTTTTTATACTGCGCCGAAATTGATTTAAGCTGATTTAAAATCAATAGTCTGGGATTCTACTTATTTTCGCATGGGTTTGTGAAAAATAACGTCGTCAGGAACTGTTGTGACGTGCGATATCCGAAGTCTGACACTGATACACAACATGCTACGCGCTAACCTCCAAACTGGCTATTTAATTAAGAACACAAGACTGTACGAAAAAATTTCTTGAGCTACTGAATAAAATACACGAATACTCATTTATATATATACAACTCTGCGCCTTAAAAAGTCAATACATTTCTAAGCCAATGATATCCTCTTGTCCGTCTCTACTCACTTTTAATTGCAACCGATTAACCATCTCATTTTGCTACTTCTATTTGGCTTACAATATCATAAATTATCATCGAAATATTCGTAAAAATCTCTTTGCTGATTTAATTAGTAAATCGGATTGCTGTTAAATGCAATCAGGTGCCATGTCATTTCAACGCAGTTTAATTTTTCTATAAAAAAATCTCTACTTTTGGACCTAAATTTAACATTGTGTAACCTAAGCTTTAGCATTAGGCTACTCAGTGATAGATCAATCAATGTTTCTTGAATACATTCGCGTGATAATTACTTCGTAAAAAGCTGCCTACATTGTTTCTACTACGTTGCCCTATATTGGTGTTTGCTCATTTTCATCATTAGTTGACTATATATCATAGTGGTTCAAATAATATATAAGCATTAAATTAAAAACTGTTTGTTAATATTGCAATAAACCACTTAGCCATGGAAGGTATTTCATTCCAGCTCCTTTAGTTACATAGATTTTTATGTTTTCAGTTGGTCGAAGTTTGAAGCGTGTTTATGTGATTGTAAAACAATTGGACACAGTATTAGGGTCTATTTCAATGTAAAAATAAATACCATTTAATTAAAAATTAGTAATTGTAAGTTTTTATCATCACACTAACTTATCTCTATATTGGTAATGTGTTTGTCTCATAATGAACAAGTGATAAACAAATGCAAAATTTGTTTATAAACATTGTACTCTGTTTATTTTCAAATGACTTGTATTTGATGATATAGATATCAAGATTCATATCGCCTTTATTGACCGGTTGATGAGATATAAGCCATCTGATTATAAATTTATGTAGGTAAGCCTTGTGGCACATCAAATTTGTAAATACATAGATTACAGTAAGGTAGGTAAATTTTAGCTTGTTTAAAATCAGAATAGTCAAAAATGTGTGTACGACGATACGTTACTGAATGTATGCGTCGTAAATTGTTAGATTGTAAAAACGTTCAAAACAAGGAGCTTCACGTTTAAACTATTCAGTCTAGAAAACTCGGTGTCCCCCATACTATTCATCAGTGCTATTTCATTCATACTAAAAAATAACAACGAAAGAGAACTAATACAATATCATTTACTAAATAAATTTCAACTGCAACAAGCATTGGGTTAAATAAATTGGATACCTTCGTCTACACATATACGGACGCAAATTGGTCCTTAAACGAAGTGATATTGTGTCACTCGTATTTATATACACTGATAATCTGGGATTGGGAAAATGTCGAAATTCTGGATAGAGGAAATTGAAAAGGATACCAAAGAATTTCTGAAGGCGTAGCATTCAAGCCAATTTGCAATTAGTTAACATCCGGATTTGGACCCTGTTTACTAATAAAGACTAAACATTTAGCGATTACATGGCCGAAGGTCAACGACTTATAAAAATACAAAAACAGATTGAAATGGAAAACTTTACCAAGACAACTACTCTCAGACAAGGTCACTAGAATAGGTTGACTTAACGCTTATGGTTTAATTAAACAACTCAATTCTACACAAGCACTGGTGAAGTTGTGCAAAGTGGCAACGTAAGCTTCACAATTAAATTATCCAGCCTAGAGTACACAACACAGTCACAAAAATTCTCATTCAATCTTATATATTTTTCCATTTTTAAAAAAAAATTTGTCAAATACACTCCTTAGTTCATCCTCCTACAGATCACATAATAAAGTAGACCTTTATCTGGATTATTGATAAAATTATGTTTGCTAATCAAGTCTGATAAAACTACACTGATTGTGATTTATTATATGCAAAGATAAGTGCTCCAACATTTTCATAATTTGTCTATCAAAATTAAAGTTTCTTAATTGATTGACATTTGGTTTATTGTTATCTATAAGGTCATATTTTTTTTGATCCATTTATTTTGCTGACTTGAAAAATATTTTTTGTTTTCTAAACAAATAATCATTCATTAGTTGTAGTTCATTTTGCACTGATTCAATTGTATTCATCATATCACTATTATTTCTAAGGGAGTTTAATTTTACTAATCAAGAGACTAAAATAATCGGGCGTGATTCAAATGAACGGTTCATATAGTATAATGTGAAAATTCCCGTATTTAATAAAGCATATATCAGCAAAGGTGTAAGGTGAACAATCGTTAATTACTACTAGGTATATTTTGAAAAAATAGTAGCTTTCGCATGTTTTTTGGTTTTTTCTAAGCTAAATTATAATCACCTTAATTTTTTGTTCTCTTTTATTATTTTTGCCAAGCTAATATGCTAATATTTCAGACTATAATAAGAAACGAATTTTATTTTTGTATTGGTTGTTTAAATCTTCCCATCGAACTTTAAAACTGCAATTGAGCCTCGTGTACGGATTGCCTCGATATTGCTTTAAATCACAAACATTGTAAGCAGAGGTGGTTAGTGACTAGCAGTGGAATCTAGGACGCGCTGGGAGTTCTTGCATTCTAGAGTTCACAAGTGAATATGAGAGTTTAACCCACAGTTGAATTTCACTCCGAGGCTCTAGGTTGGAGCTTCGTTCAGCCGACGAGTCTTGAATGGGACGAAACGCGTGTCCTAGATTCCGCTGCTAGCCAACATCCATCTCTGCTTATAAAAAAATAAAATTGTCTACATTTTTTGGAAGTTTTTAATTGCACTTTGCAGGATGGAAAATGTACTATATATAACCGATCTATTGCTTAAATTAACTGTAACTATCTGTTTTCAATATTCTTGACCAATATAATCAGGTAGAGAAAGAAAGAAATTTACCCAGAAAACTGTGCTTGCCTGATAGATGATCACACTATGCATGCAGATTTGTAAGCTGTGATGGATACTCAAACATGTTACGTGTGGGTGCATAATCCAGTTTCCAATTAGATCTTATGTTTGGCTGTGCAATCCTGGAACATTGTGTTATTTAGACTATATTATACATTAGGGTATTCGATCTTTTAATCATGCAATCATGGGTTTAAACACTGGCTTTCATCAGTTAAGACAGATGAGAAGTGTAACTAATCGTGACATAAAAAGGGGGTTCAGGGCTGAGTATATAAACCTGTATTTGTTTTTTTAAATTGTGTGTAAAGCATAGATGAAATTTCTGTCTTATTTTTTATCTCTGAAAAACACCTAACAGTATTCAAGTATACGATCAAATTGTTCAGGTAGATGGCCATAGTTTGGTTGGTGTCTCTCAACAATTCGCAGCTCAAGTACTCCAAAATACTGGGGAAATCATTCAGTAAGTGCTTTTTCAATGTCGTTTCTTCACTTATTTCTATAACACTAACTTACGCCATTTACGAATGATTCCACTATTTTTACACTGTTTTTACACGGTATATAGTACATGAGATCAATTATTTTCTAAAACATACAGTCAGAACGAGACAAATTATCACAAATCTCCGTATAATATCGATTCGTAAATTATAAGCATACAATGTACAACAATTTATGAATCTCAATAAGCATACATTACTGAGACATTTATAGTCGAAAATTATCAGTCAGTCATATGCAACAGAAAACTTTACACATATACAATCAGTTGAAGTCGCTACGTCACACCAACATAATGGGATGGTTGAGTAGTTTAAGTCGTAACAGTATTATTAGTAGTAGAAGAGACTAGGCATAAATGATATGATGGAAGAAGAAAATACAGATTAGTGGGATAGAAAATTTCATTATAATGTAATTTAGAAGGTAAGAATCTAAAAGAAAACAAATATTAAATGCATCAGTGACATTGTAAATTTTCTGACTGTATTGTTTGTAGGTAATTTTCTCCATGCTTTGATAACATAAAAGAAATTTCGCTAATAAATCTGTCGAATATGTTTATAGACATTAAAAAATAGACTTGTATGTATTTGAGATGATAGAGAAGATTTGTAGCTCAGTTGGATGATTTAGGTGGAATTTTGTTCTCTGAGCAGGATGGTTTGATCGTGTTGTGCTGAGAAAGACATTCACATAGAAAATAACGTTGTTCTCCAGTGGAAGTCTGCCTCTTGATGAGATTGTCCCATTTTACAACGAAAACCGTGCTACGCTCTTGTGATTTTGAGATGATGGAGGTTTATAGCTCAGGTAGATGATTCAGATGAAGTTTTGTTCTCTGAGCAAACCATCCAGCTCAGCGAAAAACTTCATTATATTTGTGCATGTGTGTTATTTTAAAAATTCCCACTGCAATTATTCTTTTTTCCGGTTATTTTACTTAGTAGTAGTTGTTGTTGACTTCACGTTTAATTGTTTCTTTTCAATTGTTTTGCTTTAGTTTTGTTATAGCCAGAGAAAAAGATCCACCTAATTCTCGTATAGCAAAGATATTGACAGAGAAACAACAAGAGGAAGATGAAGAGAATAATAAAGGAGAGGAAAAAGCAGTTGAGAAAGAGTTAAAGTGGAATAATAATTCATCTGATAAATAGTTAGTTATTATTATTTTATTATCAAAGTTGTTTTTATCGTTAACTAAGGATGGGATTGTGATACTGCTAAAGATAACAGGGACTTATTTCACAACACATATGTCATTTTACGTATATAGCATTATTTAGATAAGACAATGATGATAATGATAGCCCTTCTTATATAATGAATATTTTACACACCAACTTCATTGCATTTATTATTAGTCCATCCAGTTAATTTATGAATAAATATGACTGAACAATTGATGGTGATCTGACTGTTAAGTACTAAAGATTTGGATGTACCTATTAATATTCACTCTTATCATATAGAGTAATTTACATTTTCATCGATTTATACATCATTCAGCTTACAAATCAAAGATTATTTTAGTTTGTGAATAACTAGTTTGATTGTTGTTTTTTTCATTCGAAGCAGACGCTATCTTCTGTCCATGTTTTGGTTATCATCTGTTAACATCCTAAAACGTTAGTAATATGTAATTGAAAAATGCTCAATATCTAGTCCGATCGATTTTCAGTCAGTCAGTCAGCTACAACGTAAAACCAGGCACAAATATGCATCGGTTCAAGTCGTCATATCTCATTAGCACAACAAGATGAACACCGGGTTCATAGTAGTTAATTTAGAGGTGGTAATATATAAAAGATAGGTTGTATACAAGGATATAGTATAGGAAGGAAGACAGATATGAAGCAATTTTAATCTCACGGTTTAAGGGAAGATAAAGAGTGTATACCCCTACGCCATTATGATCGATTCTGAGCCATATCACCCAGAGTCTCCAGCCATTGGTTACGATAATCACACGGACCCCAACCAGATAGTCTGCATCTATGAACATGGCTCAGAGTAGAAGTTAATGACTTCAAGCTCTGATGCCATGTTTTGGTTTAGCAGTCCTTAACTCTTTTCCAACGATCCCCAATAATAGACAGCATTGTGCGTCGTGTTAATCGGTGTTCAAGCATACGTAACACGTGATCCAACTATCTCAGTTGATGAATATTCACAATCTCATCAACTGATTTACCATCATTTCCTAATACCCTGTGTCTAACCTCACTATTACTTACCCGGTGATCCCAACAGAGTATTCTGAGGGGTTCGTGCTAGTTGGCACTAATCAGGAAGACGTATCTGTAGTCTTGTCAGGACTGATGTTACCTGATGCATTAAAATTGTGAAACTGGGTTATCCGGATATGAATCTACTGTGGTGCATCAGTTCCCGCAAAGATTTAGGTTCGCTTTGTTGTTGTGCGCTAACTACTACGAAACGATAGACATAAAGGAGGAGTTCCTGCCGACTTTCTTTAACCACCTAACACCAAATCGCACTCCACTTGATATTGAGTCACATAGACTAGTGGCCATATTTCAACTCTTCGTTGATAGGACTCAATCTGTACCAGGGACTGGAAAAACATCTCTGGTTCTACGTCTTGTATGACTGACTAGATAAACATGACTCTTGTTGCTGTTCAGTGATCAATCAATGTAATGGGATTGACTGTGTTCAGTTTTTTTCCAGTTCACTACGACTGTTGTTAATTAACCCGTGCTTCGTTTTTCTATTTTACTTTTAATCAGCCAAGAATTTGTGTCCACTCAGACCGATAATCCTGTAAACGTAAGTTTCTTTTTAAAAAAAGTGTTTTGTGCATTTCATTCATTTCCTAATTTGTTTGGGTTCACTACAAGTACGTAGAATGTATGTATATCATTACCTAATCCAATTGTTTGTTCATGCATTATTCTGACCTTATTTAATTGAACATAGAAGAACAATAAGTATGGTTAGAATATCATTTTATAACTATTGAATAGTTTTAGATGGTATACCTTACGTCAACATATTAGAACAACAGAGCGATAAAAGGTGTGAAAATAACGCTATCACTTGTACTTACAACGAAAATTCAAAGGAAATAAATTGTACTATTGAAGAAGATATTTCAAACTTACAGAACACCCAATAATAAATCAGCCAGTCAGGTACAACGCCAGTAATAAATAAATTAGGGTCTATATGCAATAATTTATAATCATGTCACTTGAAGTCTCATGATTGTCCGACTAGAAATTCTTCATATCTTTACACTAAATAAGTGGTTATTAGTTTAACAGGATTGATGGTATTTGTATTTGACTGGGAACCAACCCTTAACTCAATCATCGTATCTACTAGTGAACACGTTACAAATTGCGATGGTTGATACAAGTGTTACACTTGCTTAGACATTGCCTACCTTGAAGTAATAGTCTACTAGATGGGAGTTTTTAGACGATTGTCTGTTTTAAACATGTGAATTAGTCAACATCTCCACCCCACCCCCCGCCCAACCCACCCAGTCCATATGGTATTGATAAATTATTCTATTTTCTATATTGATTTAACCTATAAAAATTGTGACTATTTTTCCAAATGTTAACTTCTGTTTTATATCGATTATATTGGGGGGCGGGTAAATTGACTAATAATTGGACAAATCAATAAAATATTTTGTCTAATATAAATTAGACGATGCTTATCCAAGTTAATTCATGCAATACTTATAATTCTACATATTTCCGTCTGTTTTTTTCTTCTCTAAATTATTTATCTCACAACAAAATATGACTCATTTTTCATCGTATAATACTACTTATTATCACAGATCTATACTATGGTATTATTATGTATGACAATATTCCTCTTACATATATTCTCACAATGTGAGCTTGTAAAATTATCTATTTCATTTAATTACTATATGTAAAAACATGTGAAGAAACGTTTGTTTTTCTTTTATATGAAAATTTAATGTCTGAATATTTCATTGATGTTTTTTAGAGTTAAGATAAAATTCAAACATTGTTTTCATTATCTTAATGTCATGCTCACTCTCTTTTTATGTCAACATTTTTGGTTAGTTCTTGGTCTTGTTTCTTTCTCTGTTGTGAATATTTGTTTTAAGTTGTTTTTTTGTCGTTATGGTTTACATTTGTTCATTATATGACATTCCAATTCATTTAATAATTGATTATTTCTTTTATTCTTGCCCCATCAACTCTGTTTCATTCATTGGTAAGCTTAATCTCCTACCTCTTTTCATATCATACATTATTTGTTTGATTTTGTCTTTCATCTTTCTTCTTTTTTTTTCAAACTCTGATATTACCAGCTAAAATGAGGGGAAGTGTAGGAAAAGTAAAGAGGGTTAGCACAATGGAGATTGGGTTAGAATTAATGATGTTTGTACAGTTAGTTTCTTTTGTAACCCACCCAATTACTAAACAAAAAAAAATCACGAGATTAATAGACATTGAAATGTATAGTGTTGTCGTAATATAATGCATATTTTAGAATTCTTTGTATTTCATTTTTTCATCTATATACAGATTACGGTTGTTTAGACGTTGAGATTTGCTCAACATACATTACTCTGATTTATGTATCAGACTGAGTACAAATTATTTCTCACTTCATTACTGTTATGATTATTCTTAAGCATACTGCTTTTTTATCATTATATCATAAAACATTTTTTACTAATTAGCTAACAACAGTATAACTAAATGTATTTATCGTTTAAAGTATTGCAAAATATGGATGTGTCAACGGATATCTTATCACCATTTTCATGTTTATTTAACCCACTAACTTTTTAGTAACTCATTTTATTTTTATGTTTAGTCAGTTTTACTCTCTTGAGTTTTCAATGCTTATAATGACAATTATTCACTTGTAGAAGGGAGTAGCTTTCAACCAGTCAGTCAGTTACAACGTAGAACTTCGTACGTACGTACATCAGTTCGAGTTGCCATACTTCATTAGCACAGAGATGAAGTTGTCGATTCAAATCCCATAATGATAGAAGTAGTAAAAGTATAAGCAGTAATCGTAAAGATTAGGGTTTGAAGATGTTATTGAAGGAGTATAATACAATGAAATAAATTTAGAAGGAGAAAAAGGATACAGACATGAAGAATTGAGATTAGAATTTGGTAGAACACAAAGAGTGGATGCACCTTCGCCATTGCAAACGATTTTGAGCCATGTCATTCAAGGTCTCTAACCATCGGTTGCTATCATCTCGCGAATCCCAACCAGGTAGTCTACACCTACCAACATGGCCCAGTCCACTTGTCAGTGACTTCATTGTTTTATGCCATGTTTTGGTCTGGCCACCCCTAGCTTTCTTCCAACCTACTCCTACACCATAAAGCATTGCACGTCGAGGCAGTCGGTGGTTGGGCATACGTAATACATGTCCCAGCCATCTCAACTGATGAAGTTTCACTACTTCATCAATCGATTTGCCATCCTTACCTAGTACCCGTTTCCTAACATCTGCATTACTTACCCGGTGGTCCAAGGATATACACAGCTTTCAACCACGAAGTTCTAGATTTGAACATCTCTCCATATATCTTGTTTCAGGCAACCAAGTAGTATAACACTAACCGTCATACACTTAGATTATAGATCGAAGTTTAGTATAACAATCTATACCTGTTGGATGACGTGATCATAGTAATAATCCATTCAATCAAAAAAATAAGAGATGGTTAGATAAAATTTATGTAGGTTTCCTAAATCTTTAAAATCTTGATGATGATTATGGTTATCCAGCGAACCATCACCGCCTTATTTCGGTTGGAATATTTGTCTGTTTTTTGGTGGTGGGTGTTCTTACACCAAAACACAAATTTGTTCTGTTGGTAGTCGTATATTTTCTTTCACATCTTGTGGTAAACAAGTCAAAATCTAATGATAATTATATTGTTAGCGGTCATGTAAAATTCCAAGTCAGATAATATGAAATACTAACAATTTCGTCCAAGTACATACATCTCATTACTTTTTAGTAAAGAATATTAGTGATTGGCTGATGATATATTACCTTCCAATGTGTGCAATCTTCATGCTCTATTTCTTTACCTCAAACAATTTTCATGGTTTGCAAATTAATTATTTACAATCGCTTGTACGGTTTCAGGTAGTAGAGATTTGCAACTCAGTAGGGTAATTTTGATTAAGTTACTTTTTTTGAACTTGGTGACCTAGTTGTAAAGCTATCATTATCTTTCCAAAAAACTTCACTTCTACTTGAAGTCATATTAAGTTTGATACTCATTTCCATTAGCACCCAGTAAACATATTAAACTGAACGGCCGTCCAGTGCTTCCAGGTTTTCGATGGTGGTCTAGCTTCAATTGACCCAGGATTTCAACTATGAATATACTAAATTCTCCACAAAACCCCTCTGAATTGCATTTATCAACTAATGAGAGAAATTAACACATTCTTATGGTCAGGAACCAGTAAAGATTCAAAATAAATGGCGGGACAATTATTAAAAATAGCTAGGTACATTTATTGTCGGCGAAATAAATTTTTAATCATTTGAAGAAAAATTCTAGTTGCCCATTTCTTTCCAGAAAGATAATAAAGTTTTCACGATTGCATCATTTGACTCACAGAACGTAACTTCAAAATATGTATCTGTAATGGTTAAGTTGGCTGGTATTACACTCCTTTTATCCGAAGTGTTGTTTTCAGTCCTATGTGTATTCGTCTTGAACTATATGAAAATAAGAAATTCTAATATCATTGTTTAATGATATTGATAGTTATAGTTTAATTGTTTCCCAATTATTCTCTGTTTGTTTTTCTCTTTCTCCCATAACCTTGTTTAATGAATCGTTAAGAACTTGAAATAGACATGTATGGATAAATTATTCACCTTATAAGCGCATACTTAATGATTAGAGTTTTCGGTTTAGGAAAAAAGAACACTCCACAAATATTTATATGTTATTGCACCAGCACTTACCAATTGATGAGACTTGTGGATCAAGGCCGAATACATAAATATCTACTTAGTAAATGAATACCATAATAATAATGATTTGGTTTCATGTTCAATTTTTTCTCCATAAGAATATTACGTGTATGCATGTGTTGTGTTTTTCAGTTATCAGGTGGCGATTCTACCGAAGCTTTACATAATTTGATTGCAGTAGCTACACGATCATTAAAAGAAGCTAAACAATGGGACAAGGTTGATGATGACGACAATGATGAGGAGGATGCGATAGCTATTGATGAAAGTAGTATAGATTGTGATATGGAATATCTTAATGTTAATAATAACAATGATACAAATGATTCATCACCTATAAACAGTCTTTTTCAGCAGTTTAGAAAATCTTCAAGTGGTGGTGATAATGTAAAATCACTAAATGGTTATTCCACTGACCTAAATTATCAACATTCTAGCCCTCGATCAGCATTAAAAGGTACAGCAACTGCAGCGTCGACTCGTCGGCGTAATGAAGCTATCATGGAGTATATTCGTCAAGCTGTACTTATCCAAGACAATGTACATTTACCAACTAATCTAATTAATAAAACTGACTATACTGATAAAAGTCAAAATTCAAATATAACGACAGACTCTCTTAATACAGTATCTTGGGCACTAGCTAGTGAATTGCATGATCATAGAATTCAACTACGAAAATTCCAATCACGTAATCGAAATCTAGAACAACGTGTAAGTCATTATGTATATACGTTATTAGTGCTGTAATAGCCTAATATTCGTTCTAATTTATTCATTATTCATAACACATTGTACCATACAAATGAAATTGATACTTTCAATTTTTTAAGATACGATTTCGCATTGTAAACAGAAATTAATCTCCTAACTTATATTAATTTTAATTGTATATTGATAACTCCGTTGTTAGTGAAATAAACATTCAAACTATCATTCCTATAATACTAATATAAATGACAATTGTTCCACAAATTACTCATTTTCGGTATTTCTTTTTCAAATCTCATATAGTTGACTGCTCAAGAAGCTGCAGCGGATGAAGCAATAGAAAGACTTTGTCTACGTTGTCGTCATTTGGAATTAGAGCTTAAACAATCACAACAAAAATGTTCTCAACTAATGTCACCAAAACAGCAGAATATTTCAAACTCTAATAAGTTAGTTTAGTTTTACATTATTGTAACACTGAATAATATCTATCTTTAGTGCTTATATATATATATATATAATATTCCATCTTTTTCGTTAAATTTCAGCTACTCTCTGGGAGCTAATAACTTATGTAATCCAATATATCATTCAGTAAGTACATATAATGCTTCAATTACTTTTTTACTATAAATTTATACTGTTTCTCTACATTGCCGACTCCCTATAGTTTAACAATGCTTTATAATTCCATAGTTGCTAATAAACTCAATACCTATAACTTCTAATTAGCAATGAATTCACTACACCATAGTTTTATAAAGATTAATTTGGTGCAAAACAGAGATTGTATTCGGAAAGGATAACATTTTTATTGTGAATTTTCTTTTGACTCATAACTACATTGCTATGGATGTCGGATAAGAAGTTTATGATTGGTTTTTGAAATTATTTCATTTTCTATATCTGCTTCAAATTGCTTACCTTATTGCATATCACTTCGTTAAGCCCTTTTTATTCCCTACCTAATCTATTTGAAAGATGGTAGCACTTCTGTTTTGATCGCATGACTCTTAGGGACCATGTAAACAATATGTCTTATATATTGATATCTCCCCACTAAACAATGATATCAAAACTGATCTGACCAATCTTATAAAAGCGGCGCGTTTTCTGTAATCAAATAGTTAGATCTGTTTAAAGCACCCCTTGGCTATTGAGCGGGTATAAGGACAGTGGATTCCGGTTAATAAAAGGTTGGAAGAAGATCTAGGTTTCTTTTGAGAGCACTAGGAAAGAAGTTTTTTACCCTCCATGTCAATATACGTAAATTTCCATTTAAATCCCTTAAATCATGCGTTTTCCAGCCTAGTGTTGTATTTCATTTTCTTGTAACCATTTGTAACTTTTATCCTACTCTCATACTCGGGATAATTCATGACTCACCGGTTTTTTATGAATCACTTTTTTATCATCGTATAGTAAATGCTTTGTCTATTTCTCACTCATATCATCCTTCTTATTTTCCATCCTCCTATATATTACTGTTCATAACTAATTGCTAAATAAAACTATGTTCATTTTTAAAGTGAATCGTTGTTTCATGTTGGGTGGTTAATGTTCGCATTTTGCACTTAGATCTTGTAGACTATTGAATTTATTGTATCTGTAAATAATAATTGTAAATTATATTTCTGCCTTTAATAGTTGCTGACCTTATGAGGTAGTCCTTAGCATAAAGATTAATGATTATCAGCACAAGTTCTACAAAAGTTGTACATAATTACTACCAATTTAAATAGTTGACCTGTTTTGTAATTCCCATTTTTATCATATATATATATATATATATATATATATATATATATATTCTAATGCCACTTGGTCATGTTAAATAATATGGTATCACTGTACTGTTTTTTATAACTGTGTAGTTGATAACCTTATGCGTACAACTATCTATATTGTCAACTATCATAAAATTGTTTATTCAAAACCGACTTCATCTATTCTGGTCTAGATAGCCTAGTTCAGGTATATACAGTGATTGTTATCCAAAATCTAATAGATAAGTATTTTGATGAATTGGTTTTTATACACTATTTACTGGAACTACATTTAGCAGTCATAATCTATCACATTAGCGTTGGTATTTATGATGTTTTGAAGTTCTGAAATAAGAGTATTGTTTACGTAAGAAACAAAAACTTCCTCCAGTCAAGTAAATCAGTTTGTAACGTTAAATCTAACGTGATAAATTTCTTAAAATAAGACTATATTTCCTGCTAGACTGTGCTGTTGTTGAAACATATTAGTATTTCTATACAACATGGTATATTGCGTAAGTGTGACTCATTATTTGAAAGAATTAGGTTGTTAAAATAGTTCATCAGAAGACTATCTAACGAGTGTTGCGAGTAGGTCATGACCTGTTTTAACCTTTTTAAACTCATCAAGTCCAACATTTTAATATTTACACTTTCAAGAATTATTTCATAGCTGTCTTTACATGACTACACGTAATTGTGCAACATTTATTCTCAAAAAGGTTGACAATATTTAGTCGCTTCAAAATTTACTAATTATTCAAGCTTGTCAGTTTTAAGGTTTCTCTTCATTTAATAATCATGTTTTTTAATTTGTTCGTCAATTACTTTTTTCTCTCATTACCCTGTTTTTATTAACAACCAATTGTGCACAAAGATCATACAACAGTGTTTCTTAAGAATGATTTCCTTAAAAAGAAGGAAAGTTATACTTTAAACAAGGAAACAGAGTGATGTATATGAAACAAGATAACTACAGTGAAATGAGGAGGTGTGCTAGCTAAATTACACATTCATGTTTTCATTGTTCTTGTTTACTTAGCTTTACAGCTAGAATAGTTCTCATTCAGCTGGTCAAATGAAATATAAATTGAAAAAAGTCATATCTCTAAATGTATGAGTCTTTTCCTACTCCGATTAACATTTTATTCAGGATTTCCAACAGGTGACACAAATTTAAACTCATTGCTGTATTTTTTGTAGAATACATTCTGTGATGGATGTAATTCTTTCCACTTTCAAATACTTTTATATTATTATTGGCATTCAGTCGGTTTCTCCGATTTCCTATTTCTTTCTTATTGTTTTTTTCTTTGTAAATCTCATTTAGAGAAACAAGTTTATACCGTTTATTGCTATCATATTAACCTCATTACGTATATTAGTGCAATATAACGTCTTTTATTATGAAGCTATTTTAAATTGACCTATATTTAACTGACATCATTTTAATTATGATGAATTGTGCAGAATATTTATCTATGAATTATATATTATCCTTTGTTAAAATTGCTTACATCCTGATTTTGAAATTCAAGTCTCCTTGATTTTCTTATTTGTTTCAAGTCAATGTTGAATGCCTCGTCGTACAAAGAAGATGATGGAGTGGTGGTATCTGGAGAAAATCCCGGTAATTTTTAGTTATATATATATATATATATATATATATATATATATATATATATATAGAGAGAGAGAGAGAGAGAGAGAGATTTGTTTGTTTATGGATTTCTTTGACTTAATATTTACTGAACATTGGCATAAATATTATATACGAGTGATATTCAAAGCAAAAATGAATATGACATTGATGAATCACAGCAGGTAGTAATTTATTTATCTGTATGAAAGTATTTGTACTATTGATCAATCAATTTGATCTCCTATTGCTCGGTGTTCATCTATAACAATTGTTCAAGATACTGTAGTGAACAGAACACGACTGGGGACAATCGAAACCAGTGTTCTGTTCACTACAATACTCTGATTACTTTTCTTTCTGCACATTTTATGTATACGATTTGCGTAACTTTATCGATTTTTCACTAATCTAATACCCATACTGTAACCTATTAGTTGTGCAATAATAATATTTTGGATATGCAATCTTAGTGTCATTTATATCTAAGATTAACAAGTAAGTTTCAAGTTTGCCAATACTTGACCCGAGTTTAAAACTTGGATTAATTTTAATTTGGTTATTTATTCTCTGCAGAAGCAGCTCACACTGAGTCACAAAACATCAGAAAATCTAATATTTCTACTCATTAGTATTTTATTTATTTATAACAACCTACGTAATGTTCAATTTCTTTGAAATTATCAAGTCAAATCTTGATAATGATACTTACTATGTGTAGCATAGTTGGTTAATCATTTTTTTAAACGTTAGGTGGAATATGCAGCTTATTTTGTATTTGTTTATATTCCATTAAAATAATGATAAACAGAATTATATAAAGTTTAACTATGTAAATAATTGTAGCCTAATTAATTCATATTGTTTACATAACATTAATTATCTATATGATGTTCTATAATTTTTATGTTAGTTACAAAACAATATAATTTCATTTTGTTTTTCTTTTTGCAGTTTTTTTCTTTAAATAACTCATTTTTAACTGCTTCTAGTTTTTAGACTAATTAAATCTGCTCATCTCCAATCTTTCTATTCTCTTATTTCTAATACTGTCTATAGTGATTTGAACTTTTTCAATAGATATTGTTTAAATTTGTCTCTCCTACATAAGTAATAATAATGCTGGTATTTTAATAGAATAATAATTGTAAATCTATATTGACTATAGATTTAGTTAAATACCACAAATTGGAAATATTTACTGAGATTATTTAAATTCATATGTTGATCATATCTGATCAGCTTACTTTTAGTCTGTTTATCAGTCAGTCAGCTACAACGTAGGGCCAGGCACAAATATGCATCGGTTCAAGTCGTCATATCTCATTAGCACAACAAGATGAACACCGGGATCATAGTAGTTAATTTAGAGGTGGTAATATATAAAAGATAGGTTGTATACAAGGATATAGTATAGGAAGGAAGACAGATATGAAGCAATTTTAATCTCACGGTTTAAGGGAAGATAAAGAGTGTATACCCCTACGCCATTATGATCGATTCTGAGCCATATCACCCAGAGTCTCCAGCCATTGGTTACGATAATCACACGGACCTCAACCAGGTAGTCTGCATCTATGAACATGGCTCAGAGTAGAAGTTAATGACTTCAAGCTCTGATGCCATGTTTTGGTTTAGCAGTCCTTAACTCTTTTCCAACGATCCCCAATAATAGACAGCATTGTGCGTCGTGTTAATCGGTGTTCAAGCATACGTAACACGTGATCCAACTATCTCAGTTGATGAATATTCACAATCTCATCAACTGATTTACCATCATTTCCTAATACCCTGTGTCTAACCTCATTATTACTTACCCGGTAATCCCAGCAGATGCGAGCAATATTTCCAATGCATCTGTGGTCAATTACTAGTAACTTGCGAGTATCTTCTATTCTTAATGGTCATGTTTCATAGTTAGTTTTTATATGCATCAATAGTAATGTAAATACCACATTATTGATGTTTTGTGTTATGTTGTCCACACATTGTTACAGTTCCATAGATATCATGGATTACTCAAATTTATATTTGTGTAATCATTGATAACGGTTTTTAAAATCACTTTTATTACCATTAAATTTTTCCTTGTTGACATTAATCTTTATTGTTAGTGTTTTTTTCTGTCTCTTAGTATGCATGTTCAAAAAATATTGTTTATGACCTTTATGTTTTTGGCTACCTATTTTTAAGACTAATTATTTGATAACCTAAAGAATTCACGTTTACATCAGTATATTAATGATTTCAATAGAAGTATAGATGAGTGTTGTTTATCCTTTCAGCTGTAGTAAAAGTAAAAGGTCGTAGATTTCGAGTGGAAATCTATGAATGTTAGTCCGAAAGAACATTACAATATCGGTGTATTAAGTTGACATTAAAATAAATCACCATTCAATCTTTTTCAATTTACTCTCTAATACCATTAAAATGGATTTTTTTGACTCGATTCTTTTTCATCTTAAAAAGGTTAAAAACCTGTTGTTGTGTGTGTTTGACTACTTGTAAAACCTTGAGATTTTTACAATTATGCAACTTTCCTTTGAATATTCAAATCTTTAGTTGTTAAATAAAAAATAAGGTCAGTTATATAGAATTGCTAGAAATTCTGTCACCTTTACATCATAATCATGCTTAGTTCCATAAAGCCATCAATACTCTCTAACTATCGAACATATTTCCCCTCTTGCTTTCTATTAAAAATTTCAGTTTCACAAAATTGGTTTTTATTCAACTTTATAGATTATTCAAACTTGTAAATAAAAGTGTTTTTGAATAAGAAAGTAATTGGACTATTGAGATAACCTATATATTATATCCCATGTAGCAGTTGTTACACCGTTCTTTTTATGGAGATTGTATGTGATAAATAATCAGTTCGATTGAACATTATCCGGTTCTTAAATGTCATTGTGTGTCCTGATGTGGTTGAATTTTTTTTGACAAGTCAAATTTCCATACATTTCTAAACCCTGAATACCTCGGATAAATGAATTCAGCTCTAAGTTCGGTAGATTATATAATCAGTTCAACTACAAATTTATGCAAATTTTATCATTATAGTTATTTTATTTCAACACATAAATATTGGTCCAAGGAAGCACCAGATACATATGCGCTGCACAAATCTCATTTGATTTGTGTGAGGGCTGTGATATTGCCTAGGTGCCCAAACCAAAGAAGGTTGTTTTTCTATAGGGCCACACCCCGAGCCTTTGACCTTAAGATCTGATCTACAAGGCAGTTGAGCGTCGTGAGGAGATGCAGTCCCATGGTAACCGGTGACCAACGATTGATTCATACGCCATTTGTTCCCTCAGGATACTGGAGCCCATGTGCACCATTGGTTTGGAATCAGGGTTTTCCATTTCCCCTAGGTGAACCCTCCGTGTCCAACGACCCGGTTAAAGGGAAAGACATTCGCTTTTGGTCCTCTCAGTTTCTTAAAAACACCCCCGTCACAAGAAGGCAGTGAGTAAGACTTCCCTGGCAGAGGCTATGTACACGTGGTCATGTGAGAGCATTTGGAGAGGGAGAGCGGACCCTCCCCACCCTCGACCGTACCAAGGCTTTTCGGGGCTATCATTATACACAATTTGTTAACATAATAAATTCGTAATTATTATTACCACTTAATAGTAATATGATATTCATTTTAAGTACTGACTAATGTTAACTGTTTGTCGCTTTTTTCCTTTTTCTCTTCTTTATACAACAGTTGAATTTAGCTAACTTCCAAAAAAAACCAAATTGCATGTGATTTTATGTTTGTTCGCTTGGGTTTTATTTTTTTGTTCATTCGTTCATTATCAATTATTATTCACTTGTCCTTTCGACAATGAAAATTTTTTTACTGAGAAATGCAAGCACATGTCCTTAATTGCGCGCAAACAAATCAAAGGGGAGAAAAAACAAGATGCATTGCTTACTAAAAAACTGACAAATTATTTCCTACTGTTGAAAAAGAACACCCATCTATTCCTTTGATCTTTCTTTGCTCTCACTCTTTGTTTGTCCTAGTTTTCGTCTATGAATTGTGCGTTTAATCACATCAAGTTCACTATATATATAGATGAAATGTGGATGACTGTCTATCGCTGTTATGCTTAACACGGATTAACATCTAATTGATTTTACTGTACATAAAGCATATTCTTTCTTACACATATATAAATACTGCATGCACACAACTCTATTTTTCCTTGTAAGAAAATCAATGAATGAATTATCAGTGCTTCTTTAGCCATGTGGACATTGATACTGACAATAAGGCTATTGTTTGCCTTGAAATAAATTTAGTACTATCAACAGGTCTCTTAATCTTTATTTCCCTTACACACATACTTGAAAAATACGGCTCATCTACATCTGTAGGTAGAGTTCATTTATTAACATTAACTGTTTTAATTGCTGTTTTATTTAACTTGTCTACTTTTTGTTTTTACTATAGACAAATACATCTAGATTTAGTTACTGGTTATTTAGTAACTAGTGTATACTTCATACCCATTTATGCCTATTTTTTTCTCAATTTTTGATTTGTCAAGTATGTGATGTATGTCTGTCCATTTTAAATCCATTTTATGTTTTTGTTCTCCGGGTTGTTAATCCCAATTTCTATAATTATTATTACTACCTTTGTTGCTATGACTATTAGTACTATTATTAGTAGTATTGCTAATCATCAATGTGCCTTTTAACATGTAAACAATTATATAAATAAATACTTGTTCCAATTGTTAGTTTCACTGTTTCTTTTTAAAATAGAAACTGGATGCATAATAAGTTCGATTAATAAAAAAGACGATAAAATCCTGATCACTTTGTGATACTTTACATGACAACACTTTATTTAATACTTCAATCCGCTGATCTGATCATCAGTTTGTTACAAAAATACGGTTGATTTGAATATTCAGCTGTGTATTACTTTCTGTTCGTAAAACAGTGAATCACTAGTTAACGGGTCCAACTTTCAACTATTCAATCGCAGGTTTGAACCTCGCTCCTCCTGCTTTGGCTCAGATAACCGGGTAGTGTATCACTATCCGTCACATTGAGTAACGATCGCATTTCAGTACAAAAATATGTGTCTATCTAATAAGTGAAATAAATTAATGAAAAGGGCTATTGGTTTTTGCCTCTTGAAGGACTTTAAATGTGATAAACTTTGGCAGAAAATTACTAAACCGACCAATTATTTAAAGCGATTGATTTATGCTGGCACTATGACTAGATCTCACTAAATGAACTGGTTTTGAGCTGTTTACTGTGTTGAACACATTACAGTGTGCCTAAAAATGGTAATACTATCGGCATAAATCAATCATTCTAAATAAGTTAAATTCTGTTCTAATTCAGATTATTTCAGTGTATGTTTACTGTATACCTCTACAGCTAAATGTGCACTGAGCGGTGCGTTGTTGTTTTTGTGTTCTTTATTGTTCAACTACAACTACTTCGTGGTTTTAGATAACAATGACATCTTATTTGAAATAGTTGATATAATTAATTGACAATATAATCACCATTTGTTGTTAGTTACCAGCTTATTATTCAAGTTAGGAGTCTCATGGATAATCTTCGATTTTACTTGTCGTTCTAATGTTTAGTACTAAACTGTAATCGGTTCATATATCCAAATATTTTTTTCGGATTGATCTGATCATATCTTTTAGATAACTTCCGAGTGTTTATCTCACATGAGGTTACAGGGTGGTAAATTTATTGCTAACTTTCTGTATAATAATATAAACTAACTTAAATCATTCAGTTCATTTTATGGGACCGAATAACAATACTTTGGACAATTATTTGATTAGTTATATAAATTCAGTACGGTTTTGAATTCATGTGTAAGTCATCTCAGATGAAACAGGAGTTTTCTTGGTAATCCATTCACTTTTTGGGCCACAGCTTTATCATATCAATATTGAGTTTGGCAGGTGGGTAGTATCAGTATTTATTATAAACAGCCACAAAAATTTCTACGTTAGTCACTGAATTTCACTAATATTATTATTTAGAAGGATGTTTAGACTTGTGTTGTCATGTAAGCGCTAACAAATTCGGTCGACAGAGTTACAGTTTAGTATTAGAATAGCTAAGAACAGTGCTTGTATTCTTTAATGACTTTCATATTAAAAGAAATCACTTTCACGCAATCGAACTGTATTCAGTACATGATTTTAACTTTTAAAAGTAACTGGGATATATCTCTATTCAGACTATTTAATCATGAATACAAATAACCTAAGTAGCATTTCCCCAGTATGTATATCTTGTCATCAAATTATCCTTGGATAATTAGTACTTCTAACTGTAAAATTCATATATTTGCAATGTTTGTATTATAAGACCAGCTTATTTATTTAGAATAGGGATTAATGATGAATTACACCTGCATTTCGTATGATCTATGATAACTCTACATTAATTGGGGATAATATATTTTAGCGAAATCTTGTTAAAGGCAGAATTACGTTTAAGCTTAGATTAAATATGTAAAGAGTAACATAACGCTAATTAATGTGTCTACTTAAATAACTGATGAATTCAATGATGTACTTCCTCATTCAAAAAAATTTATATAGACTTTTAATTGAAAAAATGCATTTGACCTTAGGGCATAGTAGCAATGTTTCAAGTGCTTTTCAACGTATTGTTCACATCATATTTCTCATCTCTGGAATATATTTCATTTACTTTAATCAATTAATCATGCTAAAATGTTACTACTACTTCGGAACAATTCTATAATTATCCCCTGTTTTAGTTTGTTTCTTTCACCTTGCTAATTAATTTTTACCGCTTTATGTAATTTTTTTCATACTGAAATTTCTGAACCATTTCTTTTCTAATTATGCAATTTTTGGTTAAACATTTTGATTTTAATATAAGTTGATCTTTCTGTGGATATATGTATGATTACTGCATATTGATCGTTGAACACTAACTGTTGGTTATGAATTATGCTGATATCTTATCAATATTAAGAAAGAGAAAATGTGTAATGTAAAACAGATTCTTTAATATATAATTGATGTACCTCTTTTCATCGTGTTGCATGATAGAAACTTTAGTTTTCTATTTTTTTTTAATGGAAGAAATAGCTTTCTGTTGCAAATATTGTTATGACGATGATGATGATATTTTGATATGTCTTGCTTGCTTTAATTTTTTTAAAGAATGTTTTAACTGAATGAGTTTTGTGTTTGTTTTTCAAGTAAAAGCATTCAATTAGAATATTTTTACTTTCGTTTTATCATTGAATTCATAGATGTTGTATTGAAGAAATGTTTTGGTTTAAATGACACTGATGAATCTATAGTTTCATTTACAAATCGTGGGAGTCCCAAGGCGTCAATATATGGACCTTATTCGTCTGATGATCAAGATAAAGTTGAAGTGGACGGTTCTACCGCTAACTCTGTGAATCTTGTAAAGGATGGTTATTCAACTACTGTAGAGTTACCATTATTTGTTAGACAAGTGGAAGATCGAACTCGAATTGTCAGTTCGGGTGGTCTAGCTGGTCGACGTCCACCTACAAAAATTGTTGTAAGTTTGATTACTTTTAAAATTATGAACGTCTTGTGTTTTAATAAACGAACTTCTTTGAAGAATAACAAATAACATATTACATGTATGCATACATCTGTAGACGTCTGTATTCTTACACGTAAGTTGTGCTAACTCACATATCATTTTTCTTTAGCTTCAGTTCGCCTTCTCACTTAAGCACATTTTAGCACTTTATCGCTGATAGATTTTAGTTCATTCATTTTCTTGGTGGCTTCAGTTTATTTCGATGTCTTAGAATCATTGATTTAGTACCGTTCAATTATTTAATAAGCAAAGTTAATTTTAGGCTTAGAACACTGTGTAAAGTTTGTAAATCAATTGATGAGGTCATAAATCGTCACTAATTGTACTAGTTGTAAAATAAAATACACATACTTGCTAATTGTCATTTGCTCTATACGCACTTATTAATAAATCTCTTAATTTCGTTCTTGTTCTTTATATACTACTGTTTATTTCTAGTTTTTGATTATTTCTTTACTATTATTCTTTACTTCTTTACTATTATTGCTATCAATATTTTTACTTATTCATAGTAGAATTCAAACCCCCAGCACACATTAGTAACAAGATCATATATTATCATGTCATTAGTTCCATTAACTCGTAATTTTTCCCCATAATTAATTAATATCTCATCAATCTAAGGTCAAAACATAATGCACATGATGACCAGTCACTTAGACCAGTGGTCACATTGTAAATTGTTCGATAGAATTTGATTAACACTAAAGGATTAAACAAACATCAATCATCAGTCAATTGTTAACTGAATTTTCATTTTGGGATTTATTCTTCCATTGTTTCATGCACTATTTCTCTTCCATTTAAAATGCCAAACATATATAATTTTGTTTCAAGTTTCATCATATGTTTGTTGCGAAATTCAAATTCAATTGAAGCATCACATCTCTGTTCATTTTATGACGTGTATATGTAAACAATGCTTTCATTATTTATTGAATAACTATTTCAGTAGAAAGTTCTTTCTTGAGTTGAAACGAAATTTTTCTTCGTTTGAATTGGTCTAGCAAATTTTTCCTTATATCTCAATATCTTTCTTTCGTGTCTCTAGTTTCTTTTGTTCGCTATGTGATAAGTATGTTATTTCATGATTGTTTTCATTTACAATAGTTCTAAGAATATCCAATTAGTTCCATTGATATGGTTTCATATCTGTTCGCGAACATGGAAAAAATTGCCGATAAGCACCTATTGGATAAATTGATACACTAAACTTGATTTTATACTGTTATAATATGGCGATAGCACAAATGGTTAGATCTTATTTCCATAGACCCCGATCACTATTGACCTCAAGAAAATGGCTGTTTCCAAATTAGCTATTCTTGGGTTTGGTTAAATGGTGGATTAAATTTTCAATAATTGTACAAGCTTATCATTTTTGTAAATCCCAGTTTAAACAAAATAATCTTGTGTACAGTCAAGCTGAAGTACTAAAACTTTTAGTGTTAATTATAATTCCGCTTTAAAACATGTACATTATTGTGTTTGGACGGCTCCCATAAACACGACAAAGTCGAAGAGATTCGACCCTATCAAAACCTGATGGAAACTTCTACAATATCAACGTGGGATGCTATTATTGGACAATTAAATAGATTCATACTTGAGGATTGTCTGGAGTACTAAAAACCATAAATACTTATGTTTTTCTGTACATTTTTGACTCGTACCCAATAACCGCTTCTCTTGCCACTGCTTAATTTTGATTTGTGAATGTGGGTTTCTACGCGTTTTAGTGCCAATAGTTGTATACTCTATTTGCGTTAATCAAGAAGAGGACGTTTCGTATTGATTCTCGTTAAATGAGTTAAGTATTAAATTAACTTACGAAAAAATGCTTGATAACCACCTAGAAATCTAACACCAAAATATGTTCTTCCTAATAAGTCCATTGTAATGTAAGATAAATGTTCCATCAAATAATTTTACAGTTTAGTGTGATTCTGTCATGAACATTGATTATTTCACATGACTTAGTTTTTTTATAGACTCATAAGTTCTTAGAACATAACAGCACCTGGAAATTCTTTCACATCACAACATCGGTAATATATAATGAAAAAACTTCACAATCATATTCACTAATATTCAGTACCATTCTGTTGGTTCGAGGAAAATTTTATTGTTAGTAAAGATGATGATTTTATATTGAATTGAATGAAATTGTCAGAATATTCTATAATGATTAGTTTATCAGTAAGATGATGACATATTTGGTTTAATTAAAGTAAACCACTTCACGAATGACTGAAATTTATAAATATTACTGATTTAAAGTATTAAGTGAGATTAGTCAAGAATTATTGTTAATAAGTCGATATCATTCACTCTTTATTTTACTCTTTCTACGGCATACATATTCATTATTTACTGTCTCATTTCACCCATACAAATTAGTACTCTTTCATTGTATTCTATAAAAATTTCAGTTTACATATAAAGTGACTTTTATTCAACTACATTTTAAAATCAATCCATTCCGTTTTCGACTATCGTCTTCTATGCCCCACAAGTTTTATTCTGATTGGATTGATAATCTCTTGGATATACAGTAGAATCATTTGTAAAATTCAAAAAAGAGCATTTTATTGGTATTGGTTGTTTGTATCTTCCCATTGATGTTTAGGACTGCAGTTGATCAGTCTATTTCGTGGATTACTTCAGTATTGCTGCTAAATCACAAGCATTTTAACTAGAGATGTAATCTGGAACGCGTAATTCGTCCTGCTTGGGACTTGTTAACTCGGTCATTTAATCATTCTGTTTTCAAGTGTTAGATTTATCTCATTCATTCCAAACACATATTATTTTACTTATTATAAGCATATATATATACTTTGCTAATACTGTATTTCACTCAACATTTTTGCACACAATAAGCCTACCTACTTCTGAGTCGACTATTAATAACTGTTTGTGCATATAATTGTTACTATACATTTGTATAACTCAAACGATTTGATTGATGATTTAGTATGAGCAATAAATTATTGCTTTCATGAATACTGTTTTGGTAATATTATTATTATCATTATCAATACATACTTACTTACGCCTGTTACCCCTCGTGGAGGAGCATAGGCCGCACGCCAATATTCTCCATCCAATCCTGTCCTGAGCATCTTTATGAATAATATTATTATTATTACTCTTTAGTTTTCATCGATTCGTTATTTTGTAAAGGATCTCATTGAACGATAAACACTTATTGATATATCTTTTTTAATTAGCATGTTTTTGAAATACATTACTTGTAATTTCTATCAATACAATCCTATCAGATTAAAATATAATATTAAATATGATTTGGTATGTATTTATGTTATGTCTACTACTGCTAACCAATTACATATTAGCTTCATTTTATTTATATAAATTGAATACATTATTGTTTTCTTTATCATGTAAATGAGATTCAAGTTGTTATTTGATGTGAATCAGTTGTCAGCTTTTTAGTTGTACATAAATTTATATTAACGTATATTTAAAGTGTAAGGTATTTATATTCAAGAGAAAATGGGCTACTATTCTGTAGATCAGGCTTATATGTATATATACTCTGGATTATGCCTGCTTCATTATATTTCACCTCTTGTAAATCTGTTTTTCTGTTAATTTTCAAATGATGAGGACTTCCGACTTTCAACTGTTCAGTAAACTATTCAGTCTTATCACAATTGGAGAGATATGATTTACTGATGAGGAAATACATACAAACGTATGGTTTATGCTTAACACTTGGTCGGTAGAATTCGGTCTGTACTAAGAAGGACCTGACATACATACTACCCAATGATCATTCAGTTTTAAAACTTGTCTCCTTCAAATTAATTTTTACCTGATAATCCATTGTCTTCTTGTTGTAATTTCCAGTTATACTGAATCAAAATTAACTAACTTCGTTTAGAAAATGCTGAGTAAATTAGTTTCCTTTTTTCCTACCTATGGGCTCTGATCACTTATGTCATAAAACACGAATCACTGCGCTCATCAAATTTCTGTATAATGTTACTCTACATCATCGCAATACATAAGTTGAAGAGTTTTGTTCTGTTCACTTTTTTTTCTTTCCTTTGTGATTGATACCTACCCGAATATGTATTTATGCTATTCTGAACTATATCGATCATATTCCTTTTGTTTTAACTTGACTTAATTCTCATATACATGACACTTGATTTCGCTCACTTTCAGTCTGCTACTGCCAACTATTTTTGGCAGTATAAACGATTGTATTTGTTGTTGATTCTCCTTTTAGATAAATTCACCGTTCGCCTCATTGCATGGGCCCTTTGCTGCTTCATTGTAAGTTATTTTTCTGTGTATGAGATTTTTGGCAAAAGTATATTATAAAGACCAATCAATCAAAATTGAAAACGTAACTTTTAATTTTTTACGCGAAATTCAAATATCATGTACGACGAGCAATAGAAATACCTTTATATGTTGTTCAAAACGTGTAAAATGGTAGCGAAAAAATTATTTCATAGAGTGAAAGTGATTGCGTTTAATGTATTGATTGCTTGACCTTGTCTGTCTAGGTTGTATATAAAAGTCAAATGGACTTTATCCCTAAACCCTTAATCCTGAAACAAATAACGTGGTGGCATTACATTTAAGGGTCGAACTAATAAGATAGCATTTCTTGTATTTTGAAGCAAAATCCATATGACTACAGAACATTTTACATTAAAACTGATGTCAGTTCATGATGAGAACCCTCAATCTGATACTGACTAGGAATAATGTTGGAAATTAAGAATCTGTTGTGATCCCATTAAGGTTTTCAGTATATGGACAATGTATATCCGTTAGAGCGAGTTTACATTTTTTTCATTTTACAGGCAGAGTAACCTACTTAAGACATTAGTAAACGTATTATTTATGTGAAACTTGTTTATATTTTGTAATATTATTGTTTTCTGTTCCTCAAACTATGGAATCAAGTTGGTCGGAAACTAACACTTAAAGTTTCTTCATGGTCAAGTTCGCCTTTTTGACTTCTTATGTTGATACATTAAATTAAACATGTATAAAATTCGAAGAAGTTCTTTATGATCCACTATAGCTATTTTTAAATTAAACACTAAGAGCTTTCAAGTGATTTTAAAAAAACCATTCGTTTGATTAGTTGTGAATTATACAAAATGTATGTTGTAATGTAGAAAGAATGAAACTGAAATCATAAAATTTCGTCTTGTTTGGATTAATCGGTTGACGAATCGTTTATTTGTTTTTTTTTTTTAGTTAATCAGGTTAATGAAATGCAGTTTTGGTTTTTCGCAGTTTTCTCTCATTCTTTTTTTTCAGTAAAATTCTTTACTTTCACTTGTTGATATTGTAAAGTCAATTTTTTTCTAGTCATGTTGTGTGACTTTAAGTCCGATGATACAATGTGATTGATGTGTGGGCGAAAATGATAATGGTTGGTTGTTTGCTTAGTCAGACTTGTAAATAATCTGATAGGCGTTAGATGGGTTATATATTCTCCTATCCTTATTATTACTGTGATTGTGTTGGAATGTTGTTGGTTTTCGATGTGGAAATATATTTACATTCTAGTCGGGCTAATCACGTGTTCTTGATTTGAGTTGTGTTGAAGTCCTGTAGAATAGACGTTGGGGAGGAATCTAGTTTAGATATTTGTCTAAGGTAAATTAGCGTCCCATTCGTGTAAACAAAAAAATCCGAGCTTTATAACAGTGATCAATCAGTCAGTAGTGCACCTATAAGTCACCTATTCTAGTCTGTTGAATTTTCTACTGTTATGTAATGACAATGAATAGAAAGAAAGTGTGAATTTCTGTGATTTTTTCCCCAAATGTTGATATGATATGAGATTAGTTGTTCCTTGTCTTCATTAATTTACATTTAGAACTGAACCTCGAGTGCCATCGGTCAAAAATCCATTTAGTAAGTTTCATCGTTATAATTGAAATTATCATTTTAATTTGTAGTGGTTTTTCATTAGATGATACATTCAATACATTTTACTGTTGGAATGTCAATAGAAATATTCTTATCTACTTATAGACACAACATCAATAGTAGTCTAATGTTAATGAACTGACTGTAGGGGATATTTATCAGACACCAATAGGGATGTTTTTATATAATAACTTATGTATGAACACAAATTTTTCAACTAATATTCTTCATCTCGACTAAATTTCTGTTATGATTGTAAGTTAATTCCTATCTCAAGAGTTAATTCGTCAGCTGAAAATCCTGATTAGAATTTCTTTACCCCCCATGTGTGCTATTTCGATTTTTTTTTAACGTTCCGTGCTTTGACTAGTAAGGTTAGCCTTGGAATTTAGCCTCGATAAGTCTAAACTACCGATCTTTTTCAAAGTTTGCCCTCCTTTTAGCCTAGCTTTCAGTCCGATAGAACACTGCAACCTGCCGTGCAGTAGTATTATTTTAGTGGGGGGGGGGTAACCAATTTATTGTTTAGTAAACAATCACACAGTGTAAAATGTGAAAATCATTCATCAAATGCATCATTTGCACATCTTCGAATTGTTTCTTACAAGCTTCATTGTTCATTCATTCCCGGTTTTATCGTGATTGCTTTCTGTTTTCCTTAACCTCTTCATTTCAATCCCCTCAACCTTCTGCTCACAAACATTCCGCTTTTGATTGGCGTTACACACTATTTATGTCTGTCAACATAAGTAGCGTACACCACAGTATTATATTTATTTCAAACACTCATTTGTTTATATACATGAATTATCAGGCCACAACGCAGTCTAAATATGAAGTCATTCTTTACATATAATCATGCCATGATTGGCAGATAACTGAGCTAACGGTTTATGACTAATTAACAGTAAATAAGAGACAATAAATCTTATAACATCAGTTGGTAAGTTCAAAAGGTATTTACAATACAGGGAATATATAGATACAATAATTTAACTAATAAATAATTCTACAATAAAAGTATTAATAATAATCTGTCGTAAAATAGTCCTAAAAGTTCCAATATCCTAAATACTTGTCCCATTATAGCAGTGTCCCTAAACAACAATGAATACGAGATTGTTGCTGATAGACATTTGAATGCTTAAAAACTGTTAGATATTTTTTTATTATTTGTATCCTTTAATTAGTCCACGCTCTGATTAACTTTTCTTTTTAGATTCTGATAACAATGACTCTTGCTTGAATAAATCATCTAATACATCTCAACCTCCGCGTCCTGTTCCTTCACATTCATTTGTCTTCCATCGTTCTTCTTCAAATGAAAGACAAGCTTCTTCATGTCAGTCGAAATCAACAACTAACAGTTTAGTAGATTCAAAAATCAATTCAACACAGAAGACACCTTCACGTAAACCAGTTGGTGGTTATCAACTACCAGGACTTTCAGATAGTGAGTTTATAAAGTTCATCCGTGTAACAAGTATATTAATATCACAAAGTGAAACTGAATGTTTAATTTGTTGAAATTGTTGAATCAGTTGTTATACACCACGCATCAACTTTATTTACAGAACCATTGTAAACTAGGATGACTGGACTGTGCGTATCCACAGCCACTGAATCAGCACTCTATGTTTAAACCAGTGAGTTAGCATCAAGTGATTTATATTTCTAACTTACATCCAATACGTGTTTTTAGGATAATTCTACTCGTGAAATGGATGAAGTGCATTAGTCACTTATTAGCACAGAGTTGTGGATATTGTTGAATTATTAGTCTTACACCACAAATGTGGTAGTTTTGTGACTAAAGTACTTGTCTTTCAGCAGATGAAGTCCAGGTCTGAATTCTTCAGTAGTTACTTCAGTTTAACTTACGTTTTATAAGCACTAAGCCTCACACAAACAGTGTGATGAAAGTAGAGGGTGTTTATCTGTACTTGTAAATGAGTTAAATTCTATTCTTTAAAATGTTTATTTATTTTTCAAATAAAATATCATTTTGTTTGATGGTGAAGCTCCTTGTGAATGCCTAAACGTACTATTCTATTCAAGTTATCGGTTTACTATAGGATGTTATCATCAAATAATGGTTAGCTATAAACTACCTAAAGAGTCGAGTCTATTTAGTAAATAGTTTAGAGTTCTTACGTCTTATATACCAAAAAGTTTGCTTTCGCTTTTTTATATTAAAGTTGTCCAAAAATCACTGATCGTCATCTATAAAATGTCAAATCCTGAGTAGGAATAATAATGATACAGTCTCATCAATTATAGTGTTTTATTCAACGGAATATATTTTTATGCTTTTATCGAATGCCGTTGATTTTGATTGTGATATACTTCCATTTTATCGTTATATATATATGAACTGTTACTGAGTAATTCTTGATAACGATAATTCATAAGCAAAGTATCTATATTGTTAAAGCTTACAGAACTCCAAAGCCTGTTGTAAATACCATTCGTTTGTGTATCTGGATATGTCGTAAAGTAGAACTGAAGTATTTTTAACACAAAACTACAGAGTTCTTTCGTAAAATGTAAAAACCATACGTTCAATATTTCATTTGCAAGTCCTCCATCAATTGTCTCAAACGTCACTGTTCCTTTATCGCCATAACAATTACTCTCTGTTCCTGTTCTCTTCGATTCGATCTTCCCAACCTTCTGCTACCAGGCGTCCCACTTCTGATTGGTATTATATACTCACTTATGCCGACATAAGTAACATACACCACAGTAGTAGTCAGCTCAGACGCATTTATGTAAGCAGCAATTACTGTATATAACCAATAATAATAACAATAAAACAGGTTCTTAGGTAACACTACCAAGGTTGGACTTCATAATTTCAAATAAACTCAGTTGAAAGTTAATAATAAACTAGTGGTAATTATATTTGGGTTATTTATTTACTCTGAAGCATTGGCTTACATTAAGTGACGAAACGTCAGAAATAAATTTTTCCACTCGTTGAGATGTCACAAAAAAAAATTATATTTATTAATAAAACGTGGGATAAAGAAATACCTAATCATTTTCCACTTTTGAGATTTTTGCTACTTCCATCTCTTTAATCGTTTTTTTATTTCCTTACTCGTTGATGTTTAATTTTGTAGACTCGTTTTCCAGTGTTCTCCGACGTACTAATATTTGTACAGATCTGTCAAAATCTTTAAATTCACAAGAATGTGAACCCTAAACACTCCCTCCATTTATTTAAGAATTGTTGGTGAGTTTTTCAACTGTTGTACACTTTTTTCTCTCAATATTGTTCAATACAATGACATTTGATCTTTATTGCCACTTTGAATTGTGTGATGCACTAACTACTTATAAGTACTAGATTTTGAGCTAAACAAAAGCTGGTATCAAGGAATTATATATATATATATATATATATATATATATATATATATATATATATGTCAAGTATATACACTCAATTGAAAAATGTCCTTCTTGTAACTTAGATCGTCTTTGGAAAGAAGGCCAATAGTTAAAAAGCCGAAGACAAACTGAGCCATTTACATTAATTGTCCTTCTTACAAGCTTTTCTTTGTTTCACTAATGTCAGGATGAAGTTATCTATGTTCTATTTAATCTTAACAATTGAAATGGGAAAAGTCTTCTGTAGCTAACGTCTGGACTGAAAAGTATCATTATGAGACTTACCTATTGATAATTACATATATCATCCACAAAATATATGAATCTGTTGGCCTTAATATGCTTTAGTTTATTCCACCTCTGTTTTGATACATTTTAGATATGATTGCTTTTGTTTTCTTCTACGCTAGTTATAATTTCCTATACTGAAAAAAATAAAGGTTCATACTCTTTCATTTAAATTTTATTAAGAATTTCAATTTTATAGTAGATGGATCGGGCTTAGTAGCGGAATCTAGGATGCACGTTCCGTCCTATTTATAACTCGTCATCTGGATGTATCTGCAACCCAGTGTTGATTTTCACATTGGAATTCATATCGACTGTCTTTTACTTCTAACATCCAACGGCTTATCGATTGTCTTGTAAATTTCATCCCTCTGTGCTAAAGAAGTATAGCAACTTTGACCGTTGTATACACGTACTAGGTTCTACTTTTCGTTTAGCTGACTGACTTATAGTTAGCAGGTCCTAACCCATATATTTTATAAAAAATATTATCACAAAACAGTTATATCAAGGCAATTCTCATAAGATGCTCATACGCCAACAAAGATTAACCAGCATTCAGTTTTCATTATTAACAACAAGTAGAATTAAACTTTCACAAATTTAACATAGTTTAGATTTAATCTACCTTATTTTATTTCCTTTTTATTGTTTTAGGTAATTACTTCTTTCAGTCATTGATGAAGACCTCAAAAGTGTACTTATCTAATATGTGGATGGATAAAAGTTATTACCTAAATTAACTGATGTTGTTAGATAATCTTTTCTCTTTTCTATCATTATAATTATTCACTTTTTGTAAAGTTGATCAAACCTTTTCTTTAAAATAAAACTCAGTACTAACATGCAAATCCTACTCATAAACACTTTTTTAATTTTAACTATGAATATACTAGTGCTACCACTACCACTCTTTACAATGATAACTCCAATCATCAGGCAGGGAACAACTTAGTAATGGTTATAAAATGAACATAAAATTTGTATATTTTCATATTTTTATTACATAAATGTATTGTTATTGTTACTATTATTACTATTACTGCTACAAATTTTACTAACATCTGTAAGTTAGAAAATATAAATCAGTTAGCTTTCTCCTCTTCTAATGATGCACCGATGAGTTATTTCTCAATGCTTCTGTTATATTATTGTCAAGTCGTCTACTCATGTGGAGTATTTCCCTCTTTTTTGTTAGTATTATTATTAATATATTATATAAAGCATTTAACTAAACGCTGAAATGTTCACTTACTTAAGTTCTTTTTTTAATGGACTAACAACAAATGATGATGGGTTTTTTTCCTCTATTTGTTATTGTTACCATTTTTTGATACACTGTTACTCTCCCTTCCTCTTTTTATACAGTTTCAATGGTAGTATACGTTTATTTTGGTAATACCGTTTTTTTATTGTGTACGTTGATATCTCACTCACATCATAGGCTCCAATGTATTTCTGTATAATTAGAAAGAAATGACTTTTCAGTTAGGTAGTTTCTCACATCGTCATAGATTTGCAGATGTGATCGAAGAAGTTGCAAAAGACGTAAACCTCTTCTTTATTTGACACTTCATGATCTCATTAACATCTTGACCAAAACAATCTTTGTTTTGTTGGTTTAAAATATTCACTATATGTGGGGTTCAATTATGATAAAACATTCCATATTTGAACAATATCAAGACGAACCATCAGACGGCAAGAAATATATCGCTTATACAGGTTAGAATCCGCAAACGTGGATGCAACGAAGCATCCCTTTTCGATATTTTTGTCAATGGGAAATGTATGGGAATATCAGTCTTTCGGCTAACTTGAAAGAGCCAGGCACTTTAACCGCTTCAAATTTAACTTCAACGGTATATTCATCTAAGCAGTAGTTCGGAATAAAAATGTAATCTTCGTCATAATTCTTTGTTAAATCTGATTATCAGTCTTTAAAAATCAGTTGCGTTTTCCAAAGTTACCGTAGGCAAAATAAATGAGTCAGGATTTTCATAGACAACTGATTTTTTTACTTGGGATAAGATTGCCCATGGGATCACGTCACACAATAAAACAGTATCAGCACTAACGAATGTAAATCGTTGCTTCCACAAGCTTTAAGAATCAGACAGGTGACTAATACACGGAATAATTGGACTGCTTATAAGCTGACCAGTCGTTCGGATGCAATTGAATTTCCATTCCAATAGTGAAGTCAACCCTTGGCAATAATTCACTAACCGGTCCCTATTTTCGTAACTTCAGCACTGCTCTCTTATTTGTTGAGAATGAGTAAATTAACACCATTACATATTTTTTACTGTTTCAACAAACACGACGGCGCCTAAAATCCATGTAACACGTGAAATTCATGCCTGGATGAGCGTCGATCCAAGCCAAACAAAGAAATCTCAATGCAGTCAAACATGAATGAATAGTTTCAATGCATACGTTTCTGACAGTCGACTTTGGTAAAGTTCTAGGGCTGAGGCCAAGAGCAATAGATTCACCGAAAGGACACTGGTGTAATCAACTGTAGTGGTAGATAGGTCTCGAAAATTATTAGTTTCGTAGACTTTCGACATTGAAGTTGGTTTCATTAATTTTACCGGACACACTGTTAGCTGAAGGTGCTTGGTTAAACACCCGCACAAGATCACTTTTGGGTATGCAGTTTTGAGCATCTCTTACGGCAAATATGCAGGTTAAATTACCTGTTTTATTATCCCTTGAACTTTTTCAAATAGAGTTTCTTATCCTTACGTTCCTGACTTCTGTTAAAAGTGGCTTTGGAATCCTAGACTAGAATGGACTATTCAGGGAACAGCGTTGTCAAGTAATATCCGTGACATTTTTACGTTTAACTTGAAAAAGAGAATTCAGCGAAGAAAATTTTCTTTTCGACGAAATCATTTACTTAAGCTGTACATTCGTATATATAGTGATATGGAAAATATATGTCTATAGGAGGCTAGAAATTATTGCATTATAAATGGATTCGACATTAAATAACAAATGAGGTGGCGTATTAATCAAGGGGTAAGGGAGAAAATAGTTTATGGGTCAGGTAATAGTTCAATTGACAGATATGAAGAAAAGTGACAAACACAAAGGTCATAATAATAATAATCAAGAAAACTTGTATAAGATAATAATAATAACTGAGAAGTTGTATAGACAAACGTGAATATCCAAGACCATTTTTCAAATTATTACGCCGTAACCATATTCATCCAAATCATCGGTCTTTGAAACGTCTTACTTTGAATTATGTCGATGAAATTAAATCTAGAATCCCAGAATTGGAACGGAATATCTCATTACGTTCACATACGTTATTTGATTTATCAGAAGATTAACGCTTCAAATTTAAGGATTACATTGATATTGTTAGCAAAAATCGTACCGAAGATGTGACTTTGAAATCAATGAAAAGTTTAAAACAGACGGAGATTCAAGCTTCTTTTCCCGAATCGCCAGAGAAATATGTTTTCAATTATTCAAGCATAACATTATCGACTATTCAGCTACAAGCATTATCCCTTGGTCCAAAATTTTGTAGTACGTCTACTAACATTGATGAATTGAACGCTAAAATCCAGTTTGAAAGTCTTATTCGTCAAACAAATGACCTTATTCCTGTATCTAATAAAATTTTGAGCATTTCAAAACAACTCTTGTAGACTGCTGTAATCAATATGTAAATAAAATCCCTACAGTTAGTCGCTTACTCACAAAAACACATTAATCTCAATTATCTGATCTTTGGAAAAATCATGACTTAGTGTTATGTCGCCCAGACAAGGGTGCAGGAATTGTACTTATGGATCGCCCTGACTATATTTCCAAAATGTCTTCGATACTATCTGATCCGGTCAAATTCTCTAAAGAAACCGTCCAAAATGATATAACTGAGAAAACCGAACAGATGCTAATTAAAATCCTAAAGAAGATGAAAGATGAGTTCATTATCAATTGTGACCTCTTTGAACATCTCAAACCATTGGGTTCTGTCGTACCTAGACTATATGGACTCCCAAAAGTTCATAAGAATAATGTCCCTTTACGTCCAATACTTGATATGAACAACTCTCCATATCACTCTATTGCTAAATGGTTAGTTGACATTTTACAACCTGTTAAAAATCATATCAACAAATACAATGCTCTTGATTCCTTTGAATTTGTTGACTCAATCAGAAATATCAACGTAATGGGTAAGAAAATGCTCTCATTAGATGTCACGTCGTTGTTTACAAATGTTTCTCTCACAGAAGCCATTTGTTTTTTATGTGACTATATTGAAAATAATAATCTGGAGATATGTATCCCAAAACACTATCTTAAAGAACTACTCCTACGATGCACGCTCAATGTACAATTTAAATTTAATGATGGTTTCTATAGACAAACAGATGGAGTTGCAATGGGCTCTCCATTGGGTCCTCTTTTGGCTGATTGTTTCATGGCCAGTCTAGAAAATTCAGCACTTCGTCCAATAATCGAGAAATTTCATTTATATAAGAGATATATGGATGATACCTTCATTATTTGTGATGATAACATGGACCACAATGAAATATTAAATATTTTCAATAACCGTCACCCTTCAATTCAATTTACCTTAGAGGCAGAATCGAACCACGAATTCCATTTTCTTGATGTCCACTTGAAAAGATTGCCTGATGGTTATTCACAAAGATCTATGTATAGAAAACCCACTTGGAATGGACAGTACACGAATTTCCATAGTTGGGTTCCACTGAGTCTAAAGAGGAACTTAATTCACTCTTTATCATCTAGGATTAAGCGAATCTGTTCCAGTGACACTATAAATGAAGAATTACTTCATCTTCGACAGACCCTCATCAAAAATGGTTATCCACCGAGGTTCGTTGATAGCAACTTAACATCTACACGTCAGCAACAAATAACTTTGACGGTGCAGAAGAAAACCTTGTTTATGAATATGAAATTCAACGGAGACACGGCTGCTGAAATCCTGAATAAACGGATTTCAAAAACGTTGAATAAAACTTTCTACACAGCCAAGCTCCGAATCGTTTTCTCTAGCCGGCCTACCATTCGGGGGGGTGTTAAGGATAAGCTTTCGCTTTGGGCCACATCGATGTGTATTTATAAATTTACTTGCTCATGTGGAGCACGTTATATAGGCCGCACAAAGTGATCGCTTTCCAAACGTATCTCTGAACACTATCCAGCTTGGCTCCTAAAAGGTGAATGTAAGAAGATAACCAGTTCGATACAAGAGCACTTGATCAATTGCGGACACATTGCTCCCAAAGAGACGTCTTTTAAAATAATCTATAGAGTTCAAGGAACCGGATCAAAGGGAGGTCGAATCAATATTTTATGCATTGCTGAGGCATTGGCAATCCATGAATTCAAGCCTGAACTTTGCGTGCAGAAACGATTTGTCCAACCTCTCACCCTTCCTTGGCCCTAATTCCCTTATTGGGCACGTTTTTTGGTTTTTGGTTTTTGTACTTTTATCTGATTATTATTGGTTTTTTGTTTTTTAAATTACTACTTTACATTTAAACTCTAATCAGTTATTATTATTATTACCTTATACAAGTTTTCTTGATTATTACTCAGATTATTATTATTATGACCTTTGTGTTTGTCACTTTTCTTCATATCTGTCAATTGAACTATTATCTGACCCATAAATTATTTTCTCCCTTACCCCTTGATTAATACGCCACCTCATTTGTTATTTAATGTCGAATCC